CATCCATGTAAGGGGTTCGCGGTGAATCCTTACACTATACAAAAAGCTTATTTGTTTCTGAGGGTTTGTAGCTACCTGATCTGTTAAAGATGTAGTTAAGATAAACATCCAGTCAGGCTAGAATATTATCTTCATGTATAATGTGAGTTTTCTGATCTTCTAGTAAGAGCAGCTTGTTTAGGCAAAGCAGAGGTCTCAGGGAATAAATTCTTTTATTAAAGCTGTTGACAGTAATAGTGTACTAGACAATAAGAATAATTTTATCAGGTTTTGTGCAGGCCAGTCTCCAGTTCTAACCCACAAATTGAATTCTTTTAATATGGATTTCTTGTTTATTTCAAGTACACCTACATGCAGCATTGTTGCACCTGAAACAAATAAAATCAGAAGAAAAGACTGGTGTTCCATCAGAGTACCATGCAAAGTCATTCAATGAATATCTAATAAAGCTCCCCCAGCTTTATAATTGCTACAATTCAGTCAGATTGTTAACTAGATTGGCCATACCAATATGTATCTTCTTGTGAAATACAGGAGACCTTGCCAGTAATAACAAAAGAGCCACAGAATTCTGAAAGAATAAATTAGATGTGAGAGATATCTGTATTAGTTACTTCTCAGCAGGTGAAAGAGTTAGCATTTTCAATAAAACAGCCAGTATGAATGTCTGTCAGATGGGAAGTATAGAGAATTAAGCTCTGTATTTCTTCTTCAACATGCTCAGTCTCAATAATAGAGATCTCAGTGCACTAATGTCTTCAGAAATCTGTAAGACTTCCCATAGTGTTTTATAGTGTTGGTGAGATATTTCCAATTTTTTGTATCATAATTCTAAAGTAAGTGTGAAGTGGTCCAGCATTTTATCAGACTCTGCATATGCATGGACTAGAATCTCCAACAGATCATTTATTGTAGTCAGAATATAGATCTCAGCTGACTGATTATTCAATGGATTCTCTAGTTGTAAATAAAAATCAGAATCTCCATTGTTAACCAGATATACTGAATGTAATATAGTCTGTAACTAGGGTTCAGATTCAGACTCTTTATACTGTTGTGATTTATTGTTATTAACTAATCTTATAAGTAGAGCTGCCACTGCTTCTTGTATAATCTCCTGCACTCTGATATCTTCTGGTTCAGAATGAGTGTCAGATAGAGTATTAGATAGAGTATCAGAGATATCTGAAAGACTTGCTGCATTCTGTATACAGTAATTAGAATGATACAGACTGACAGAGAATTCAAGATCTTATATTCAATCCTGACTTCTTAGTTTGATTATTCAGCTGAATATTAGATTCCACTGAAGATAAAACATAATTATAATCTTGTGATTCCTACAACAAATAAGCATGCTGTCTGCATCTTCAAAACTGCAAGACTGAAAATAACAAATGAAGTTATCTTCTCCAAAATATATAGTTCTATATGTGTCTTACATATCTCAGATATTACATGTTTGCTTGAGATTTATACACCAGTTTCCACAGTAATTAAGTTTCAAGTTGCAGAAACAGTAAGAGTTGCTGCAGAATATTTTTGAAACAAAGTATGTAGAAATTAGAAAGAAAATTACTGTTCAATTAGAGAATCAGATATATTATAGCAAAGTTAAATGTTAGAGCAGCTGCAAAATATATCAACTGTGCCACAGACCAACTGTAATATTCCAATCATCTAGATCTGTAATTAGCTTTAAGAGATGCAAGATCAGTAATAATCTGCATTCTTCTGAGTGATCAGCCTATTTCAAAGAAATCAATCACTTAGTGGCATTAAATTTTAGAATGTAGAGAAATATAAATACAGATTTAAATAGTAACTTAGACAGTTGAATATACTTCAAGTCAGCTATATAATAGATAGCAAATCTCTTTAAAATTCATGTATTCACTCTTATTTATTCTCACTTTACTCTGAACCACAGTAATCTGATAGCCAAAATGTCAGAGACACAGAGCACACCAGTACCAAAAAAGACAGCTCATACATTTCTATAATCTTAATTATACAGTATATTAAAGACTCAAGAGATATTATTCAGTTCAAATACAAGTACTCAAACCAAAGCATTCTCTAATCATACAGAGATTGAAAAGCAGATTCAAGTAATAGAGCACAAGATACAAAATCAGGTATAATAAGCTTATATATTAACATTAAATACTGATTCAATTCCAGATACCATTCAGAAGATGCTAAGTCTTGAGAACTGAAAAGTCAGAAATAACTTATATTTTTGTGAAGTTTTCAGATACATGTTAGACCTTTGTAAAGATTGAAAATATAAGATCTTGAGTAACTTGAAGATCAGAACAACATCTCTAAACTTCTAGTTATAATATAAACTGATCTTATTTGCAGAATCATGTCAGAAAATATATTGAACTCAGCTTGACTAAGAATCTTAATTTCAGACTCTATGAAATAATCAATCAATAAAAGCTGATCAGCTATTTTGCCCAATTATTCAAGTGAGATTAATTCTGTAAAGTCTTTTACTGAATCAAGTCATGTGTCAATTTTGAGAAGTCAGCTCCACAAGAAAAATGATATTTTGAATATAAGTTAATAATAAATCTTAATTGTTATGATTTCTGCTCTGACAGTTATAGCAATAGAGATGTATGTAAATTTAGCAGCATACATAAAGCTGTATCTTGATAACAACAGTTCAAAACAGAACATATACATTCTGTTAATCTATATCTGAGATTCTGTACTCAAGCTCTGGGACTACTTGATACAGAAACCAGGACTGAGAGATATTAATTTAGATAACTTTATCTGACAGAAAATCTGACTAAGAAAGCCAAAGACTGTTTATATTGAGACTTTGCCAGAAATTCTGAATGCAGTCCAGTTGATATCTAGTATGCTGTTCAGAGAACTTAATTCACATCCAGCTCAGACAGTGCAAGCTCTGTGGGAGCTAGAGAATGATAATTCAGACAAGAAGAATCAGAATTCTTTGCAGAATATTACAGAAAATTATTTTGAGACTGTAACAAATCAGTCTATCTGTTTAAAGAGATCTGTGCCAGCCACAACTGATCACAAGCTCTAAAAGAGACACAAATTCTAGTTAAATATATAAAAAGATGTCTTCTCAAATCAAAATTGGCTGTTAGTTTGTGCTTCAAAATAGATTTCAGAGTTTGATATCTAGACTTCAATGCAATGCTCTGTTATATCAATACTTGCAAGAGCCAAATTTCACTATATTTAATATATATCTCTTTATCATTCATCATAATCAGTCATAGAAGCTCTAAGCAAAATGAGTTAGCACTTAGTAATATATAAATAGACACATCCTAATTAGGAAATTCAAAACAATCAAGCAGACATACTAAATATAATAATCTCTTCTCACACAAAATCTCTCTCTTCTTCTCTTCTTTTTTTTTTTTCTTCTCTTGAGCTTATTATATTTCTTATCATCTCTCCCCTTCTATTCCAATATCAAGATAAGTGGTGGATTTTAAATGAAATAAGAAACTGCAGCAAACTGAAGAACAATATATATAGAAATATCAAAAAATGGCTCTGCAAATATATAAATTAGCAGCAGCTCAGGACAAGCACTCCCCAATGTTCATAAAGAAGAAGCTAGAGTGAAAGCTCTCAGCTGTTAAAGAAGAGTTCACTATAGATAATACACTCTGTGGTCACTGTTTAACATTTATATATACAGTACACATCAACAAGTCTTGTTTACACAAGCAAGAAACCACCAAAATCTGTACTAATTATACAAAAGATAAAAAAGTCTGTATTTCTGTCTCTTTAGAGATACAGAAGAAAGTGGCAGCATTGCTGTCTGATTATAATAATTTTCTCAGACTTAAGAACACAACACTCTAAGAAGAACTAAAAATTAGTATAGCAGAACAGACTGCTGATCTTAGTAAAATGCTTGCTAAAATAATATCTCTGTTAGTTTAAACTGACAACTTTCTCTCTTTTTCTTCTTTTAACACTAAAGTTGGTGCTGTCACTTTGGCAGCATTAAAAAAACTTGTGTCTATTCAAGCCAAATAAAAAAAGCTTGCAGAGCACACATTTCACTTTATCAAGATAGATTAAACTGATTGGAGATCATACATTCAACTCATACTAATACAGTTATATATATAGAATATCAAAAGAATCTTGGTCAATATTTATCAGAACTTAAAGTTCAATTATTTATCTTCTACAGTCAGTATACTTAATATAATATCAGAATGAATTGAACTAACTTTGATATTTGATAACAGAAAAAGCAAAAGACAGAAGAAATTATTTATAAATTAATAGTTAAGATAGATTAATTTGCTGCTGTTCTGCTCTCTGCTGTATTTACTTCTTCTCTTCTCTTTCTTACTTTAATTATATCTTCTTTCTTTATTCAGTTGCAGCCAAATCTATTTATGTCAGGTCTGTCTCCAACTGAAGACAGCAGAGCCAATTTGCTTGAAAGTATGATTAAGTAGTCTGAATAGACTCACTCTGATAATTCTTCTGTACTTACTTTATGCTCTGTCTCTGAACCAGAAACTCTGACCAGTAAGAAGGCTTCTGAAATTTAAAAAAAAAAAAAAATTTATTATAATTCAGGTTGTGTGGGTGGTTCTGTAAACACTTAGTAGTTAATTTCTAGCAATTAAAAAGCTTCTGAATCAGGTTCAAAACCCTTAATTAATGCATTATATATTCCAAATTCTATACATTTCAGACTCTTTATATGTGCATTGTAAATATATGGTGGATCTACAGTTTCAAGCTTGCAATCTGTGATTCAATGAGTCACATTGGATAAACATTTTCCGACGGTTGCCCGAAAAGCTCATTTTTCCGGTATGGGAGCTCTCCGAGATCACGTGGAAATGGACTTGGCGCCGCACGAGCTGTCGGACGGCCAAACGACGAGCACAGCGCAACCCCGGACTGCACGGCCACGCTTCTGTTGTTTTCAAGTTCAGTAAGCTGTCTCGTTCGGTTTAAGGGGAAAAATGCCAGCGCCGGCGGGCACAAAGAGAGTTCGGGTCCGTCATTTCCTCTCCAATATTGAGCCCCGCTCACTCGCTAACCATCAGTTTTGCCGCTTAGGGAATCTCGATATTCCGTCCGTTCGGTACGTTTTCTCTCATACGGAGAACCACACACGCAGATAACCGGGAGATTTTCTACTGACCAATCTACAGTGTTTGGAAGCGAAGCGCAGCCATTTGACCCCAATAAGAGGCCGCCTAATGTCCCCGAAGACCATACCCACCAATGGCGCGTCTACGTCAAAGGCATAAACGATGAAGACATCTCCTACTGGCTCAAGAAAGTCCAATTCAAGCTCCACGAGACCTACGCGCAGTCCATCCGAACCATCGAAGGACCGCCATTCGAAGTTACGGAGACGGGCTGGGGTGAATTCGAAATCCAAATAAAACTTTACTTTATCCCCGAGTCGATGGAGAAGCCGCAGACGTTATGGCACAGTTTGAAGCTGCATCCCTACGGTCCAGATGCCGAAGCTAAGAAAGCGAGACGAGATACCATCACCAGTCAGCATTATGAAGAGGTTGTGTTCAATGAGCCGGTGGAGCAATTTTATAATCTCCTCACGGGGGGAGCTCTGGCGCCCCAAGCTCAGCCCAAGGGAAAGGCTGGAAAAGGCGCAAAGCAACAACAGCCACAGGGCGGACGCACGGCGGAGATCCCATACTCTGACTCTCCCAAGAATCCATACAGTCAGAAGTCAGAGGCGAAGGAACTCGATAAGCTCGGCGAAGCTACAAAAATGGTTGATAGGATGCTGAAAGAGGAGCGAGCTAAACTTGCGGAACGAGAGGCACATTTGGCGAAATTAAAAGAAACTGAAAGCTTACCGGTCGTCCAGAAGAAAAGATGAATACGGCCCTTTCACATATAGTGCCTGCACTATCGTCGTAGGGTCCTATCTCCACGGTCAGGAATACCGAACCGGAGCAGAATCAGGGACCAAAGATTTGGCCTGTCGACTTATTGCTATAACATTTTCTTGAATACGGATATTAAGGCAGCCCATTATTCATGGCAACACGGTCTTATCAAAGATAAGGATGGGGCATCGCTCGGGTGATGTACCGCTACTACTAGCGGAGTACAATGCTGTATGCTCTGCGGAGTATATTATTTCACAAATCCTTTTCGATGGAACAGTGAACTCAAACCTGAATGCTCTTGGGCATGCCCATTCTTCCTCGATATGGATTCATGCAACGACGTTCAAGGAATTGCTGAAAAAGCGAAAATATCTCCTGCGCAATGCGAGGCCATGGAGAGTTTACCGCTATGTGCTCACGGGGACCAATGTATGATTTCCCAAAAAGTAAGCTCTTGGATAGCACGCTCAGCTTTGAAGGCGTTTAAGCATCCTCTCCGATGTGAGTCCGTTCGACGTGCGTTTCTTCGAGAGACAGGGGTAAAAGGACACTGAAGTGTATATAGTCAAGCTCGATGGCCGTTGGCACTGCTAATTAACATTTAAAAGACGAATATAACTACATGTTTATAAAGACAGGATCGACAACTTGGTGTTAGGCCTCGACACACTGGTGTCCGATAATTCCATAAACCCGAGCGACAAATATCTGAGTCCCCCAATCATAAATAAGGAAGACCCGCATCTGCTTCCCCATTGATATCCATCGCTGATATGCGCGACCCTGAAAGTATCACGCATCAGTCTCTTGATCCTCGTTTCGTGCCACTGCAGCAGAAATAAACTGACCAACCTCGGCGCCCGAGAGCCTTATGTAGCCGCACACTCCCCATCAAAGCAGTGGCCGCAGCCACCATCATATCTCCCATTCCCCCCTACAAACTTATCCGGATTGATCGAATACCCTCCGGTGCCGGACGCATCCATCGCACAGCACTTGCCCCCTTTTTCTTGGCTGTACATACGGCATTCAACTGGTCAGCAAAAACGGCTTTTTGCAGCAAAGAAGAGAAACAAAAGCGCAAAGAAATGTAAAGAAGGTTTGGGCTTTAGCAGCCATCTAATCTCACATGTTTCGCTAGACAGGTACTCCCTCCGGCGTCTTTTTTTTTTTTGCAAAACAGATACAAATGCAAAAGAAGGATTGCCGCTTACCAGTTGATATAGTCATTTGTGTTTGACGCAAGGAGTTTCCCTTGGCACCGCTCATTTGGGAGACGGTATCCTGAACATTCATTGCTTGCACGGCTGTATACGAAGCCTGGTTGCGCCTCGATGTGTAGGCTTGGTGTGCTGGCGACCGAGGCAGCGAGGATTGAGAGAAGGAAAGCGGACGTAGTGAGCTTCATGCTTGTGATTTAGGATGGGGGGAATATCAACGGTTTTGGTTTATATTATTATTATTATTATTTTTTTTTTTATAATGCGCTTTTCCCGCAGTTCGTTGAGCTCAGGCAGGCGATGAGCAACGTCTGAGACATGGGCTTAACCAGCATTTAATAATGGCTCCTGAGAGGGGGGAATGATCGAGAACTTTATACGCACAACAACCATTGGATCCGATTGTTGCACGGAAGAACAGTTTGATTTTAAGTTGGCGTCCGTTGCCGATAGCTATTCATCTGGCTAGCTGGCTTGCTCCCGTCCCTTGTGGTCCTCGTCGTCTACGCGCGGCCGACTTAACGCAGCTGTGTCTACACATCACCAGGTGGCCAGGCGGCACAAACACATGGCTCGTCTCTGTCCCACGATTTTTCATGGCTATCCCGCGACTTCTTTTATACGGAGTAACCCCCAATCCTATTGCCTTTGTCATCTTTATCTGTGATCCTCCGAGCCCAACCTAAACTTGAAGCCCTTCTAAAAAAAAAAAAAATAAAATAAAATAAAATAAAATAAAAAGAAAGGAAAATGCAAAAAGGGGGAGCGCAGGTCAAAAGCCTTTGGGCCAGTTTACCACGGCGATCTAATGATAGCTTTACCCATAATCCATGGTTTATAGAGCACTTCTAACTCGGCCAAATGTTACCTCGTTCGTAGTTATGGAAATCACCTGAGTCAGTCAGTCATAAAAACACGTTCCTTCAGCGCTCTCCAGACCCCCCCAAGTGAAACCTTTTTCATTGTCGCGGTTGTGTGCTCCGTGCGCATGGTTACCCTGTAGGTTCCCTTTTTTTATTTTTTTTTTTTGGGTGGGAAGCTTCGCGGCATGACCCAGTTTAGGCGTGGCATAACTACATATGTAACTCCACCGGGGGTCATGATATCGGCGGCTCGCGCGTGTGAATGCTGCCAGCCGCTCGCCTAACGGAGGCCCAGAACGGGCCCCAGCTGGCCAACCCCCTTAGCTCCCACAGTATCATGTCCATATTGCCCCCTGTTTACAGCACCCAGAGTAGATGCTGGTCGTCTCTTTCAACACCAAGTGGTGATTCTGTTTGTATGTGTTAATGATAATACTCATATTGTCATTCTTCTTCTTGAGAAGTATTTCAACAAAAGGGGCTATGCCAGCTGTATCCAATGCGATCGTTCGCCCAACCGGCTTATCCCGAGGTTATTTACGACCCCGCGGACTTTGAGGTCCCCAAGAAAGTTGTATATACAGTCTGTCTCGTCCATGGCTTTCGTTATCCATGCCTATTCACCTCGAGTGGTATCCTTGCGGTTATTCTGCAAAGAGCAACCGCCGCCATCCTCCATGGCAGCATCCGTCCCTTGATACCATCCATCCTCGATGAGCCGAGTTTCAATCCCTCGCCAGTATTCCAGTTTCCCTCCTGTTCCGCTTTTGAAATCGAGATCTCCGAGTCGAACTTCGGGAGTTTCAGCCTCGTCGCGTGGAACCTGCGGAACAACAGCTTAGCGGTCGCGCCCCCCAGCACATTGTAGTTTGCTCATACATGGTGAGTTCGTAATAAAAGCGCGACGGCAACGTAGGTTGCGGTGTAAATGGTTACGTACCTTCACGAACATCGTGCAGTCCCTCAGGGTCATCGAGACCGCTCTGTCCCGATAGTCTGCGTCAAGACCGGGTAGACCAACAGCGTTCATTCGCTGCTGGCAATCTCGAAGCTTTAGAAGCGTGGGATTCCGGTGTAGGAACTTCGTGACGCGTATCCTACCGTGTTGCGGCCCCTTTATTGACTTGACAGCACGTAGCACGTGCTCAAAGTCATCGGAGACCAAGTCCAGAGGACAAAATCCTTCGCGTGCCTTCTCCCCTCTCTGCCGGGCCTGATGATTCTTCATTGCCCGCAGAGCACAAGTCCGACATCTCTTAGCATTAAGCGGCGCTGATGGAGACTGAATGAGCCACTTAGGCTTAAACTCCCACAGATCGGCGCCCGATCCTAGCGACGGACTCATATCGGTGATGAGTAGCCCGAAAGGCTCTTTGGTAGATAGGTATACACCATGACGTTGTTTCGGTCGACGGCCATTCGTCTCATCTTCTTTTAATCTTTCATTACAGGAGGAAACGAAGTTCTTAGGCAACTTGATCAGCTCCTGGGCAACAAGCTCGTTGTCGCGAAATAGGCTTCGGATCTGGGAATCAAAGTTTCTTGCTGTTTCTGTATATGGTGTGCCGGAGTCGATGCGTTTCCTTAGACGTAGGAGTTTACCGTGATAGATCGCTCGTTGGCCCCTTATTTCGCTGTTCGTTCTATTGCTCTCTGGGACAGTCATCTTGTAGACAATATTTGCACCGCCTTCCGCCAGGTACTCTACCTCCGTGTCGGCAGGCAGTTCAGAAATCGGCATCGAGAAAGAGTTCGCGGCGATATCCACCTGCATTGGCGCCATCTGGATTGTGGTTTTCGTGAAGCTATTGCGGGTCTCGTCGAACGGGCGGTTTACCCATGAAACAAAACCCGTTCCTTCTTTTCAAGAACTCAAGGGGTATTGGGGGTCAAATCCAGATAGAAAGATTTCGGAGGAAGGGATCGTAGGCGGGGGCTACCGCTTCAATTCTAACGGAGGAGATGTCTCACTCCGGAAGTGGATAATCGAATGTTGAACAAGTCGCGCTAGGGCGGCCGGAGGGCAAGATACAAATATAATGCAGCACGAAAAAGGAAAGACTGATAAAGGAGTGATAAACGGATATATTTAAGCGGTTTTCGTCACCGCATTTCCCCGAGAAACAGGCCTGTCAAAGCTCGATGCTGGGGGTGTTGACGGAAGCCCAGGATCAACAACCAGGGATGGCAGTGCAAGGCTGGAGCTGGGCGGAGGAGAAACAGTATGCTTGAAGACAGAGTAGTAAGAAAGAGTATTGGTATTGGTACCCTAGAGAACTGAGATCTAGGAGAGTTGGGGTCAGAGCCTGGTCCATGGACAAGTCGCGCCCCGTGGTGCAATGCAAGGCTGAGGGGTAATAAACACGAGAGCGCGAGCAGGTAGCAGATAGAGCAGGGCGGGCGGGCGGGTGGTTGATATAGCTATGAGCTGGAGTTCGGACCGGACGAGCAAGCCGGGCGCATATATATATATATATATATATATATATATACTGTGGATGCGCAGGCGCCGGGAAATAGCGACTCGATCCCTCTTGTGCCTTATTGCCCCGGCGCTCTATTAATAAAAAGCAAGAATGGATGCTGGCATGGAATTGCACCTGTGCGGCCGGCAAGTTAGCAGACAAAAAGAAAAAAAAAAAAAAATCTGCCATCCACGTCCGTTTTGCTCCGCAGTTGCGTTCCATCGCAAAAATACGAAGAGCGGGAGCTTCACTTTCTTTCTTTCTTTCTTTTCTTTTCTTTTCTTTTCTTTTCTTTTCTTTTTTATTTTTTTTTCCCCCTCCCAAGTGCTGGCGCCTCTTTCTACCCTCACCAAGGCAACGCCGAAAATATCAACAGAGTTTAGGGAGGGAGGTTTGAGCAGAAAAACATGCAAGAGGCGTACCTGAAATCGACACAGAAAGGCGTTGTAGTCTCGAAGGATTGAGCACGGTCACGCCCGTTTTCGACGTTTCCTGACCATCTTACTCCGTCGCGACATAAATAATTACCAAGCGAAAGGGGGTGGGTGATGCTGGAAGTTAAATGTCTTCTTTTTTTTCTACACTCGGGCCGGCCGAGATTCAAAATTCAGCTGACCGTGATGGAGCGAGCGCGTAAATCCAGTCGTCACAGAGCGGCATTCGTTAGCGTTCACGGCGGTGGCGCCAGTCAAATCGTGGGACATCAAACCAGATCCATGGTTTGGGGGGGGAGAAAAGCTAACTAGTTAACTCACTTTCGTGTCAATTAAAATCTACAACGCAACTAAACTAACCAATCTGTGTTACTATCGGCTACGGAGAACTCTAAAACAAGGAGTGGTGGACAGCAGATCCTCCCTCGACCCAAAGGAGAGGAGAGGGGGAAAAAGAAAAAGGAAAAAAAAGATTTTGATCGGCCCCTTTCTTCACGGGTGCATCATTTCATTCCGTTTGAACGCTTGGACATTAGCTGGCTGGCTGGTGGCTTGCAAATGGGCTGGGCTGGTCAGGTCAGGCCACGGACGGCCCTCTCGCATCGGTGATATGGGTGGCCCGGCCGGGGGGGGGGGGGGATGGGGACCGGGGATGAGGTTGACGGCTCTATCCGCCCAGTTGGGTAAGAAATGACGATGACCTCGCACGGATCGAGATATAGTATTATGCAGGGCCAATATTGACAAGGGTTAATCATGAACAGAGGGGGGGGGAGAGGGGAAACAGTTCGCAGCCTGCAATTCGCCTAGAGAGGCTGCAGCTAAACGACTTGACTGGTGAAGTTCGTTCGTATTCCCTCTCTATAAATATCAGTACGCCAAAAACCAGGGGCAGAGTGCTGAAGACTTGTGACCATGGGGCCGGGCAGCTGCTCTCCACGCGGGCTGAATGACAGCAAAGGTGTGCTGTTGGGGAGAGGAGAGAACCGGTTGTCGCTCTGGAGCTGGATAAGGAGCCGCCAAAGCAGCGGCTTGTGCTTTTCCGCAAAATGAATCCAACAATGTACTCCGTAACTCTAGCTCTTTGGAAAATCAGCAGCGCGCATACTTCGCTACCCAGTGCTTCGAGTCACCCATAAAGTAAATATACATTCTGCCCACAATGGAGAAGCCAGACTTGTTGGGGTCGACCAGGGCTGGCGGGCTGGCTGGCTGGCCGATCATCTCGGCCTTGAAACACCCCGACCTGTGGCATGTTCAGCCAGCGTCTTCGGAGCCAGCGCCCTGTTTGTCCCAAGTCTCGCCCCCCAGTTTGATGGTGGTGAACACTGCATGATGCCATGCGCTCTCCTTTTTTTTTTTTTTTTTTTTTTTTCATTCATCTTTTCCAACTTATGTACTCTGTAGTTGGTTCACCTCACCCATCATGCGACTATAGGGTTTTGTGACGGGGGAGATCAAGTAGTTATAGCAATTTTGGAGCGATCATTATCTAATCCCTAAAGAATGAGAGCATGCATCCATAGAATGCAAGACTGTGCGTGCTCCTGTTAAGCTCTCACAAGCGGTAGACGACGCAATGGCTGGGAGGGCTGCTGGGGCCAGTGAGCCTGTGGGATCAGTACATAATGTTCCGAGAGCCAGTATGAGATCATAGACAACTTAGCTGGCAGTCCATCATGCTGTACTCCGTAACCCCCTCACTTGATTTTAAGGGAAAAAAAAAAAAAGGTAATTCAAGAACAGGAATTCGCCATCTAACCAATAAGGTAACCAAGGTAATTTGTGTTGATCTCTCTCTTCCACTTCCTTTTGTTTACTCTAAGAACAACAGCAGTCTCCCCGAGAATCTGAGATTGAAAATCAGAAAAGACAGATCACATCAGCTTCCACCATGGCCTCTCCAGAGACCTACACCCCGCCAAACCACTGCATTGCTGATTTCTGCTTGATTCCGGTACTTAGACCAGCAAACCCTTGCCCATCCCTCCTTTGCGAGACGCCCAACTGCAGTGGCAAAAGGAAAACACCATCTTTATCGCGCTAACTCTGCTCGCACAGATAGGGACGTCCTCCCCGTCAGTTTCCGAGACTATCGCCGACGTTGAGCGTTTGGTAGAGAAGTCCGGATTAAAATTCATCATGCATTCCTGTGGTACGACTCTGGGTAGGTACATGCATATATACTCACGCTCTGCATAGCCCTTCGATTTCGTCTAGAGGAGGTGGGGGCGAGGGAGGAAAACACAGAAAGGCCAGGGCTGATCGTTCCCCGTCGATATCTACAGAAGGACCGTGGGATAAAGTCTTTGCTCTGATCGGCCAGACACACGCCATGCTCCACCAGAAAGGAACGGCTCGCGTACACACCGATATACGTGTTGGCTCGAGGTAAGCCCGGATGCGTTTCTCGATATTCACCTCCACTTTACCCTTTTTAAGACAGTGCTTGTCTATGGTTGGAGGGGAGGCATTCTGTTTTCGGGTTGTTTGGATCCCCTGGGGGATATGCTAACTAAGTGCTGCTAAACCAGAGTTGACAAGAGGGAAACAATGGAGAACAAAGTCAAGGTCGTGCAGGACATCCTGGCCCGCGATCCATAAGGGTAGATGCACGTTTCCGTACGAGTGGGATTGATGCTGCAGTCGATGGTTAATTAACTAGTTAAAAGTTGTAAAGCTTGGAAAAAAAAATACTTCAGGGAACTCAACACGTTGTTATAAAAGGGCCAATCAGTGTTTGCTAGGAGAAGACAGAAAGGGAATTATGGGTGATAATTTTTAATACAAATGACATTGAATTTGTGAGGGCCAGTATAAAAATTCTAGATGACTATGCTACCAAGGTTGGTTCTTTAACTGGTTGGCTTTACAAGCCATAGGGGACCAGGGCATCCTGAAACCTGAACACACCTTTCCCAGGCTCCTTGTTTGTATAGCGGTTATCCCTTTATACAGAACCTTCCCACTTGATAAGTTACTACTGCATTCGGCTGCCGGTATGATGTATCATTGGACCTTGTCGTCGACCTGCAGAGGAAATGGGGAAAACGAATCGCGACATCCCATGTTATGCACGAATCCCAAAAAGGTGGTTATCAAGCTCATGAGGGGAGAGGGGAGAGAAAGGGGGGATAAAAACGCTGTGCAACAACTTATTTAGTCGAGGATGTGACTTGTATGAAAAGCCTCGTGGTGGTGAAACAGTCCGGGATGCACGCTTGGTTCCCTGCAGTCCCAATATCGACGCCTGATTCTAGTGGTGTGTAAGGAGAGAATTGTGGTACCTTCAGAGAGCCGTATCGTTGTCATACTTTTTTTTTAAGTATTTAAATAGTTCTCGGGGTTCGCTTTGTCCAAGAAAGCTCTTCATTTAGCATAAAATCTCATAGGGCCTTGCCCTTATATGTTATAAATATAATACATTAAAGTCATGCTCAGCAATTCCTCTCAGATCATTCCTATGGGCCCGACATATGTGCTGATTGGTTGGGAGGGGATGACCTCAAAGGAATGGGTGATAACGGATGCGCAGGCAACTGGAACCCCACTACCGCTCGAGCCTCTGTCGGAGGCGATTCCGGACAAAGGTCGACCGCGTGAGATCCACCTGTAGCCAAGTGCGTACTAACTCTTTTCGACGTCCAAGACTGCCACTTGGTGCAACGATGTTCCCCCGAACTCACTGTCTTGAGATGTGAAATGATGAGAACCTGGCTCCAATTGACCAGTCCATATCCTCCCTGGCTGTCTGCGTCCAACGACCAACCCGGACGGGACGGGTCTTTGGGTTGACGAGCTTATGATAGTTTGACCCGTATTCTAGGAACAGAGGCTTCCCCCAAGCTCTCTGGATACTCCGTAAAATATCATTCAGCATCCATGGATTTTCCCTCCGAAGCATTCGATTCCGCCGACGGCTCGATCGACGATATTCTGAAAATAGTGTAGCCAGTCGAGCCCGGCAGGCACGTTTGATTGTATTAGTTTGAACAATGACGCCTTGTTCTCTGAGCTGGCGAAGAAGGATGATCCCACGGACCCAAGGGATGAGATATTCTCCCTGGTTGAAGGGGTTGGCTACCAGTTGCTTGCCGAGGTCCGGGTGTGGCCTTAAGATAAATCCCCAAGCAACAATGGCCTCTTGTAGGCGAACACTAAAAATCCTCCGGAGAGGAGCCTTTGAATGGGCAGCTGGCAGCGAACTTTCGAAGCAGTTTGGTTTGCTATCCGACGGCACCGACGGGCGGTTTATACCTTGCAGTAAGCGATGCTTGGAAGTCTCTGTGGGAGCATAGAATGGTATCAACCAGAGACATAATTTCTCCAAGTCAGACCAAAGATCATACATTCCGAGGCGTTTGATACATTCTACCCACGCCTCCGGTGGAACTCGTCCTCCAGATATTATGACTTGTTGGTAGAGCCATATCAAACGTCGCAGAGCGTCCACGGATTGTTTATCCTGAGAAGGCCGGCGACCTTTGCGGCGCCGAGGGAGTATTTCGTGCGCCACCCACATGATGGTTGTTCGAGATAAATGAACACCTTGCTCCCTCATCATTTCAAACTGCTGTGTAGCGGCTTCCCAGTTGCCGACTCGCACAGCGTTTCGAAATAATACGTTGTGGTTGTGGGGATCTTCATTAGAAGTCACAGACATAACCGCAAGAGTTTTATTGACCTGCCGCCAATCTTCGGCCAGCGTATATGTTGCGAGTAACGATTCCTGCGTCCTCATGTCTTCCAAAACGTCGGGGTGCTGATCACTATGGAGAACGTCATGCAATAACTTCGTAGATTTGCCGAAAGCTAGCTTGACAACGACCTTTGAAAAAACGGATTCTCCGGTCGAGATTCCCGATCTTTTCAGTGCAACCAGTTGAGATACTAGTTCCTCCACGCTCCTAGTCCTCAGCGCCATTTCTCGGAGCGTCAAGGGACCAATGCTATCAACTCCGAACATTTGCAACCCGGCAACAATTAATTCAAATGTCAAAGCCTTGGTGGCAAACAGTCGCGCTCCGAATTCATCGCTGAATGCGACTTTGTTTGGCTGGTTTCGATTCTTTTGTTCTTCTTCTTTAGTTGCTTGAGTCTGTGATATTTCTGCATCCGAAGGTTCGTCATGTTTCATGATCCCGGCCTTGACCAATTCGCGGACAAAATAGCTATGCTGTTTCTCAGACCCATACAACTCAACATACTTTAATAAAGGCTCGATCTCGGAAAGCGTCTTTGGGCCGTCTTGGCGGGACATCAAAAATTCATGCATTGCAAAAGCATCTCGAATTCGATCCTGCTTCCAAAGAGGCGGCACAACTCTACTGTAGATCTTGTGGCCTTCCACATTCCTGCATATGTTCCTAAATGCTTGTAGGCCACCCTCGACAGACATCGCCGGCGTGAAAACACTAACCACCTCGTTTGGCCATCTCAAATGGACCTGCTTCAGCCTCAGATGCCACTCTACTGCCTTCTTGGGGCGCTCGTCCTTAAAGTAGCCGCCGACTACTTCTTCGTAGAATCGATCCCACCTTTTCCCTGTCCGCACCCAGAGATCTTCTGCATACAGCTGCAGCTCTTTCATCAACCATTCTTGCTTCACGCCCACGGCAATAAATGTTTCCCACAAAAAATCGGCATCCACCCCTGCAACTGGAAGATCCAGCCCCGCGCATCTTTCGACGAGTCCTTTCCATATGTGCACAACACCGTCGTCTCCGTAGTGTCTCTGGCGGTATTGCAGCAACTCTTTCCAAAGGCCAAAATCGTGTGCATAGCGAGCATCATCCATCAATTTGCTCCCAATGTCTCGAGAATCGCCGATGTTTGACTCGAACTCCAATCTTGTTGGATCAAGATGACATTCTTTTGAGATATTTGATGGATATCCTATGAAATTGGAAATGGGCTCCGGTGAGTCGTGGAAGGCGTGGGGAAGATCTGCCTCAATGGATTCGCCTGAGGATTCAGGTAGGCATGAGGTCGTTGTATTCCAGCCTTCCGATAATGTCTCTGAGTTATTGGCGGTATGATCTTCATTCCCACATTTCTCCAATTGTCGCTGGCGTCCGAGGCTTCCCGCATGTCGCTTTGAGATTGGTGTCCGCGGTCGGTATGCTGGACAAGGTAAGGACCGAATTGGCTGGCTCTTGAGGATATTCGGGTGTTCAATGAGCTTGCAAGAGTTGTTGACGAGCGCAGTGGTGCTAGTTCGTGGACACACTGTAGGAGCTAGGCGGAGCAGGGCCAGCCGCATTGGCGGCGAACCCACTTGGAATAGAGTAGATTAAAAGCAAACTCTAGTCACAAAGTGACGGAAATGATAATCGCATCCAGCTCTCGTCCGCGACCGTGGCCATCCTGTCGCTCAGCTTGCATCCCGATGCTGCGTCGCTCGCGGTGTCGTTTTAGGATGACCTAATACTAATCACGTGACTCGCTCTTGTGTGTGCGGTTCCCGATAGATAGCGTGACAGCCAACCTGCCCATCCCGAGATCGAACTGCAAGCCAACATCCTGACTCTCGTCGCTCTACGAACCGGAGAAAAATCCCAATTGTCCAACCATGGTGTCCAGAACCCTTCCAAGATTTGCCGGGTATGTCTATCCCTGTGATCGGCATTATACTCCGTGCCGCATTGCTCCCTATCCCCCGTGCCGCTCCGGTGTGGGATTGAAGGATGGGTTTGAAGCCAATTGTTTCCGATCTGCTAACTCTTTACCGCTTAAGATACGTTTTCCGCGAGAACCGTGTCCCATACTACCAGCGCCTCTTCCAGAGGGAGGATGGCAAGCGCCAATGGTGGAAGGTTCGTCTTCTCTGCTTCGCTCTCCCGACTAGTCTCAAACCCCAATGCGGCCGGAAACCCAGATGAAATTGCATTCCATATCTGACTCAAAGCGCTTCAAATACAGACCCACAGAAGTCCATATATCCTCTATCCGTACTACTTCTCGCTGATCTTCACCTCTGGTGGTATGTTGCTTCCGGTCTTTCGGAATTGCGTCCCCATCCTGCTTTGGAAATGAAACTTAACGACTGACTCGGGGTAATTTTTCAGCTGCCTTCTACGGCATGACTAGAATGGTCTTTGTAAGTAGCCACTGCAGTTTGATTTGAAACACATGTGTTTACGGAGCCGGTGCTCAAATCGGGACCTGTCCACATTCCGCTGTATTGAGGGAAGAGACATTGACTAACAACCACAAACAGAACCGCAAGACCTGGTTCTAAACAAGCTATAGCACCTGGCAAAGGATGCCGATCCGGATTCCTTCTGGCTGTGCTATGAGATAGACTGTGCAAAATGTGTATATAATACATCAAAGGAAAAAAATCTACCAATGTTAAGTCTTGTTCTTTTAATATCTTTTTTTTTTTTTTTTTGTTTTTGACCTGATGGGCTCTTATGCAGAGGCCTACAACAACAAACAAAAACCAGAATCATGGATAGAAAGGGGAAATAGTTTCCTATACATATCAATCATCCCTATTACATTCCCCCATATACTTCATACTCTTGTTGAGAGAAGCTAGGCCAATACATGCTCAGAACTATTAGCCTCAAACAAGAGGAAAAATAAATATTTGAACATTAATGAAATGTAGCAACAAAAGCCCACTATGCATAGTGTAAACATTCCATTAATCTTTAAAACAAAAAGGAGCCAAAAAAAACAGGGTTACCTACTCTCCTGCTATAAACTAGTAGTATGTCACAGAAGTTCTTTTGTCAAAAAATATAAAAAAAGAGCCAATCTTACAAATCATGCCCTTCTGGAGTATTTTTTCATTTCCTTCTTCGTTTCTCTCTCTTTCTCTTTTTCCAAGTACTTCCTCTGCTCCTCGGCAGACATGCCACGTAGCAATCTATCGCGCCCTTCTTTCTTCACCTTCTCAGCAGCCAACTTGCGTTCTTCGGCTTTCTCATCTTCGGTAGCTCGGCGTAATCTACGGACCTCCTCTTCTCGGGTGGCGCGGAGCTTGCGGAGGACCTCTGGCCTGAAATGGGCGGAAGCGGCGAGTCGGTCGGTCAGACGGATGAAAAGGTGGAAGAGAGGGAGAGAAGAGGCGTAGGCGGTAGAGGAGGTGGAAGACGGGACGCGCATGGAGAGAATGGAACGCTTGCGGGAGACGGCTTCCTCAACCCTATGTGGATTTGTTAGTACGGTCTTTTTGTCAATTGAATACGAAATGGGTTTAGGGATATGCCATACTTGGCTGGTTTGTCGGCAGGCTGGTCAGTGATGATCAGATATTCAAACAGATCGCCAGCATCCTCGATAGCCTTGATGAGTTCGTTTGTGAGTATGGTATCTGTGATCTCGGCGCTCTCGCTCATGACAGTTACCCATTCAGGTAGCTTGGGATTGTCTTTGGTGAAGGTCAAAGAGACATCGTATCGGTCTTCTCTTAACCTGCGCATGGCAGTCTTATTCACAATAGCAAAGACAAATCCGTCATGCGTAGAGTTCATCCCCTTACCCAGTTGCTCCTTTTCTGCTGGAGGCGCAGGAACTAAATCCTTCTCCTTGCCGTCAAACGAGTACGCAGTGACCTCGATCTTCTCCGTCTGAGGAGTCAACGAATCAAAGAACATTCCCGCAATGGAATCGCCCAGGATGAACATGGGGTTATATCGCTTCACCAGCTGAATCGTCACATCTACAAATGCCACGTTTTGTCGTCCGGTCGCATACGTAGTGAACTCATTCGCAGCTTTTTCTCTCAACAGGTTGTCGTCAATAACCAAATCCGCCGAGGAAGACAAGTCTTTCAAAATGGCACCCCTTCGCACCCCTTTGTATCCCACAACTGCGAATTCATTGTGCAGCACCGGGATGTGAGCTTGGGCCCAGGCCTTGGCCTTGCGACGATTCTTCCGCGTCCCCCAGACATGGAAGATGACGATAAACAGGATGAACGGGAGGATGAAGGCCTCTTGCATAAAGTCCTTTGGCGACGTCCGCTCCCACACACGGTACCACTTCGTGTAAGGGACAGACGTCACCGGCGCAGCGATGGTAGAGCCAGGAGCCGATGCGGTAGAGGCCGAAGCGGCGGGCTGCTGGGAAGTAGCCGAGAAATCCGCGAAATCTATATTTTGAGATGAAGGGGGATATCAATTAGCTCATAGTTACTCATTTGCCCTCTCGCAGCGCACTCGTCGTTCGGTTAACTGTATCCAGGGGAGGCGGAGGCAGAGGCCCCGTGAAATATCATACCCGAATCATCTTGCTGCGACCCTCCCGAGGCTGAATCTTTAGATCCGCCTTTCAGGATGTTTTGAAATATCCCAGACATCGCTCCGGCAGCTGGATCGCGGTCTGCAGTTTGCCTGTCGAGTTTGCTGTTGGAGCCGTCGTGAGTGGTGAAGCTCCTGAACGTCAGCAGCGAGGGCGAAGTGTTGGGTGCCAAGGCTAAATGTCACTTTCCCCCACGAAGCTCAAATTCCGGAAAGCTTTCGGAGCTCTACTGGGGGAGGATGGTCAACGACTTTGAAACTTTAAACTAATTGCTTAGAAGGATGGCATTGTTGGAGGTAAGGAAATGTGGATGTTACATTCGACAAAGGAAAGGTTCAAAAGGAGCGACTTAGCATCCTCATCTCGACTAAATACAGTATAGTGATATCCTTTTCCCCCCAAAAGCAAAAGAAAAAGAAAAATCAGCCAATTTTTATGCCCTCCCAAACGCCTGGTATCAAGTCCGGGTCCAGTAAAGAAAAGTACATCCCTCAAAGAGCTAAATGATAATAACACAGAACCAACAGAAAAGGCTGCCATGCAAAGAATACAAATACACACCGGGCGGAGCGGCGACCACCAAAAAAAGGAGACAAAAAATATTAAAAACAGAATATGCCCTGCCCGATTAACGGAGTGGGGTGTTTTGTGTGTGTGTGTGTGTGGCTGACGACATGCTTTTTTTTCTTTTAATTAGAAACTGATCATGGGATACAGAGTCGCGGAAGGCAACTATTGACCGTAAGCCGGAGGGGGGGTGCGGGCCCTGGCGTGCTCCCAAGGGCCGGGGTAGTTATTATTCGCAGCAAACTTGCCTTCTTGGATCCGACGGGCGATCTCATTCGCCATTTTCATCATCCAAGCTTGCTCTAATATGCTGCTGTTTGGAACGGCATCTGTAATTGACCGGTTCGCATTCGATTCATACGCAGATGAGGCCTCATGAGATTTTTCCCGGGAAGCTAGGTAGGCCCCATGAGAAATTGGTTGTTGCTGTGACGATGTTTTGGCACCATCAGCAGAGAGAGGTATCATAGGACAGTGGTTTGCGCGTTGTGGATGCAAAGTAGAATGAGGAGGCTGAGTGTAGGTCAGTTGCTGCGCAACAGAAGCCCGCAGCTTCCCTTTGTCTTCAGACGTGGAGAATCGGTGTTGACGGTTGGGAATTCGCATCGTCGTTTCAGGTGACATAGGTGGGGTGACCGGGTCATCATTCGCTTCCTCTCGCATCACGGAGGATGAAAACACAGTCGAAGGAGCGGTGGATTCTGTAAATGTACTCTCTGCACTCACGCTTTCACCGTCTGCAGGTTTGTTGTGCTTTCGTAGATCTACAACCCGCTTCTTCCGCTTTCTGGTTGGCCGGGTCTTAGAATGGCGACCAGCGCCTAGGCTAAGCCCGTATCCGCTGAAAGAAGAACCCGGTGTAGTAGACCGGTTTTGAAGAGATAGGACGCTCGACGCGTCTTGCAAGGAAGAGAGAGGAGAGGAGATGTGGGAATGTGTTCGGGATAGAACCGGGCTGCCTGGCGAAACCACCCCACTAGCCGCACCCTCGCCCTGATCGGCACATCCGGTCCATGCTCTGAAGACAACTTCTCTAATTGAAGGCGTAAAAAGAGATAGCGTTCGTTGAGAATTCGTCAGGGCGGCAAGGCGTAGAAGGTTCTTCTGTGAAAAGAGCGAATGCATCTCAACTCCGGAGTCAAGAGATAAGGATGCAATGTCTGCCGAACTTAATAGATTTCCTGATGCATCCACCGGGTCCTTTGGAGGGCTCAAGAGCGGATCTTCCCCGGGACCAGACGCAGATGCAGCGGGGCTTTCTCGCGCCTCAGCGTCCAGACCGCGATATTCCGGCACCCACAATCGCAACGAGAGTCTGTGTATGATAGCTGGCAACTCGTCCATAAAAAGGATCCGGAGTTGGCCTTCAATTTCCCTTTGAAGATAATCGCGAACGGACGGAATGGAGTCAAACGTTGAAGATACTTTCAACGATTCAAGCGGGTCATTGCGGAAAACGACAGTTATCCCCTTTTGTTTCGAAAACACTAGGATAACAAAGCCCGAGAGTCTGAAATTCGAAAGAGTTATTTGCAACGGAATTGTTAAGCCCGACCTGTTCGACCACTCCTTGTCAGCAAGTATCGTTGCAACATGTAGAAGGCTAGTTTTCACTTACGCAGCGGCAAGTGGTTTCGGAGAAGCATATGCGGGACGAGTGATTAAGTAGGTATTTAATGGATTCGCCTGCACGCGCGTTTTCAGCGTCAGGAATGCGTCTCCGGAATAAGACATTTTGAAGATGCCGCGAAATCGATCTTCGGCCAAATCGCCAATCTCCAATATTTCCAGCTCTGGTGGGATTGATCCCAGATTCAACTCCGTTACGACGATGTCATCGACAATGATAGGAGGCTTTGGCGATTTATTCAGTGCCGTGGTTAGCAGGTCCTGCGCTCGGGTGTAGAACCCTGCATCCGCCATTAACGGCGACCAGTTGAAGTTGAACGCCATGACGAGGCATCTGAAAGATGATACAGGGATGAAATTCAACCACGAAGGACAGAAAGATCGGACCTTTGTAGCGGGATAGAGGAATCGATCGAATCCGGTGCGGAACGCCGGGTGACCAAAATTCTGCCTGAGTCGCGTGCCGTCCGGATCTCGTGATGCAAGGCGAATTTCTAAAGTTGGGGATGGATTTAGCAGCGCAACCGAACACTGCTTCAGCAAAAAACACGACTCAACCCATCCATGTGAGCAGGCAGGCTTCCTGGACAGACTTGCTCCCGATATCTCGGTTAGACTGATAGGGGAGCTCGGATGTGGTGATGGGGGGCGATAACGAGAGCTGGGTGCTGAGCAAAAATTATTAATCTTCGGGGGGAAAAAAAAAAGGGAAAACAAGGAAAGGTTTTCTTGGCGCCGAATTCCGGCGTATTGCTGTAATTAATGGAAAATTTGGATCAGCGTAATACAATATCTTCTTGACCCCTGAGAGCACTTCACTCTAGCCAATGGACTTCCGCCCATCACACGCCTTCTTCAAGTGCCTGAAGAGGCCAATTTCCCTGTGAATAACTGGCGTGTGAGTGTTCTGACGCGGAGTGTTTATGGATATTGATGGAAACTTTTGAACGAGCCACCCTATGATCTTTCTCGCCCACAGGTTTCCTTCACGGAATCACAGATGCTATGGCAATGTTTTCACCTCATATTCACTTTGGTTTTCTGTTTCTGAAGGCCCTTGTGTTTATTATCCATTTGAGGCTGCTGGCTAATGACGGGGTCATCTCGACCAGCATAATGACATAATTGATACAACTCTGTACGGAGTACCTGCAGTGGCGCATTCAAAGTGGCAGACGCTATTATGCTTTCTGTTTATTTTCCTTTGATCCTCAAAGAAATTGTTGGAAGATGTGACAGATTTCGACAGCCATAACTGGCTACCTCGTGTAAGACGGCAGAACATACCCACTGGCGGACCGTGGACTTTAGATGAAAAGATTTTGTGTATCCTGGCGACCATGTGCAATACCGTGCTCATGTTTTAACACCCGAATCTCAGCCGGCTGTGCTTTATGCTTTCTCCCTGCCCTGAGGGATTTAATAGAGGCTTATTTTGCCAATACTCTTCTCCTAGTTGGAGTTTCTTTTACCAGTGCTGAAGAGAATAGGGACACCGAGTACGGAGAACTCCCTACATGACGGAAAAAGCCACACCCCAACATCACATGTCCTTAAGGTTGGCTGCTCAGGCACATAACGTATTCCACAATCGAGCGGGACAACCAAGCGAGCGGGACACCAAAATACGCATACAAATCTCAACTTTTTGCTCTCTTATATCTTAACAAGTCTATGTCTGATCATTATAAAATGAAGAAGATACTATACAGATATAATAAACTTTGTAAATTATAAGAATTATTTAAATATAATAATTATTTCTTAAGTTATAGTATTTTATTATCTTTTTACTAGCATGTATCAAAGTATCTCCACAAATAATAGAGTTAAATAAATCAAATTGATAATACTGTTTATTAAGTGTCTATATACTCCGTACTCTACATCTAAATTCTAAAGTCTATATTCAACAATGTTGTTGAGATATAAGAGATTTGTATGTGTATTTTGGTGTCCCGCTCGCTTGGTTGTCCCGCTCGGTTGTGGAATACGTTAGCCTTTTTTTTCTTTTTTTTTTGCATTGGCTGTTGAGTGCTCAGAAAATCCAGCTGGGTTCCATTATTACAATACTCCTGTTTATTTGTGATAATCAGATCTGAATTTAGGCATGCTGTCTAGAGTTCCATCCAGAACAAGCTCATGCATGTTTCATGTTAAAATCAATGTGGTCGGACTCCTATTTGAATCTATTTGACGTGTCATCTCATAGGGAACATCAAGTCGAGGAAAACTAGATGGACCTGGGAGCCAAAAACCGCAGATTAGTAGGAGCACGAGAAACTCTTTATGGAAGAGTCATATCGAAGCCAAACGGCTGCGTGTCATCGAAAAATGTAAGTTTACACCAATCCTGTTCTCTAGAAGTAGAAGTTCTCGAAGCCGAATTGTTCATACATCAGTCTTCCTGCGTGGAGAGTGCGGCAAGCGTCCGTACAAATCAAAACATAGGCCTCCCCGTGATTGCCCATGATCAGTGGGCTTTTGGTGCAGTTGTGCGTCCGGTTTGCATCAAAACTTAGTAAATTCTCCAATCACCCGGTGATAGTAACGGGCACAGGAGGCGCCTCTACTCCTGTATACGGAGGTGAAGTGTTGAGAAGCACGGTGAAAACATACGGACTTACGAGGAATATGGTATACGGAGCCAAAAGGAGATAATGAGGGAGGGTAGTATATTGGGTGATTACAGAACAGTCGGCTTACATATTCGTTAGCAGTGGAATGGCTTGACAGAGTCGTGCGTCCACGCATTCTTGTTATCTTTCAACCAGCATGTGCAATTCCATTCGGCGATGGGATCGTTCGGTCCTACGGTGCGGAAGATTCTCCAGGTCCGCAGCCATTTCCCTCTGTTGGTTGCCCCGGTAACGGCGCTGACTAAACTACATTAGGAATTATCAAAAGACGCGGCACACGATCGATATAATATGGCTCATGCTTGCTTGCGTAGAAGCACGCTGAAAGCATCCCCCGTAAGACACGAGCATATCGAACACTGACAATGATATCTTCGAACTGTGTGAATATGCTCACAGTTCGGCCCAAAAATTCGCCCAAAAATTCCCAAAATCGACCCCTCCGCTCTAAAAGGCTGTATGGAAAACGAGACGCAAATTCGTCGAGAGCGGTGCTCGATATTGAGTGCAAAAGCTCCAGCAGAACGCACAGAAACTCTGAGAATATGAGCCCCGGGGCTAATAACCTGGTGGAAACGTTGCAGGAGAAGCTCGCCGGAATTACCCTTGAGGAGCAGAGCCCGAAGAAACTTTGGACAAAAAAGAGGCCGAGGATAGGTGTACAAATTCGGCAAGCTAGTCCATCGGCGGACGATAAGCTAGAAGAGGAAAACTGTAAGGTATCGACGAATGCGGCTGTCACACAAAATCATGATATGGAGGAGCGCCACGCAGAAGCACAGGCGGAGACGCCCAAGCCGGACGAAACAAAAAAAGAGCAGAAGGGGAATAAGAGGAAAGTTATCAAGTCTCAACCACAAGCTCGGAAAAGTGATCTAGTAAATCACTATGTGAGGCCAATTTTGGAAGAAGCGATGTCAACCAGAGAGGTCGAGGATTTCGATACCTGGGCCGAAAGAGCAGGGGACATGTTCGACGTTGAGAAGATCGCCGAAGGCTCCTACGGCGATGTATACCAATTACGCGTACGACAAGATATTTCCAGGCGAGAGCTGTCCAGATCCAAGGCCGCGAGATTGAAAGCTTACGACAATGGCGTGTTCAAAATAGTTCCGTTGCGCGCACAACGTGGCGCCGGCTCTAAGAAGTTTACGTCCATTCAAGAGATTGTTGCTGAAGTCCAAATGCTGAAATTGCTTGATGCCATTCCTGGATTTGCGAGGTTTAGAGACGTCCACGTTGTTCAGGGTAGGTTTCCAGCATCTTATCAAGAGGCCTGGACTCGCTACAGTGAAACGAGAGATGACTGCTACAACCCCGATCCGAGCAAGAAAAAGTCGTATCCTGACAATCAAGTATGGGCGATTTTGGAAATGGATAATGCTGGATATGAACTGGAAAAATTCGACTGCTCATCAATTTTCCAAATATACGACATATTCTGGGGAGTGGCGTTAGGCCTGGCTAGAGCAGAGCAGTTTGCAGCCTTTGAGGTAAGCAAGTCTTTATATATGTCTTTGGGCTCGGTGACTAATTCTGCTTGCAGCACCGTGACCTCCACTTAGGGAATATTTGCATTAAATCTACAAAACCGAAGGGATGCTTACATGGCCCCCTCAAGCCGTCATCGCAGAATCCGGGCATTGGCACAGGCTTTGGTCTGAGTGGCATCGAGACAACGATAATCGATTATTCACTCTCTCGAGCTAATCTAAAGATGAGTGATATACCAGTCGATGAGGATATTGCTTGGTCAGACCTCGATAAGAAAAAGCTCTTCGATGCCATCGGGAGAGATGACGATGAGAAACTCCTCCGAGACACATATAGATTGTTAGTCGCATCACTAGACAATTGCTTCACTGAGCTGCATATCTAACAACGTTGGCAGGATGCGCACAGAGGTATACAAAGACCAAATTCCATGCCGTCCTCGAGACGAACCCTGGCGTTGGAAAGAGTTCAGCCCCAAGACGAATCTAATATGGCTCTCCTTTATCCTTACCATGCTGCTAGTCAAAGGCAGCGATCATGGTATTCTTCCAACGCCGCGGGAACCACTGACGGCCCTCTCTGTGAACACCAACACCCTAACCCCTGCCCAGAAAGGCAAGTCTGGCGCCAAAGTAAAATCTGCAAAGAAAAATCATCTACCGGGAATAGATTTCCAGTTAGAATTGCTGGACCGCCTCCAGACAGTTCTAGATGTTTTAGATCCTGAAGAGCAGGATGAAGAATGCGATATCCTATCTTGTGCGGGCGATTTGGTTGCATTTGCTATTGGGTCGCAATGGCTGTCGGAGTCGGACTTTTCATGTTAAATTCTGAAGATGAACAGCGGAAAACATGATTTTCACTGGATATTAGATGCATGATAACCTCAATACGTTTTGTTGTTAGGCATTTAACGGCAGTGTTTTGTTTTTTGCATTGTTAGATTCGCATTATAGGAGTCAACAATGTCTCTCAGCGGTTGAAGGTCTGAGGCTGCCAAGGGACGCGACGCGCCAATTAGTTAATTAGCACGTGACCAAGGACGCGGCGCGTTCCCCGCATTCTAACTGTTCTTCATTTCCCCAACTGATGCACCAGCTTCAGCCATCGCGGACGACCAGCCGAGATGGCTGTATGCCGGGGATCGTCAGCTCGGGCACCGAGATTCGAATTATTCCCGAAGTTCCCATCTGAGCTCTCATGGCGGCGTACTGCATAGAGATGCTCTACTCACTCTGGATAAAGGTTCCCCATGCAAAGGGAACGTGTGTGTGAAGGGCGCATCGTACCTGTTGGCCCGACTTGATTGCATGGGACTTTCTACTTCGATCTTCCATTAGCACATAATTCTTCTCGTTAAGATGTCTATTGTTAGATCTAGAAGCCTGGGATTCATCGGAATCGGGGCGATGGGTCGACCCATGGCGGAAAATCTCGCAAGCAAATTACCACCCCCTTCCATTATTAACATCTACGATGTGTCCGAGAAGGCGATGGACGAGTTATCCATGAGGAATGACGGAAAGATAGTGAAGTGCTCAAGCGCGAAAGATGTGGCAGAAAAATCAGTACGCATTGCAGACTTCCACAAAAGCCTTTCAACATTCAGATTCTCGCCAAAAGGCCTAGAAGGTAGGTATTTTCCGTCTAACTACAGACGAATAATAGGATATCATTATTACTATGGTTCCCGAAGGCCTGCACGTCAGACAAGTATACCTTGACTCTACAGCTGGGATATGTACCGCCGATATATCCAATAAGCTGATCATCGACTGCTCTACAATTGATACCGCGACAAGTCTCTCAATTAAAGAGAATATTTCCGCAAAGTTTCCCAGTGCATCGTTCTACGATGCGCCTGTCAGTGGTGGCGTGATCGGTGCTAAAAAGGGGACTATCGCGTTCTTCCTTGGTTGCGCGAATGACGACCCAAACCTCCCTCAGCTTGCAGAACTCGCGTCTATGATAGGCAAGCAAGTCATACCCTGTGGTGGGCCATCCCTAGGCCTCGCAGCAAAGCTTTCGAATAACTATCTCTCTGGCCTGATCGCCATCGCTTGCTCGGAAGCAATGAACATGGGAATGCGCTCAGGGCTGGATCCTCGTGTGCTGGCCAACGTCTACGCCGCAGGTACTGCACAAAATACGATCTGCGACCGGTTCAACCCTGTCCCGGGTGTATATCCTGATTCTCCGTCGAGTAATGGATACAAAGAGGGGTTTAAAGTGCAACTCATGAAGAAGGATATTGGGCTGGCTGTTGAGATGGCACAGAGAGTCGGGGCACGGTTGGCCTTGGGCGAAGCGGGCCTGAAGGCCTATGCAGACGCTAGTGAAGATCCCAGGTGTAGAGATCTAGATTCGAGGGTTGTTTATCGGTTTCTAGGGGGAATTGAGGATTGGGAAGGGAGAGAGCAGTGAATAGCATGTGAAGAGTTTGACTCCATTCCCGTTGGAATCATTAAGGTCTGTGTAATAATGATCCATGACTCTATAATTTTAAACAAGATATGCTTTAGATCGCACGAGAGTAGAGTAAGTCGTTTCTCGTCTTCAGTATCAAGAGCTGACATTTCTGATGTCATGCTTATCACCTTCTACATCAGTATTCCGTACTGAGTAAAGTTCGTCATATCTATCTGCAAGGAGCTACCACCCGGTGATAGCAGCCGCCACGAGGTCTCAAATCAAGCAACCTTCTTGCCCAGCTCCCGCTTATGCTCTCCCTTTTCTTCCATCTCATTTAACACTCTCTCGGCGGTTTTCATCGCATCCACGCCCGCCGGCACCCCGCAGTACGTCGTTGCGTGCAAAATCGCTTCTCGGATCTCAATTTCGGTCAAACCGTTATTGATCGCTCCTCTAATATGCACGGCCAGCTCGGGCGCCCTGTTGAGTGCCATGAGCATTCCAATGTTCAACAGACTGCGCTGCTTGCGATCGAGACCCGGACGCGTCCAGGCGTACCCCCAGCAGAACTCTGTCACAAGCTCCTGGCCGGCGCGGGAGAACTCGGTAGAACCGCCGGCGAGGGCGCGATCAACGTACTCGTTGCCGACAACTTCACGGCGAACCTTGAGGCCCTCTTCGAAGAGCTTTTCGTGGAGGGGAGTGAGGCTTGGGTCGGTAGACATTTCTTTGGACTTCTATTCCCTTCTTTTGCGTATTCGACCTTACGTCGAGCTTCTGACTTTGCTCCGATCCTGGGAATTTGCTCTTTCTGAGTTGTGATACCCTTGAGTATGAGAATGCTTTTGCCAGATATAATTGATCCTAACTCACCAGTTTCCCTTGTATTATGTTCCGTGTGGAGTATGAGAATGAGGTCCTATTATGGGCCGATCCTCGAAACTCAATGCGGACCAAGGCAGCTAAACTCGAGAGTAGTCGCAACTCGTTCCGTAAAGCGAAAGTTTTTTTGTCCTCCAAATTGACTTTTATCATCGGCTCCAGACAAGAATTCCGGCAAGCCTTGAGCCGGTTTGGGTCCCGAAGGCAGAAGGGGAACGTTTACCCCGCATGGTTCTCCAAGCCTACAGCGGCGCTTCAGAGAACCCCGTTACGCAGAAAAAATGTATGTACTGTACATGCATAGACTGCAATGTGTTTGGCATTGGATAGGCTTATCTGACGTAATAACTCTATGCACCCCCAAATTCAATCGCTTTGTTCGAAAAAGATCAAGATCTCGCATGGATAAATTTTGGTGTGGAGTGCAGCGAAAGTCGAGACGAAAAGTTGCCGATTTAGTGAGAATCTGCGCCAAGACCACGACCTTGCGCGCCATGTCCACGTGATTCCCCGCACCCCGCCCGAGCTTTTCTCCGCATCGCCCTTTTTTCTGCTGAAGCAAAATCCCTTCGCTGCTCCGTGTTTATAACATAAGTCACTCCGGCAGAGCGATCGCGGCCTCCAGCTCTCTCCATACCAAAAGCGACAGAAGTTCCACTAGCCGTTCCCCAACTCCATCCCGAGGTCTTCATGGGGGATGGAACCGTTGCCAATGCGCCGACGGACGCTCCGGCAGGGGAGGCTGGCCCTTCGCCGAGCTCTGGAAACGCAGTAGCCAATGATCCCAGCCCATCTGCGCCAGCAAAGAAGCCGAGGAGATTTCACTGCAAACGCTGTGATACCAGATTCTCGAGGCTAGAACATCTTCAAAGACACGAGAGAATTCGTATGTCCGCCACTCCTTATCCATGCTCCATCTTGGCCAATCGAACTTTTCTCTATTTCAACGCAAAGTTTATATTCGAAGCTAATCATTCTTCAAACAATTTGCAGATACACAAGAAAAGCCGTTCGCATGTCAGCTGTGTGACCATCGGTTTACCAGGAGGTAGGATACTGCCCTACTCTAAAGCGCTGGTTTAGCTTATTAATATAATAGCCATTTTGCTGATCGACTCCTGCAGTGATCTGTTAATTCGACACGAACGGCTGTCACATAACAAGATTGTACCACACAAACGTGGAAAAGGATCTAGGTCCAATGCCAATAAAGCCACTGCTACTCCTAATCCAAGCTACCATGACACGCCATCGTCCGCGCAGCCTGCCATTCCCACAACATTTGATGACCATCATCGGCCTTCCATTGCGGTTACTCATCCAAGCATTGAACGTCATGATGACTTTCCCTTGGCCACCTTATCAATGGCTGCGGAGCACGTCTCGCTTCAGATGCCGTATGACGCTCCCTCCAGCCATCCCGCCCCCAATTCAACCCACATTGCTTTCGGACAAAGTGGTCCAATAACGACCACCGAGCCACCGTCCCAAATGGGCGCAAATATTCATAGCATAGAACTCGAGAACTCCTTGAATGAGCTCTCATCTTTCCTGGACAATGGCGCCATATCATCCTATCATTTCTCTTCGCTCGTTTCTGCCGAGCAGCCAATGCCACTATTTTCTCCAGAATCAATAACCCTTCCACCTGAAATGGGCCCCGGGAACCATTTGACCCCCAGCTATGAGCCCGGTCATCATAATCATAACCATCACGCTGACGAATCTGGATCCTTCTCCCATTTTGAGTCCCGACTTCCGTCTCTTCAACCAGAAGAACAACCCCCTCAGATTAGACGGATGCACATTCCTCATCGCCCATTGAGCGAGATCTCTCTTGACGACAGGAAATATATTCTCTCAAAATTAGATGAGTTTTCTTCGGTAATTCAGCCTTCTTTTCAGCTGCCGTCTTGCTTGGCACTTGCAAGATACGTTGCTGCTTACATCAATGGATTCCATGAACATCTTCCTTTCCTCCATATCCCGACCATGTCTGTTACTCATTGCTCGGTTGAACTTATCCTTGCTATTGCCGCCGTGGGAACCCAGTACTGCCTTGAAGGAGAAAAGGGGATCGACCTTTTCCATGCAAGCCAAGCAATTGCAATGGAACGAATACGGCGCAGAGACGTGAGAAGGAATACAAACCACCGACATGCCATCCCAGAAACAGCCTCTGTGAGGGCATCAGGGCAAACCCTCGGTTCCTATCAGTCACTATCTCTGGCTGGGCAGCTGGACCCATCCCATGAGTCTTCCTTTAAAACAGTTTCCCAGGAAGAAGACCTCATACAGACCATTCAAGCATTGCTCATTCTAATGGCCATGGCAACATGGGCAAAGCAAAAAGAAATCCTCCGGGAAGCATTAGCTCTACAGAGCATCTTGGCCACCCTGGTACGCGATCACGGTCTCCAGGGTCAACCTATGCCAGACAATGTTTCGTGGGAGGAGTGGGTTCCGTTGGAGACCGCTAAAAGAACGAAGTTTATCGTGTATTGCTTTTTCAACCTACATTGCATTGTTTACAACATTCCGTCTTTGATCTTGAATTCCGAAGTTGACCTAATGTTACCGTCCGGCTCGGCTGAATTCAAAGCTCCAACTGGATCTCTCTGGCTTGAAGCGAAGGCAAAGGCCTCCTCAGAGGTTAGCTTCCAAGATGCGCTTAACCGCTTATTCTCCCGCGGTGGGACTGAGGTGGCGGAATCCAACTCCTCGCTGGGCAATTACATCCTGATACACGCCATTATCCAACACATCTTTTTCCTTCGTCAAGTTACCCGTGGACGTTTCGATGGCAAGAGGGACATGGCCGCCGAAGACGTTTGCGCTTTGGAACGAGCCCTACGTAACTGGCAAATTGGTTGGAAACGCCATCCTGAATCTTCGCTTGATCCACAGGATCCCAACGGCCCAGTTGCTTTCAACTCGACTGCTCTTCTTCGCCTGGCTTACATACGTCTTAACATTGACATCGGCCCTGGGCGAGCGCTGGATACTCGAGATCCGGTGCAGATCGCAAAGGCGTTTCGTGCCAGCCCACCGATACGACGGACTCCTAAGCTGGTTCGGGCCGTCCTCCATTCAGCTCATGCTTTAAGTATTCCCGTGAAAATTGGCATTAGGCTCGTTGCCCAAACGCAAACTTTTATATGGTCGATTCAGCACTCGATTTGCTCACTAGAATGCGCCTTTCTGCTGAGCAAATGGCTTGAAGCATTATCAGTGCCTAACCCAGACCCGCCGATTAGTGACGATGAGCGGCGCATTTCTGCGCTTGTGAAAATGATGCTCGACGAAACCGAATTTCCAGTGCCGTCTAATTTGGCAATGGGCTCACCGGAGATGAACCAGCAACTCAATGCTGGAGTATTGCGGGTGTGGGCTCAAATATTCAAGGGCTCTCAGACATGGGCTATTGTTGGCGTCATCGGCAATGCTCTGAATATTTGTGCCGATTTAGCCCAAGGGGGTTGACTAGTGACCCGTGGTCCTAACAGTCCAGGAGGTTTCTATTTGTACGAAGAGCATATCAAAGCTCCTATAGCCTTCGCAGGGTTTGTTCCGCTCCTATAGTCAGTGGTGGGGTTCGTACAGGCTTGGACGGAAGCAAGGTATGGATGCCAAGAGATGAGGGGTTGCCTGCATTCCCCAAACCTACCCCAATCCGGTACGGACGTACAACTTCAAATATCATCAGTGGTACTCCGCAGCATGAAAGATCGCTCACGGCGGGGTATGACAATTCACCTCGGCGAAGAGAGACCAGGCGTGCCATCCACGTTCTTAGGACTTGTTTTAAAAGCAACCCATATCGATTTTGAACAGTCGCTTTTTCGATCGCCTCTAGGGTGCTCCGCACAGGTTTTTGAAAAAGGCATCCTCGTCAGTCACGGTCCATGCGCTTCGAGCGGGTCGCTTCACCATCCCGGAACACATCTTTGTTACCGGGGCATCGGAATTAGACAGAAAGACTGTCCCTTCACTTGCATTCCTTATCCAACATCACAACATCTCGACAGGAAAAACGACAAGGATTGTTTTTGACCTTGGGTTGCGAAGGGATATTAGGCGGTACCCTGCTCCCATTGAGAGACATTTGAGGACAAGACAGCCTCTTGAAACAGATCCGGATGTTGTCAAGAGCCTTGCAGCTGGAGGGTGATCGCCCAATGATATTGATTATGTGATTTATTCTCATGTCAGTCTCTAGCCAGTCTTCAACAGTAATGGCAAGGAGCTTCCTTTTTTTTTTCCTTTTTGGAGCTAACATGTCCATGCAAATCTTAAAAGGTGCATTGGGATAATGTTGGTGAGCCTCGCGATTTCACTCGGAGCACATTTGTTGTTGGTTATGGGTCGTTTGACCTACTCAGAGGCAAGATCCCAGCGCCACGGGGGAGCCATTCGATTTTTGAGGACTACTTAATCCCCCATGATCGTACAGTTCAGCTTCTAGATCCTGGTATCTCCGATACCGGATCAAACTTGAATGAACCCAACAGCGAGGAGTCACCAGGATCGCCGGACTTCAAACAACTCTGGAAATCTCATTCCGAGGGATCAGTTTCATGCATCGCCATGGATATATTTCATGACGGTAGCGTGTATCTCATTGACGCGCCCGGCCATTTACCCGGTCACACCAATCTTCTCGCTAGGACTGATATGGGCTCCATCTACCTAGCCGGTGATGCGTGCCATGATAGGGGTATTCTCCGCAAGGAGCGAGGAATTAGCCAGTGGCAAGATTCCACTGGCCATATGTGTTGCATCCATGCAGACCCCAAGAGGACTGAGGAAACACTTGAACTCCTCGGGGCATTTGAGCGGCAGGGAGTTGAGGTAATTTTGGGCCATGACGTGGATTGGGAAATGGATCCGGTGAATGCACATAGATTCTGGGGACACGCAGAAAGTGAAGGACGATCCAAGGGTCAAGATAATAAAGCTCATTCTCGTCAATCAGAGCTCTGATCTAGTTGAACGTATCCGTAGTGATATGACGTTGGTGGATGTAGCTCAGTCGTGAACACCATTGTTATTTAGCTCCAAAGGATTTAATTAGTTAGTAAACTAAACGGAATGACTTCATGAAACTAGGCGAACCTCCCTGTGTACCTTTGCTCACCGATGCCTTTTAGCAGCCTGTCGAGGCGAGGAGACGGCGTGTGATCAAAAAGCCAGCAGGAGCTGGGGCAATCACATGACGTCGATGCATGATCCCCAGACAAGCCCAACGTCCCTCGCATCACAATTTTGAAGTGGGAGCTCGTTAAATTATTTAGAATGACTCAGTTATCTGGGTCATTTACGACATAGTTAACTCCCCTCCATAAGATGCTGAGAAGTCGTCTCCAGCAGCTCTTCGCGCCGCGCCGGTTGTATAAACGCGTGGACGTAGAGGACACAGAGCGGGATGGAGTCGAGGAAGACGTTACACAAGAGGAACCTATTCCCAGCGCATTCTCATGGCTGGAATACGGGATATTTCTATGGATGGGGGTATCCATGTTGTGGGCATGGTGCGTCGTATGAGCTACGCAGGCTGTGTAGCTCATCTTCCCTTGCGCAGCTCAATATTTTGTAAAAGGCCACAGCTAACTGGAATTTACGTGCCAATAGGAACATGTTCCTCGCAGCAGCACCGTACTTTCAACGCCGATTTGCTTCCGATCCTTGGATCCGAACGAATTTTCAATCATCCATCCTCTCCGTCTCCTGCATAACTAACCTGACATCCGTCCTTGTTCTCGCGAAACGCCAGAAAAATGCCTCCTATCCTCGAAGGATCAGGGCTTCCATGCTTCTCAATATCTGTGTATTTACGCTGCTTGCCTTATCCACTGTTTTATTCCGTGGGGTAGCCGTTTGGGTATACTTCGTCTTCATCTTGGTTATGGTGTTTGCAGCTTCCATGGCTACAGGCACGAATCAGAATGGGGTCTTCGCGTATGTTGCTAGTTTTGGCCGGAATGAATATACACAAGGCATCATGGTTGGCCAGGGGGTTGCGGGCGTTTTGCCGTGCATTGTGCAGGTGATAGCCGTTCTCGCAGTCCCAGATGAGCCCAGCGACACCGTGGACGAGGAAAAGGTCCAATATCAATCGGCGAAATCCGCATTTGTATACTTTGCAACTGCAACGATCGTCTCTTCGATTGCTTTCGTTGCATTTCTGCACCTCAATGGGAAGCATCAATCTCGCATTCTGAAATCTCCAGGGCTTCCCCCATTCGAATCCGACGAGGAGGAAACGCCCACCAAGAGATCAATTCCTCTGCTGACTTTGTTCCGGAAAGTACCCTGGGCTGCCTCCGCGATGTTCATCACCTTCGCCGCCACCATGGCTTTCCCGGTTTTCACCGCTGAGATTCACAGCGTCCGAGAGGCCGAAAGTCCTCCTCCTTCCCGCATATTCCAAGCTGCTGCATTTATCCCCTTGGGCTTCCTCTTCTGGAACTCCGGGGATCTCTTGGGCAGAATGTCAGCTGGACTCCCCATGCTCAACAAACTAACCCGTCGCCCGTTTCTCTTATTCGTGATCTCCTTAGCTCGCATCTTGTTCGTCCCACTATACTTAATGTGCAATATCCGTGGAGAGGGCGCGAAAGTTAAGAGTGACTTCTTCTATTTATTTGTGGTCCAATTGCTGTTCGGTGTCACGAATGGATACTTGTGCTCTTCGTCCATGGTCAGCGCGGTAGAGTGGGTGGGCGAAAATGAGAGAGAGGCTGCAGGAGCATTCATGAGTTTGATGCTCGTCGCAGGGCTTACCACGGGTAGCTTACTGAGCTTTTTCGTTGCAAAGTTATGACCTGTTTTTGGTAATTTTAACCCGACTTGGCGTTTTTGGTTCTGTCTCTATGGTTTTTTGGCCTATATTGGAAGCGGGATGCATATTTTGGATGACATCGATGATTGATGAAACCCGCCATATAGATTGGAGTGTATATGTGCCATATACCTTCTATGTTCAATATGCCGTTTTGGTAAATAAGATAATATGACTTCTGTAAGATTGCCATTTTCCCACTATTGTCATATACATACATGTGTGTACTTGAAACTAGGTCATTTGCTCTGAAAGTACCCGATCCGAGCCGACAAAATACGATTATAATGAGTCTATCATTAAGTGGGAGAAAGGTATATATGTGTACAGCTAACTGGCTCCATATGTGGCCAGAAATGCCCAGCCAGAGACTGGAAAGGACGCTAATTCAAAACGCCAGCTGGAGGTAGGAGTGGAGAAAATATCGCAAGAATTAAGAGTGAGGGAGACGAATCCAGCGAGACTCGATCTATAATAATACATATAGACTGATAAAGATCGTAAGAAAAGTCACAAAGAACGGTCGTAACAGCAAAGTCCAAAACAAAGTCTATATGCCCCTCATTGTCCCATTGGATATCATGAGATGAACTAGTACAGCAAGACAAAAGAAAAGTAAAGATACGAAATAGTTGTCAGGGACTTGACAGTTATCCTGTTCTAGTCGATAATGCAGATGTTGATGAATATTCTTGCGACTCACAGAACCTGCGTTGAGCAAGCCTGATCGGTGCCAGGGAGTCAACACCGGGCAACGAAGAAAACCGAATTAGATAAAAGATCCATGGATCTTGAGAGAGCATGTCCCCACATGGAAGCAAGAAACCGGAACCATCCTTGATTCAACCTCAAAGCTTAGGGGCTGCACTAGCTCTTTCACCTACTTCCCCATCGCTCTTCGCAGATTCAAGCTGCTTTGCTTGATCCTGCTCTTCTTCTTCAATTTCTCCGCTTTCGTCATATTCCTCATCTTCGCCCTCTTGGAGCATTTGCTGTAACTCTTCTGCTTCAGAGGGTGGCCCGCGGATCGCAGAGCCTTCATAATGTGCCACTGGTGTCATTCCCGACTCTCCTCCATTCATTTGCCATTCCATAAGTTTCGTGAATGCACCGTCCGGTCTCGAGCTAAGATCCTTATAGGAACCTTGTTCGGCAACTCTGCCGTCAGAGTCGAGAACGATAATTGTATCAGAGCGCTTTATGGTGGATAATCTGTGAGCAATGCTGATAGTGGTGTTACTTCCACGGAATAATGCTGCCAAGGCGCTATTTACAAGGGTTTCAGACTCTGCATCCAGGGCAGACGTGGCCTCGTCCAGGATCAAGATATCTGGATCTTTGATGAGTGCTCTAGCGATGGCAATTCGTTGTTTCTGACCTCCAGAGAGCTGCGCTCCTCGCGCGCCTACATGTGTATCAAGGCCGTCAGGCTGAGATTAAATGTCAGTGTCAAATCGGCCGCAGATCAAAAAAGAAAAGGAAAAGATACGAAAACTTACGAAGTCGCTGATAAACTGGCAGTTGGCTTTTCTTGCAGCAACGATAATTTCTGCCCTGGTGGCCTCTGGTTTTCCATAGGATATATTTTCAGCGATAGTGCCTGAAAACAAGACCGGTTCCTGTGACACCACGCCAATCTTTCTCCGAAGGGATTTGGCATTCATCGTAGTAATGTCTTTGCCATCAATAAAGATCTTTCCTGTGTTTGGATTGTAGAAACGGAGCAACAACGCTGCAATCGTGGATTTCCCGCCTCCAGAAGGGCCAACAATAGCGACATTAGCTCCCTGTGGGATTTCAAAGTCAAGATCCTTAAAAATAGTCACAGCGGGGCGAGTTGGGTAGCTAAACTTGACGTTTTCGAAACGAATAGGCCCCTGAGCAGATTTGACCTTAGTCCCAACGGTAGGCGAGATTGTGGGTGCTCGGTCCTGTAGCTCAAAAAGACGACTCGCAGCACCAACGCCCTTCATCAATTCTGAGTAAAAGCTTGACAAGCCGAACATGCTCGAGCCAGCGTAAACAGTATACATGAGGAATGATGTCAGTTCACCGATCGTGATTCCTCCAGATTGAACCATTCCACCGCCTACGTAGAGCAGAGCAAGGATAGTCATATTGCCCGTGAACCCGGTCTAGAGCAACGTGTCAGTCAATAGTCAACTGTTCCTGGTTCCGAATATACTCACAGCACTAAAGAATGTCGCACTAATAAATGATTCCTTCTTTCCTAGTTCAAATATCCGTTTAACCTGATGGTTGTATCGACTGACCTCTAGCCTCTCCCCAGCGAAAGATTGGCTAGTTCTCACATTACCTAGCCGCTCTTCAGCAATCTTGGTGAGGGTTCCCAAATTCTTTTGGATTTTTCGGCTTAGGTTTCTAATCGCTCTTCCATAGAAAAAGGCTGCGATAGCAACCGGTGGAAATAACAAGGCTAGAATACCCGAAAGCTTGAGGCTGACATACGCCATCATCCCAAAACCAGCTATACCGCTCACTGCTGATCGAAGTCCATCGGACAGGTTTTGAGTGATACTCTTGCCGACAATAATAGTGTCTGAGCTTAATCGGGAGATCAGATCGCCGACTCGGTTTGCATCGAAAAATTCAGCATCTTGGACATACGTCCTTCGAAACAGTCGTGATCGTAGCCGGGCGACAATTCGTTCACCAACAATTCGTAGAATGATAATTCTTCCATAGTTAGCCGCAGCACCAAGAGAGAGGACCCCTGCCAGGGCACCATAGAACCAGGGAAGACTAAGTCCGAACAGCTCCAGGGCCTCGGAGCTTGGGTTCGTCGCAATGTCCAAGATTTTCCCGATAGAAAATGGGATGGACATGCTAACTGACGACGATGCGAGGAGGAACATAAAAGCAACGGAGAGCACCTTGGCTTCCGGGCGAGCAATCTTGACCAGCCGCCATATTTCTCGAATTCCGGCCTTCTTTCCGTGGGCAAGACCATCTTTCGCTAGCTTCGCACTCAGATTTATATGGGCCGCTTGAGATGCCTTCTCTGAAAGCTCAAAGCCTTTCTGTAAGTCATCCTGCTCGGTTACAACGACCTGTGTCGATTCCTCCGCCACTTTACCTTTGTTGGCCGATGTTGCCGGCCGAGCCGGTTCCTGGATGCTTCTGGAAGTTGAAAGGAAGCGAACGTGTTCTAATCTAGCCGGGGCAAAGGCTGACGGATCAACTGCATTCTTTATCGCGAGTAGAGGGGAACCGGGTGTGGAAAGCCCTTGCCGCTCAATGCCTCGGAGGGCGAGCGTTTGGTGTGCATTGCGGTATTTGCGGGAGGCCTCGATGGCACGTCTGGTGAATAGCCTCTGGCTTCCGACGGTGAAGCGAGTGTTACTTTGATGCGCAACGTGGCGAGAGGGTATCCGTGATGTGAACGTGGTTAACACGTTGGGGCTGCGCATTGCGGGAGGAGGTCAGGCATGCGGCCGATGCCGCTCGCCCTGTGATTTATCGGCGACGACGAAAGCTAGAGGCCTTGATTATGTATCGGTATTCATCGCAGGCAAGTGAGGAGGTTTCAATTCGAGTTTGAGCGCGGTTCGATGAGCTGTGAGTTGCGGATCGAGGGTGGTCGTCCAGGAGGGAGTGCAAAAATGAAATTTCGGAACTGAATGCGATGACGATGGAAAGCTTCGAATCTTCCATCCCGATCTGCGGATCCCCCCACCACCGCTGGTTCTGCCGCCACCAACCCGCAAACCTGCACAACAATCGCTTTGACGAAATTTATTATTGTTTCAACCCTACCTCTTTGGCTTCTTGTGTGCTATCCTAGTCTGATAGTCAACCCCAAACGTTGTGTTCTCTTTTCCTTTATTGGCTTGGATTCCCTTTCCTCGCATCTGACCACGAAACCCCATGCAGTAACTACTACACATCCATAGGGTATTACTCTTCAAGATGGTCCTGGATTATAGCAAATGGGACGCTCTCGAGCTGTCTGACGACTCGGACATTGAAGTCCACCCAAATGTTGACAAGCGATCTTTTATCCGCGCGAAACAGAACCAAATTCATCAGCAAAGGTTCCAACGCCGCCAGGAGATCGCGACCTTAAAGTACGAGCGGATCATAAACGATGGCCTTCTACAGCGCATTGATGGCCTGCTAGCTGCCTTGAGAAAGCACGAAGACAGCACCCGTCACCCAGACGAGCTTGTCTTCCAGGCACTGATCGAATCCGCTGGAGAACCAGAAAAGGACCAGCCTCCTCCCCCGCCGGAAGGAGTATATACTCAAGAGAAAGACACTCCGAAGTTCTCGCAGATGATGGGCTCATTAGTCGATCAAGTCAAGAAGGAGCTGGATGAGACGAAGCCTGAAAATAGGTTTCAAGGGTTCATCAAGGGAGTGGAGGGGCATAAGAACAAGGTTCTCAGCCTACAGCAGGAATTGCTGGTGAAGCTCGCCCAGCTCGAGAAGGAGGAAAGCAGCAAGATAACTAGTGAGAGCATCCATACGGGATTCAATAGCACATTCATTGCAAAACCTAAAGCTGAGCCCAAGCAGAAGCAGAAGGAGTCGACCGTCGAGCTGCTCAACGCGGGATCTCTGACTAAGGACGAAGCTGGCACAGTCTCCTCCGGCGCGGAAGCGGATGAAGAACCTGAGCCCGGGGATGAGGAAGAGATTAAAGTGACTCCTCTGGCGAAACAATTCGCAAAGTTGAAAGTCGGCGATTATCGAAGCACTTTACAATTCATCATGGATCATCCCGAGATTGTGACTGAGCGGAAGACGGATGAGCTCCTTATGGAAGCTTTTAATGGCCAGATGTCTGGAGAGGATGACTATGCACGCCAATGCGTTCATCAGGGTCTGCTTCTTCAATACTGTCGTGCCTTGGGACGAGACGGGGTGTCTCTCTTCTTTAAGCGGTAGGTAAACCCCATAGCCCTAATCTAATCCATTATAATTAACGTTTCATCTAGCATAACCACCAAGGATCACCGGGCAAACGTTCTCTTCCATGACGATGTCAACAGCACCTACAACAGAATCAAGACACGCGCCCACGAGCTGTCCAAGAAGTCCGAAGGCGTCGAACAAATCCAGCTCCATGCGGTCGACCCATCCACCAAAATTAGCATTACTATCCCGCCAGCAGACAGTACCGACCCGCAACATATTGCTGCCCGCGAGACGTTCGAGCGCTTCCCGCCTGGCCTTCAACGTGCATTGGAGTCACAGAATCTTGATGAAATAAACAAAGTGCTTGGCAAGATGAGCGTTGACGAGGCTGAAGAGGTTGTTGAAAAGCTCGGTGAGAGCGGCATTCTCAGCCTCGAGGAGGGTATTGTGGATTTCACCACTGAAGAAGGGAAGAAGATGTTAGAAGAAATCGAGGCGAGAGAAAAGCAGTCGAAGGAAGAAGAAGAAATCGGGGATCCGGAATGAGCCTGACGGCGACTTTCTGATGCCTTTGTTGATCTCCTATTCTCTTTGATTTGTTGAGGTGCCGTCCACTATGAATTTTGAAAAATCACCTCATCCGCTCAATTGTTTCCTCGCAGCCGATGTTGTTGATCCATCTCCCAATTTTTGTTGATCTCCAACTTGTATCCTCTTCCGCTGCACTTTTAAGATGCATTCCAACCAAATGAAATAAGAAAACAGGCATAACTGTACACAGCTGAAATGATGTGCTTAATGTTCAAAAAGAGAGAATGAATGTGGAGCTTTCTTACTTTTGGCCGTGTTCGCCAACTTGATTTTCAGGATCGCCCTCCGAAAACCCTAGAACCAAAGGTCAATGACAACCGGGATATTAACATTGTGATTGACAGCTGTCAGCCAGGGATGAGTTGTAGGGATGAAGCTTGATCTTGCCAGGGTACATCGTAGATGCATATCCCAGAAGAGCAGTCGAATGATTTTAAGCTATTTAGTAAGTACAAAATAAAGAATGAGAAATAGGAATAATAGCACATATATATGCAACAAATTCACAAATGTTAAAAAGTAAGGGAAGATCAAACATGTGGTATCATTAGAATCAAGAGGCCCATGGAGCTATTCAAGAATATTCGAGAGGAGCTACCGACATAATGAGCCGCGAAACCGAGAAAAAAGAGAAAAATAACAATCATAAGGCTCTTCGTGGTGGAAAAAATGGTCATACTACCAAAGTGCACCAAAGCACGCAACCTGGTTGCAAAATGCCCGACATGACGCGTCGAATAGCAGGAGGCCGGCTCATATTGCTGGATCTGAGACGCGTATCCATTGAGAATCCTCTCGGGTCGGCATTGTTGTTTAATGGATGGCGGTCAAGTCCCTGGTATAAAGAAGAGTCCAGGTATCGCTCATTATTTTCCATCCATATCAACAATAAATTTCTTGATCTTTTCACACAGTTTTGGCTGCTCGTTCCAAGGTTTGTACTTTCCTTCCAAATCGCACGCGGTCGATTTTAGTGCTCGCCAAAGATCCTTTTCGACATCATGGCCTATCCGATCTATCATTTCTTCTGCAGCACCCCACATCCGTTTCGGCTTGTTGTCCTGGGTCCACGCCAGACCCCCTTCGCCAAAGACCCGAACTGGCTCCAATTTTGGCAGATTGGCGTGACATGTGATGAACGTCCCCGGTGGCGCGTTCGGTTTTCCTCCCCATCCATAAACCTCTCCTTTTTTGAGTCTAGAATCCCACACTGGGTCTGCTTGCATAATGACGCCGCCTTCCCAACCGCCGTCGGGCTTTCTATATCCAAACACACCAGGGCCCGTCGAGACAGCATAAAACGGAAGGTTCAAAATCCTCGCGGGAGCTATGAACGTCTCTTTATCACCTTCGCCAGGGTGTCCTTGAGATAACAAGGGGTAGTAGTGCGAAGGTCCGTAGAAATTGTAGTAAGCGGAGAGCAGGAGCATCTTGGAATGTGACTTTTTAGATACCAGGACCTGGCCTGATTCGGTGGAGGCGTGTTCGAACCCTTTGGGAAGCGGTTGGGATGTAATTTCGAAGAAGGACGGGTGATAGGTAACCTGCCAGAAATCTGGCCACGTCACCAAGCCGTGAGAGGCGAAGGGTTCGGAGGCAAAGAGGCGGGAGGGATCATGCATTGGGAACGCATCAGCGTCGAGGAACAGTACTTCTTCGAACGATGAGAATAGCAACGCAAAAATCTTAAATTGGTACTTTTTAAGGCCTTCCACAAGGGGGGAGTGGTCGAGGATCTTGGAAAGAGTGATACACCGGGCATTGAGGGCCGGAAAAAGCGTATCGCAAATATATTTATCATGCTCACTCGGGTCTGCGATGAAAATCTCGACGGGTAGGTTGGCTCCCGTTTGGCGTAGCATGTGCAAGGAGGTCACAACGACAGGCAGAAAGGAACCACCAGCAGTCGAAACAATGCCTCTCGTCCGCGGTTTATACGCGAGTCTCGGGGCACCCGGCGCCGACAGTAGCTCCATAAACCGTGAATGTGCCTTTTTCAGCTTATCCCTATCCCCCTGCTCCACCACAATGTGCTCTGGCAAGGTGACATTGTCCACTAGGTCAGGCTTGAAGCCGATTGCCGCCGGATGCTCCTCGAGTCTTTTCGGGGAGTTGCATGCTGGAGCAGTGGCTTTAAGGATATCGTGAAATTTGACCCAGAACTTCCCGTGATCCGCGGTCGACGGTCGGCTCGCCAGGCCCAGATTCTCTGGAACGTAGCTCCGGCGGAGGGTGAGGAAAAGGAGAATCGCGATAGTGAGTAGGAGGAGGCTCCGCCGACGAAACCGAGAACTCTGGACCATCTTTCCGTTCGAGATGTGCTCCCACCACAAAGGGAGCCAATCTCAAGAGCAAAATCGACAAAAACCAGCCAGCGAGCAGACCATGCTTGTCGGTTTGACTGGGATTGAAGCTGGCGGAACGTCGAGCAATGCAGATCGCGCGGCTGCTTATCTAATCGCCAGTTTGGCTGCAGATTCGACTGACCGCCAGCTGGCTGGGGCGAGGAACCGACGTTGTTAGCAGCCCATCCAACGGTTGTTGACAAAATCTAGAGAGGGCGACGCCCCTGATGGTTCCTGGCGACAGGCTACCAACCAGGGTTGCTGACTCCATAGTTTTGGGTTGGGCAGCATTCCATTTTGTTTTCATCGCTGTAGTTCAACTCGTGGTGCTAATAATACTTTTTACAAGTTCAAGTTATGCCCCCAAAAAATAAGCTGGGAATTTCATGCTCCGCACCAAGTTGCTAAAAAGCTTGTGTCCCGCAAATTGTTTTCGCGTTTGTTTCCCTTGGAGAACTTCGCGCCTTTTGCCATAGACTATTGTCTTCTGGCCTAGCTCTAGGAGGCCTTTCGTGGTACCTGTCTGCGCCTCGTTACATTGACACCCCGGCCAATATTACTGTTACTTCTTAAGAATTCGTTATGTCCGAAGTTTCGAGGCTGATCAAACCCTCATTCCCTACCAGAGAAAGATGCTCTCTGCTAAAGGGCGCGTATATAGATGCAGCACTAAGAAGGAAAAGTGTCGTGTAGGAGATTCAGAAAGGTACCTCCGTGAAGTGGCATCCTCTCCCGCAGCGTATCGACATATAGCAGTTCGGCCTCTGGACGAGTGTCACGGACCAATTTTCAAAGTTTGACCGCGGCACGTTGTAGCTCAAGGCCGCCGTGGAGTTTTTTTCTTTTTTCTTTAAAGAAAAAGGAAAGAAGAGGTTATAGTTGGCCTACGGCTTTTCTTGCCGCCGAACTGCTTGATTCAATTTCTAGATTCCTACAATCTCTCGAAGGAGATCTGCCAAGTGAGTGGTGGCAAGCGACATATTCCCCCCTCTCAACCGCAGACCTTTCCGTCTGTCCGTGAAAGCTATCCTCAACGCATCTGCTGCATAGTTGGTTGATGATATCCTGGAATGCCCCGCTTGGCCATTTTTTTCCTTTCCCAACCGCGGGCAGGGGATTCACTGGGAGTTCTCGTTTCAAGAATGAGTGCTATATGAGGTATAATGGGAAGTGAAGTGAATCCAAGAAACAGGAGATGTCTACTCTATACCGTCCTTATTTTCCCTTGTGTTAACCTCCCCGGCGGCTGAGGGCCTGTCACATATTGTCTTATTTGAAGCGAAAGCTATTAAGGCTATTGAGTGCTCCGTCCCTAGTGGACATTCATGAAGGCATCTAGGGTTTATTAGCAACATGTGAACATGGGAGAAACCCTGCTCTCTCCCATATAGCGCTACACGGCAGAAGCATCTTCCATGCCATCACGGAGTGCTCCATAAAGATTTGCTTAGTTCATGCTGCCTATGTGTTTTGTTGAGCCCAGGATGCAAAGAACATGACGCATGACTGTCTGGAGGTGGCCGAATCAACATGATTGCTGCACAATGACTACAGAGCACAAAATGCTCCATACGCACGACCCAGCTGATTATTTATTGTCGTCCTACAGCTTTCGTTGCCGTCATCAACAAATAATACCGTATTTTTAAAGTGATCTGGGCACGTGACGCTCAGATAAGTCTCCGTGGCGCAATCGGCTAGCGCGTCTGACTGTTAATCAGGAGGTTGGAAGTTCGAGCCTTCCCGGGGACGGTTTCTTTTTTCTTTTTCTTTTTTTTTCTTTTATTCTTATTTTCCCCTCCTCCTGCTCTTCCATGTTAAACCCAAGCGATTTGTTAATACATTATTTAACATTGGGATAACCACCAGGAACTTTCTGGACACGGCACAACCGCTAAGTGAGGTGAGCGAGATGGTGCAAGCTGTCGGGCGATTCCTCACATATCATTTCAGCAGAGATGTGTTATCAGACTGCTTCTTTTTCTCCATTAGGGACGTCGGAGGTAGCAAGGTAAGAGTATTGCTGAATGGACAGGACCTGTGCACTACATGTAGCAGTGTCGCCACATAGAAAGTGCTCGGGGTGAATTATCCACTTGTGAGATGTGGAAATTGCGAGGTTCCCCAAACGCAATGCTCCCAGTCAAATCAAATACTTATATACCGCGTTCGCAGCTCGATCACCTAGCATTGTTCATCTCTCTTTTTTTCTAGCTGGGCTATGAAAGGGTCTACATTCTCCGCGCATCAAGTCGTCGCTGTCGATCTTGGAATCGCTTTTCTAGTTGCGTCAGTTCGATGTTATCGAAACAGGGCTACCGTCGTTGGCTTCGATAAATTAGACGACTTGGAACCTTTTGGTAGGCTTCCAAAGAAGTGTTTGTCTCAATTCTCCCAGATCTACGGATGAAGTTGCGAATGCACGGTAAGCAGGCGATGCAATCGTCATCGAAGCCAATGGTGGTAGAGTAATACGTAACTGGGGACAATGGAAAGGTCGCAATGGCCATGCAGGGATAGAGTTCAACCTCCACAGCCAAAGATCTCTTCAAGATCGACGAAAGATGCGTCGGAAAGCATCCTCTTCCCCCTCCTCGTGAGAATTCTTATTCCGCATAGGTTCTCTATGAATATGCCCTTATTATTGATTGAGCTAACACTCGGGCTAACGGCCATCGATTACTGGGAAAGCAGCAAAGCGGTTGGCGATCAACGACGACGGAACCATCTAGATCTCCAAGGCCAGAATTGACGAAATGATTCACACTTCGCGTTCAGGCACCGAGATCCTCCAGAAGGAGATGACACTTTAAAAGCAACAGGTTCTCCCTAGAAGGAGCTGCCTCGTTCAACACGGCCAATTTCATAGTTTAAGGGGATAATGTGTCACTCTGAGATCCTGCCTCAAACATACGCAAATTACGTGGCGACTAGGACAGCGCAAGGCATCTTATCTTTCACGAGCAACCCTGGTCAGCTCATTAAGGAAATCGATGGGCTTGTCCACTTCAAATTGACCGGACTATCTCATGGCAGTGTTTAACCTCCGACATCATTAGCTTTCCAGCTCTTAGCTCAGCGATCGATTCGACGACCTGATGCGGCAAGCCAACAGGTGTCATAGTCGAACACATGGTTTATTGCTCCGGCGCCCATGTGCACAATCCAGCCCACATGGTTAGCCGGTCTTCCAGGGATATTGCACTTTGCTTGGTGTGTGTTTGACATTCAGCATTATGGAAGCCCTCAGCACTTTGATGGGTATCATGCTTTCCAACTTGGAAGTCTTTTCATCCAGCAGAGCTTGCCAACTCGTTCAAACTCGACATCATTCCAGTCCTGGTGTCGTTTACAATCTAAATAGTGCCGGCTTCATATTCGGCCGCCTGTCGTGGGCCGATGTCATCTGTAGACAGTAACTTTCTCGATAAGCTTGGGGTACGAGGAGTCAGCCAAACGCAGTCGGAGATTCCTGAAGGGCGAGTGTAGAAACAGAGACAGGGACAACCGCTGCTCGATGCGGTCGAGCTTCTTCATGCGGCAATTCCTTTCTCGTTCATCCAAACTTTCCCAGACTGCCACGTTCCGTTGATTTTCAGCGAAAGGTATGGTCGCGGATCCTGGGACGAGATCTGACGTGTACCGCCGGGTGGTTCACTACTCAGTGGCCAGTGGAGGTCCTTGTCAATAAATCCGGCGACTTGAAAACCATGGTTCGTGTCGTGAAGGAAGTTCGACGCGGAGCTGCGAAGAATTGGTGGGACTATTTCACATACCTACCTGTATCACAATATAGAGGGACGGAGGGTGGCTGGCAGCATTGATATGATGGAAATCGGTTTCAACTTCGCCGGGTTATTTCAACACATTGAGAGCCCGGATTCGCTTTTCAGGCTGAAACCCATGAGCAGCCAGAGCTTGTTTGATGGTGCGGAGGAACTGGGGACGCTTTTAGTGGCTGGAGATAAAATTCAGTTGTTCGCCCTTGGAGGCCGTTCTTCAGTTTCACTTCATGCTTCCTCGCGGTCTCAATCAAGCACGCGACCTAGACCCGTGTGTGGGACATCTAAAGAAGTGCCAGGATATCTTGACCAATGAATACCAAGCCGTGTGATGTCAGTGTTTACATAGCACTGCTGAGCTGGTGGCTGAGAGAATGTACGGTAAGTTAATTCTGGCTGTTGAGGAGGCCGTTCACTCAAAGCTTCCCACCGACCTCACCTCCAGCTGCTCTGGCCATAAGCCGAAAAGAGACCAGTTATTCCGCGCGTTTAACTGAGGGAGGAGAGTCGCTGGAAGTTAATGGATGTCTGCTTCGCCGTCACTCAACGGGTGCCAGGAGTCTGATTTAAATCCTAGCGCCTATTGTGCTTCTTCAGAGCTTGTCCTTGCAGAAGTCAAGGAGACAGGTATCTCACTCTTGCATGCTAGTTATGGCTCCAGTGTAGTTAATATGTGCTTCGTGGATTCTTCACCAAGGCCTTGATGAGTATACAGCCGTCATCTCCGTCGTACATACAAATGTATCCCAATCCAATATAGCTACTCATTGCCGTCTTCGCCCTGATTCCTCTTCGCCGTTGTGATTAGTATCGAAGGTCTCAGTAGTGGATATGAGTTCCTAACAGCAAAAATATCAAATATCCAGCGGGTTACACACCGGTCCATCATTACTAGAGGATATTATAGAATGGCAGCTGGTTGTTGGCAAGCGCTTAGTATACTTAGACAGCACTTTAAACCCCATGAATGTACGTACAAAGCTGAAAGATTTTTCGGTGCCAGGAAGTCTCACATTCTCCGCATCCAACGGATCATACATCTCAGAAAGCAATGTGACAAATCAACAGAGCCGTGAGTAGACCGAAGGGCGGGGTTATTTGTGGTGATCAGTCGATCTGGCAACGCCCTTCCGTCGAGCCTTTGGTACCGGTGAGCTGCACCCACCCAGCTGATGAAGAAGCCCTTGTAATGACCATCATCTTCAGGCCGCGCGGGTTGGAATCCATCCTGAATCCCACTCCACATGGCTATACTACGGGAGTACACGCGGTGTAAATCGACATGGAGCTCATCCAGGACGATCACACGATTATTAACTAGTATATACGTTGGATGCGTTGGGGCCTTGTCCGATCGACATTCATGATGCGACAGAAAAATGATGCTGGGAGCTCAACTTTGCAGCCCATGGGCGATGCTTCATCCTCCAAAACTCAAGAACTCAATTCAAGTCGATAGAGGCCGCCTGGCCGCTGTGGTGTGCTGGAGGCAGCGTTTCCCTGCGCTAACTTTTAGTGCGGAGGGGACAAAGCGACCCTGGTCAGTGTGGGATCCAAGGGCGGTCCACTTGGAAGCCCTGCCCGGGTTCGCGATGGCAAATGATGCGCCGCTCTGCTGATTCGTCACGGCGAGGATCGCTGCGAGCTAACTGCCAGCTCCTGAAACAATGTCGCCAGAATCCCACGTCTCCCTTCGTTCCTCGCCCTTCTTTTCCGTCTCGCCTTTCTTCTTTTTTTTTTTTTTTTTTTTCCCTTTCTTCTTCTTCTTCTTTTTTGTTCGCTGGCATTCTTCATTCGTTTCACTGCCAGTTCGTGCCTGAGTAGAGGTCAGTATGTCGGGCGGGCTTTTGTCTCCGTCCCTCGCTTCTGATCATGGTCATACGTCCCTTTTGAGTCGGCAAAAGCTGGCCGCATTCATCTACGCAATTCTACCAACAGCCTTTCGCGATGCACCCAAGAAGACTCGACCCCTCGCGAGGACGGCGTACCTCGACGGTGTCCGCGGTCTAGCAGCCCTCGGTGTCGTCGTGCTGCACATGGTCCTGGGGTTTTTCCCCAACTCGTCGTACGCATACAATGGGACTCCCGGTCGGGACTCCATCTTTCAGATGCCTTTCGTTCGACTACTATATACAGGTCAGCCCACGATCTTCTTCCTCATTTCAGGCTACGTCTTGTCCATCAGCACGATAAAGAAGTGCCGCAATCAGGCTTGGGGCCCGTTGCAGCTGGACTTGAGCTCGAAAATCTTTCGCCGGATGTTCCGCCTCTATATACCCTCGATCATCGCCACGTTTATCCCGATGTTTATGGTTAGCTTTGGGCTCTTCCCCGACGTTGCCAAGTTCAACGACGAGATGCCGCACCATACGTTCAATATGGCTGCCCGCGAGCCCACATTCTTCCGACAGTTCTGGCTCTGGTGCAAGACGATCCCGCCGCTCTTCTGGCCTTTCGACTGGGAAAACTTTTCCCAGAACTCCCCGTATGCCTACCAACTGTGGACCATTCCTGTCGAATACCGATGTTCGATGATACTTTTCCTTTTGCACATCGGATTGTCCCGATGCCGAAGCAAGACCCGCCTCGTCATAAACGGCATCTTCTCTCTTTACTTCCTTGCCCTTGACAAGTGGGATGTTTTCCTGTTCGTTGCAGGAGCTTTCATCGCGGAAGTGGATATTATTAGGGAAGAGGCGTCCGAAGCCCAGCTCCCGAAGTCAGAAACGGGGGAGACTAAGCTCCCCAGTGCGCCCCGGAAGTACCCAAATCAATGGCTGCTGGTGGGCGGTGTCATTCTTGGCCTGTGGATTCTGAGCGTCCCTGCCGCAGATATCTGGAACGCATGGACTTTTGCTATTCTCGAGACGTGGGCACCGAAAAATTATAAGGGAATCTTCCGTTTCTGGGACGCCGTGGGCACCGTTATCCTCGTCTGGTCGATGACCGGTCTACCTTCGTTCCAGAGATTCTTCACGCGCCGCATCTTCCTTTACTTGGGGAATATTTCTTTCTCCCTCTACCTCACGCACACGATCGCTCTCAAATTTCTGCTATATCCCATCATGCCATGGCTGTATTTGATTTTTGGCTACTCCACCCCTTTCCAGTATGGCCTGTCTTTCGCCATTGGCGGCTTCTTGACTGTCATGCTTTCATTCTGGATCGCGGACGTTTTCCAGCGACACATCGAGGAGCCTTCAGCCAGGTTCACGAAGTGGATTAACACCAAGTGCTCGGCCTCCTGAGCATGGGGCCCCGTCTCCAGTTATATCTTCGGCTACATGTGACGCTTGTGCGACGCGAATATTGTACCTTTTGCAAATATCACCTGGGTAAACGCTAGGCTTGGGCATCTTCTTTTTATGGTGTTTCTATATATATGCAGGACCTTTCTTACCGTTATCAATTTTCTTTTATTTCTTTTATGATCAATTTCGCTTTTCTTTTTCCCATTGGTTTACGCCTATTTTCTTTATGACTTCTATTTTTTTGCCCAAGACCTTTTCCCTTTCGGCCCCTGCCCACAAGCTCTGAGTGTTGATACAATGCTGCTCTTCACCAACGTAATCCAAAAGCTGGTGCCCGTTCAAACCGGCACTGTCACACAACGCGTTCCGTATCCCACCTTCTCTGTAACCGCCAAACACTTTTTTCCTGTACCTCCAGCTGAGACACAAAGAGAATCTGCACGATATATTCTTGAGAGACAGGACGAAGGATTTTGTGGGCCGTGTCCCTGCCAAGACAGACAAGGTTTGCTTCCCAGACCTGGCTCAGCAATCCTCCATCCCATGCGGTCCTTGGGGGCATGGTTGGCCGAGACGCGTCCTGCGTCCCACAGTATCCATCCATCGCATCGTCATAAGATCAACATGGACGGGTTTGAAAATCAAAGAAAAGCGGTTTGCACGGAGCATATGTATGTACAGTACATACTCGGTAGTCTAGCACGTTGGACGGATGATAGAAAAATAGAAGCCGTCATAACTGCCATCTCTATACGGAGTACATCAGGATGAACGCGCAATCAACTGAAGGTATGCGTCAAAGCTTTGTCGAGGCAAACGTCTGTAGAATGGCCGTGTGGATTGTCGCGGCCAAGCGCCCCTCGCCCCATTTCCAGCGTAGTTAGGCTTATTAAGACGTCCCCTGAAGTGCCGAATCCGCTGTTTCAACGCCGCGGGCTTGCTGCTGATCACGATAATCCGACAACCCTGCTCAACGCCTGCCCTGTGATCCTCGACTCTTGACGTGGACGCCGTTACTCCGTCCTTCGTCTGAAAAAAAAGCAAAAAAAAAAAAAAAAAAAAAGGAAAAAAGACAGCTCTTGTACAGAGTATCTATCCATCCAGGAGTGTGCCTCCTGCCTCTCGCTTTAGCTGTTGTCACTCTTATTTTGTCAGTCGCTTCCGTACGGAATAGCATCGTCCGTCGATCTGCGGGTATTCGTCCCAAGTTCGCTCCTTTCCGGATATTGGCCCTGTCAGCATTATTATTTTCTCAAGACGATACGCCAAGGAATGGCAGTCTGAGGACAGGCGACGGGTTTCCAAACTGGCTAGAAAGCGAGAATCTTGACATATATTCAGCCATGCCTCCGAAAAAACGGGACGATAACTGGATTGACGTGAGAGAGGGCCCCCTTCAAAAAGAACCTGCTTTCTGGCACAGTTGCATATCTAACCCCTTGCGTCTGCACATAATAGGGCCTGCGGGGCGTTGCGTCCTTCGTTGTTGTCACGGGCCACCTCTGCACAGCGTTCGTGCCATACCTTCATTCTCCCGCCCTCTCCGAAAATGGGCCCATGTCCCTCTGGCAGCTTCCCATCCTCAGACTATGTGTCGGTGGCCGAGGTGCCGTCGCCGTCTTCTTCATAATCACCGGATTCGTTAACTCAATAAACCCGGTGAAAAATGCACGCAATAATAACACGCAAGTTGCCCTGACGAACCTGGCCCGGAGCTCCTTTACGCGCTCGGGAAGACTGGTGATTCCAACGAGTATTGCTACGATAATAGGGTGGTTCCTATGTCAAGTTGGAGCGTTTAAGTTGGCTAAGCGGGCTGATGCCGGCTGGATAATGAACGGCGGACATGATCCCGATCCTCTGGGCGAGTCTTTGGTGAAATTATTTAGGTCCCTGACCATCTACTGGAGTTCTGGCGGTGGAGAATATGATGCGACAAACTGGACTTTGGTCTATTTCTTGCAGGGCTCGTTCCGGGTGTATCTGGCGTTGCTGGCTATGACTTTGGTTACTGCGCGATTCTGGAGGATTATCACTGCGTTCCTGTATGCGTACGCCTGGATTACCGGTGATTGTGAGTGTTATTTTTCCTTTAGAACGCGTCAACAGATGCTAACGTTACTATCTAACTCAGACCTGGTTGGTATCAACCTTTATGCGGGTATCTTGCTAGCCCAGCTACAGGTCGACTACGGTTCTCGTGCTACAAATATACTCCCTAAGGTTGTTCCGAGCATTCTCATGATCTTGGGCCTTTTCTTTTGGAGTTTCCCGCAAGAGAATCCCCACTGGGCGCCCTGGTCCAAGATCATGAGGGATTCCTTCGTTGCAGTCACACCACTTTACACCGACACCAGTCGATACTGCGTCTCAGTCGGCATCACGTTATTGATGTTGGGCATATTTTTCTCGAAGAACGCCCGCAAGTTTTTCACTTCACCAGTCCTGAACTTCCTCGGCCGGGTATCTTTCCCCGTGTACCTCCTCCACAACACGATCATTCGCACCGTCCTTGTCTTAATGGTTTATGGTCCCAACGTATCCAAAACCCCTGCCACAGACGACAAAGGAAACCCCACCATCGTGAAACGCATCAGTCCGATGAGCTTCCTTTTCGTTCTTCCAGTCTTTTACGCGATTTTATATGTAATTGCCTATCTGTGGACCGTATACGTCGACCCTCTTTGCGCCAAAATGGTGGATGCGATGAAAAATAGAATGTTTGTGGAGGAACAGAAACCGCAGGATAAAGTGGTCCCATTGACGCAAGTTGCATAGAGCCTCTCCGTCGAAGTAGAATAGGGGCACGATTTCATTCTTTGGACGAATAACGCCTTGGCTGACTCGGGAGTCCTAGCGACTCGTACCTTTTTCGAAAATTTATACCTCTAGATATAAACGAAAGATCTTACGGCAGACCTGGCCAGCACCCTGCATAGCACTAGCCATCTTTGTTGCTTCCCCTCAATCACACAGTCAATTCAGGCTTTTATGTCTACCCTGCTACACACAGCATTTGGGTATAAGCGTATAGAGCATTTACCATCATCTCCTTTCCATATTTCTTTACTTTTGTGTACCTCTTTCCCCTAGTCTCTCCCGCGGATTCACTCAAAGCCAAGACTGCAATCTACTCTCCAATCTTAAGTGCATGGCGGCTGCAAACAATTTCTTGTTTCTATATTTTCTTTCTCTTCAAATGGTCTCTGGGAATTTTTCACTTGGGTTAACCTTTGGGTGTTAATATGTTAAGCGTATTTGTAGGTGTATAACGGGGAAATGGAACGGTCATTGGGCTACACCTATATATTTTATAAATTGCTATAACCTGTGCTTTTGGCCTAGAATTTTGCCATTTGGCATGATACCGAGCTAGTACATAGAGAGAGTAATGCAACTGATATGGTGACTGTTTAGAGTAATAGAGTGTATCCATTTCACCTAACAAAAGCTGGGTATGAACACGCAAAGAGATAGGAGGGATGACAACATTCTATTCCTTACTTTCACCTTCTCAGGTAATTGTAATACCATAGACAAGATGATTTAAGAATGCGACTAGCCTCCATTAAATGAACAATAGGTTAGAATCTCTAAAGTTACACATGACCGTGGGGAGACAATGATGCCCCAAGAACCAGCTCTCCACAAAGAGTCTTCTCAATGGCAACATTGAAAGGGGTTTTTACGGTAAAAGAAAAAAAATAGAAGTGTTCACTGAAAGTGTTCAGATCCCGTTAGCCCCCGGAGCATTTTGATCCTTTTTCAGTTCCAGCAACAGCTCCCTAAACCGCTCTTTGCCGGATCCGCTCGCACCGCCTTTCAACCCTTTTCCACTGATATCCACCAGTTTGGCGATCCGCTCCCAACTAGTGCCGCCGGCGGACGTATCTTCGCGGTTTTCAAGGAACTCTTCGGCCTCGGTGCGGGTGCGCTCTTTGGCCTTGTCGGTGCGTTTGTTGTATGATTCGTAGTAGTCGTCGATGTCTTCCTGGGCCTTTTTGATGGTCGCAGCTTTGCGTTCGGCAGAGATGGCCGCGCGGCGGTTGAGTTCTTCGTCTCGCTTCGTGCGCCATTCACTGCGTTAAGGGAAAGCGGTTAGTGGGGCATCCATATGGAAGGGGAGGGATGGTTTTGGGTTGTAGGGATGGACAGAGACTGGAGAGGTGTGTCGAAAAGCAAGGGTGACTGTGGTGCACAACGGAATTGCTCACCGAACGGCTTCTGGTTCTTCTTCGGGTTTTTGGTACGAGGAGTATGATGGCTGGAAGCTGTCTGGGCCCGTGATGGTTCCGCCAGGAGCGACTTGCTGTTGAGTGCGAGTGGTTAGCGGAGCGCTGGCCGTATTTTTTTTAGTCCATACGAAGCTGGGGCCATCTCGATACCTCATTATGTGATTCTAGAGCTGGGAATGAAGACTCAAAGCCCGTGGTGTCTGCCTCAGCATGCTGGATTTCACCTCCACCAAGAAGATCGCCCCCATCATCTTCAACTGTAGGGGATTTGATATGGTCATTTGCTGAAATAAATTGGTCTGCATCGTCTCCCAGAGCAGCACGTTCGCGAGCTAAGAAGTCTTCACTATCAGCGGCCGGAGCAGCCCCATTGCCGCTGGTTGGCACGGGCTGATCTAAAAGGTAAAGAAGGTTAAAGATGCTGGTCACCACAACAAACAAAGCAGCATATTCCTCATACCTCCTAATTCATCCAGTGAAGGGAACCGGTCGGCCATGATGTGGTTGTAATGGGAGAGAGGTAGGTGGGATATGGAGGATGATAAAGCGTGGCCTGAATAGGAGAACGAACAGGTCTTCTTGGCTGAGCTGTTTCTACAGAGTAGAAGAACCAATTGCTTTCGGATGCTGTGGGGGAATGAAGTAAATGATGATCAAAGGTTGAGAGGTGAATAGATTAACAAAGAGTCTTTGGAAAATGTTTCATCAGTCATGAGGAAGTGAGATGTCATTTGCCGGGAGCTGGCTGACGATGAAGCAGCCCAAGCCGGCCACCGCCCTAAACTGATTTGGTTTCTGCCAGCATTCCTCCGGAGGCGGTGACCGCACTCTCTTCCTCCAATCCGTCAAGGCTGCTCTCGAAGACTGGATTCCTGCAGCCACTCATCTCTCTTCATCTGGATGCTGTTCACCTTTCGATCTTATCTATTTTACCTTCTGTTTACTTCCCATAACTAATTCCCATAATATTTTCTTCCCCCCCTCCCGGCCTTGATTCCTCTCCGCCCAATCCAAACCCTCCTTGGAGCTCCCTTGTTTACGATTCTGGTTCTGCAGAGCGTCCTCGGCCCCTATCGAGCGTTTTCAGGGTCATAGCCATGGCTTATACGGACGATGCCGTCAAGGCAAAGCTCTCGGCACTCAATGAAACCCAAGAATCCATCGTGACAGTTGCACAATGGGTCATGTTCCATCGGTAATCCACAATTTCGTCGCTGCATCCCCGACTGGAGCTTACTCTTCGTAGGAGACATGCCGATCGCACCGCACAACTTTGGCTAGAGAAATTACGCGAAACAAATGCTTCTAAGAGGCTTAATCTGATATATCTTGCGAACGGTTTGCCTCCCCCGTCGAATTTACGATGAAACGACTTGACTAAACTTTGAGGTGTAGAAGTTGCACAACAATCAAAAGCACGGCGCAAAGAAGATTTTTTGATTGCATTCTCTCCTGTGAGTCAAAGCAGATATTGCCTTTTGCAGTGTTCCGAAGAAATTGACTTGGACGTAGATAATTGCAGATGCGACAGCAACCGCGTTCAAAGGTGCCCCGAACGAAATCCAGCAGAAATTGCGACGTGTTGTCGAAGTGTGGAGACAACGGAGGATATTCGAGGCTCCGATACAAGATGCTATCGAGGCGCGAGTGGAAGGTAGGCCATACAAGTTGAGCTCGTCCTGATAACGTGCTGACTTCGTGACTCCATCAGAGGTGGATAAGTCCAGAGCCTCCGGAAAGAAGCAGTTGCTCGGCGGTTCGCTATTCTCTAGCTCGACGGGATCTCTTCCACCTGAATTACAGCCATTGGCACCATTACAAATCGCCGTCTCTAAGGCCACCGTATCGTCGAATACTGCAGTAGCTTCTGCCAATGTAGAATACGACAAAATGAATGACCCCACAGCAACAATTCCAACGCCACCAGTGCATGCCGCCCGACTCAGCCAACTCCTAAAATCACTAGCCAGCGCTGAAAGTTCCGTTTCGGAGATAATCAAGTCCAGACAAAGCCTGATCGAAGGCCTCGAGAAACTTCTCGACACGAATCGCTCGGCACTGGCGGCTGAAAAGGCACAGCATGAAAAGATATCCGCGCAAAAGGCCGAGACGGAGGATAAAAAACGCGAAGTCGAAGACGCCATAATGCGCGGTCTTGCCGCCGAGGGCACCCAAGGCAACGGCGATGGCAGCTGGATGGGCCCCGCCCAGAGCAGCGGAGACAACGAGCCGGAAGCCCCCGCCGTTGAAGAATTAACGCCACCGCCTGTGGAAGCACTCACACCTGTGGGATCGCCGAAATTGAATCCAATTCCTGAGCCGGGAAACGACCACGGTGAAGGGCAGCAGCAAGCCGAACAGCCGCCGTTTTTACCCATCGGAGGTCTTCCCGCTCAAGTGACAGGTCAAGATCTGAGCCAGCTCCCCGCAGTGAATCTGCCACTCGTAACCAACCATCCTCCAACTGGACACGAACCACCTGCGAATGGATCTAGCTCCAAAAAGCGTAAGGTCACTCACACCGGTGATGACTTCGCTGCGACCTTTGAAGGCGGTGACGCAATGGCCGACCTGGATGCTGATGTGGCGGAGTTGTTGAGACAGGAGAGTAATAAATATTGAACGAACTATTTCGGGATTGTCCTTGAACGTCTTGTTGGTGACCTGTTGTTTTTCCGTCGCCCATATGTACCCAGGGATATGAACAAAACAATGATGGGTGGGATGTACTATTAGATCAAAGTTCAGTATTTCGACAAATTAGTGAAGGATTCGACAGAATCACTGGTTGGCTTTTATTGTTCTAATGCGGTCATTCAAACAAATGCCCACGCTGGGTCAGTGAAGCGGGAGGCCCATTGTTCGATTGAAGAAAATCAATGTCTAATATGTGGAATTATAAAACGGTTACATTAGATTGTAGGTAAAGGTGGATCATGCCAGACATTTTGTAGAAAACGATTCACGGCATCATCAGCAGACCTCGTTCTCAAGGATAGCTTCCTTCTCCCACGTCGCCCATGCAATGCTCCACGCGCCGATGCACGAAGTCCTATGTCTTGGGCGTTACCTGGGGGAGTATTTGGTGATGGCGGGGATTGGGGTGCTGAATTGTTACGCTTTGGTTTGACGAGGAGGAGAATGAACATGCCTACGACTAGAAGGAGAAGGAGTAAGAGGATCTTGCGCTTTGTGGTTCGCTTTTGGTATCCGGTGGCCTTCAGATGGAGTTTAGTCATACACTCATCGTGAAGAGTGGTTCGGAATAGAGGGATGCTGGTGTTTCTTAACATACCACTGTGAGCTCTCTATCAGCAGCTTTTACATCTACCGTCATTCGCTCGACGTTGTAGTCTATGCGATCAAGCATTGTGCCCTGGTCGATGATCATGGTTTGGAGATCGCGGAATATATCCGATAGTTCAATGATTCCTTTTGCGATATCGTTGATTTCTCGCTCTCGTTGGAGAATTGCAGCATCGTTGGCGCTTCGGCCGAGTTGGCGCTGTTGCTGGGAGGTTTGGAGGAGGGTGGATTGCGAGTAGGACTTGTCGGCGTCGGATTCGAGGAGGGAAGGGTCTGAGTAGGGGTTCTGCTGTTGGAGAATCGGAGTAGAAGAGCGCTCGAGCGGGGAGGAGAGGTCATCAAGGCCACGGAGTTCTTTTTTGAGAGAGAAACTGGATTAGCAAACGGCCGCCATGGCGCATGGAGACAGCAGAAGCGGGTGGTCTATGCATACTTTTCAGATAAGTGCTTTGCTTCTTCCTAAATCCAGCACTCGCCTCTTGCACCCTCGCAGCCAGCGAAATCTGTAAATTCTTCGCCATCGTCTCTTCTCCGCGGCTCACGTTCCCCGTTTGCCGCGCATCCCGCACCATCATCTCAATCTTCTGGATATTCCGCTGACAATCATGAAACGTCCTCGTAATCTCCTGTGTCAACCGCTCTATCACGCCTTCCTCCTCTTTTCGAACATCTTCGTCCCCAAAGCTCGGTAATACATGCTTCTGGTGCAGTTTGTCAAGTTGAGTGGACTTCTGCGCAATGTCCCGGAGGAGGTCTGTCACTTCGTCCTGGACGTCCAGCCAGCGCGGAGGTAAAAGATCCATCTCTATGATTGCGTCGCCGTCATCCTCGAAGCCGTCGCCGGCGCCCGAGATGAGAACGCGACGCTCTTCGGAGGTGTCATCGTTCCATGAGCTGGTAAAATACCGGGGCTTTTTGGCCGGGTGGTGAGCGAAGGATTGTCGGTAGGAGATGTAACTGGGGAGTCCTCAACGGTCAGCAATAGAATCTGGCTCCGAAAAATATCATGGTCAGGCCCTACAGGTTTGTGCGGTCCCGCCACATGTTCTTCCACTTGTTCCGGAATGGAGGTTGTGTAGACGCTTGTCAGGCAACAGGTATCACAGCCCCAGGGGACTTCTTCTCATTGTTAATTGGGATACGACATTGATTCTTGGTAAATATATATGGAGTAAATATTACTGAAAACAAGAAGGAAAGCTTATTGGAGTTGCGAGGCCCAGTGCTTCTAAGAAATTTGTGGGTTGCCGGTTGAGGTCATGAACCTGGAGATGGCTTCGATCTGGCCGAATAACGATGATGATCAGCCAATCTTTCACGAATGATGACAATATCCCTCGGAGGTTACAACACCATTATATCTTTAGAAGGTAAACGTTTCCTACCAACATGGAATTAGAAAGCGGTTAAAGAACAGTAGCTAAGTTGCTAGATAATCATTCTACTTTCAATTCACAGAGGGACAGTCCCAAAGAAAGGGTCAATAAGTGGTTTTCACTATTGATACACACTGCGGAGGAATGGCATACACACGACCCAGGCCTTTTTCCTCCTACACTAAACGTTGAGTACAAACAGGAAAACTATTCCTTCCATCCATCCTCTGATTTGATCCCAAAATGCCTGGCATGGAACCAGCCTTACTGTTGCGCCACGCGCCCTACAACGCCATTGATCTCTGGTAAACTAATACAATTCGGTGTGCAAGGTTATATCACCACGATCCCGCGGAAAGCATAGACTTCTCAAACACCACACTACCCAACTAGAGCTCTGAACCTTTTATTATACTGCTTCGTAGGCTTTTGTTCGCTTCTCTCGCGGTCTCCATCCTTCTAGTCACTCGAATACGACAAGGGTAATGATCCAAAGACCACCACGAATACATTTTCAAGCCATAAATACAAGCGTCTTCTTTCAATCACAACTGCATCGAGCAGCAAATTCGAGTGCATTCTCTACAACTTTTCTCGTTTCAGGAGTCATGTAGGGCACGGCGATATCTTCTTCCCTAGCCCACTCTCAGTGCGAGTGCTCATCCGGATGCAGCTTAACTATTCCCCATGGCTGAAGTCACAACAGAATTAAGCCGGACACTGGATTCAGTCTTAGACTCACATGCCCTAGGCTCAGTCTCGCCTATGATATTGGAGACAGCCAGGAAGGTCTCTTCTCAACACCTCTTTTGCAACAGCATGGGCAACAGTCTCATCATGGTGATCAACATGCCGCAAGGAAGGTTCCCATGCATCAGGGAATGGTGTTTTACAGCTGGATCGTTCCTACAAAAGGAGAGTTTTGATTTATAGACTTGCCTTCGTGGAATATGGTAGTGCTGATCACCTAGCGCTTCGCAGGGTCGACACATCTTTGGGGCAACAATGGAGGTGCTTTTCCTCCATAGCTGAAGATGACTACTCTATACGGAGTACGGAGTAGAGGGTATGAACTTTGTTTACTGGAAGACATTGTCCACAAACTTGTTTGTTCAGGCAGCAGTACTTAACCAGTTGTGTATGCTTCCATTATGCTCCTGCATCGCAAGCATGTGGCTCGGCGGGGGCTGATCTGGTCTTCTGAATCCCCTGCAGGCCTCCACACAGGTATTGTTGGTTCAGAGGAGCTGAGAGCGATCTAGTAGCCGCTAGACTATATCAGGTTTACCAGTGTGAGTGACGTTGAACTAAATACCCTGCATGAAAGCACCAGAAGTACAGAGTAAAGAACACATTGCCACAAGTCTTCATGGCTCTATATAAAGATATCCTGTGACTTGCGGAGGCCTGATGAGGAACACTCCAGTGATTAAAATTTAGGATATTATTATAATAAACAAGTGACATTATCAGAGTTTGCAACCCAATTGGAAGAAGTAGTTATTTAAAATTATGAATAGTATTAAAAGATTCTAAACGAAGTTCCATACTCATATCCCTAGTGGTGTAGTGGCTAACATCGCTGTCTTTCACACAGCAGCCCTGGGTTCGATTCCCAGCTAGGGAGCTTATTAGAATTATTTTATTTTTATGCTATTTTTGACTTCATATACAAAGTTGTTTTCAATTATATCTACTGAGTACATAGTACGGAGAATGGAGAAATGCCCTTATTAAAAAGAGGTCAAACATAGTCCCTAGTGGTGTAGTGGCTAACATCGCTGTCTTTCACACAGCAGCCCTGGGTTCGATTCCCAGCTAGGGAGATTCGAAAGAGAGCATTGTACCTTTTTTTTGGGGGGTCTCAATTGAGTCTTTTGAAAAGGACAACTATCCTTTATAGAGCCTTCCGCATCATGGATCCCATAGGGATCCCTCCTCGGAATTTTATAGGCAATTCGCTTTCTATCTCGTTGTGGAAAGGGAGATGAGCTAGGGAAAAGCGGGCGGGAGAGGTACTGGAGACACGGAGACCAGGCCGCAATACAGTAGGAAATTTTGACTTGATAAGCTGGCTTCAGTCGGGCTTTGTGGAATTTAGCGTGGGAGCACACGAGATTTTCAACTTGGATGGGCCTATTCGTACGGAATAAGGGGTTTTTTCTTTGCAGAAGCAAGTGAAGAATTCTCAAAACCCATTCAGATCTTGAGCGGGTCTAGCGCTGAACTTGACGAAGAATTCTGGAAGTGATTTCCGGGAGCTGATGTGGATACTCATACGACACTGCCTCCCATACTTTCAAGGGTGCACACAAAGCACATTTCGATAGCATGTCCGCTTGTTATTTGCACAAATTCAACGATTCGATCCAAGCCCGTGTTCAACATATCCGGTTTGACCGAGGTTACTTGCTACTTACCTGGCTGCTCTCCATGCCTTTTAATATTGAGCACATTTAGCACGCAGGCCGTCGTCATCCACCTGGAAGCCAACTCCAACAAAAGCCCTTGATATGTTTGGGATCTTGACGACTCCCTTTTGGGGCCGAGAGTCGGTATTTCCCTCTTTTGCCTTTCGGATACATGTCGAGCCTGCGGGAATGGGTCTTGGACTTCCGTCGAAATTTTAATGTCCTGTCTATGACAACGAAATCTTTGACTTCCTCGATTTATTGCATGCTCCGAAAACAACGCTGGCTTGCTTAGGAGATCAAATGAAAGGCTGATTGATATGAGCATTTCAGTAATCATGGTGTGTCCAGGATTGCGATTTGCCTTTTAGAAGCTTCAGAAAGGCACCCAGGCCCATGAAGACCTGGCGAGCTTCAACAAACTTGGCTCGGGCTTCTGCGAACTCTTGTGTGAGCCACGTCAGGGCAGCGTTTTCCGTCATCCAAACAGCGGAGTTCGCAACTAAATTATTTTTTTTCTCCTCTCTTCTCTTCCAAATTAGAGAGGCAAGTATCTGTGCCAAGCACAGAACGAAGTCCCTAGTGGTGTAGTGGCTAACATCGCTGTCTTTCACACAGCAGCCCTGGGTTCGATTCCCAGCTAGGGAGAAATACTTAACTTCTCTTTTTTTTCCTCTTTTTGTCCAGTTGGCCTTGCTCCTCGCTCTCGATGTTTGGAGCTGCATACGACGAGGTCTCCTGAGATATTTTTAGAAATATTTCTTAAGACAGGCATATTTTTCGGAAAAAGGCTGCGGAAGGGCAAATTCGCCGGGGCAGCTTTTTAGTTAGTTACCGCCAACCCGACAAGGATAGCAGTGATAACAGCATGTTTGGGCTTGGACTATCAGAGAGATCGCTGAGCGTGATTGGAGTTTTTACTCTGGGCTTGTGCTGCTGATGCGCCGTTGTCCGGTCGAGAAAAAAATCGCGTCCAATAGTTCTTTAGACATTCTCCTTATTCCCCAAACTGAAGCGAGAAGTAGCACGAAGCCATTTCACTCACAGTGCAGGATGTTGGGCCTCAGCCTGGCCTTCGGGGTTAAAAATTAAAAATTGCAAAGGCGGCTTTCACAAGACAGGGTGGAAGAAGGCAAACCCTTGATCCCCACAATCCATACCCAGCTGAGCACCCATGATGCGTAGCTATGGGGGCCATGTTTCCAGAGTTTGGGATTACATAGCCGCCCTGGGCCATGTGGGCAGCAATACCGCTGCCGAAGCACCACAGCTCATGCCAGTCAGCTTGCGCGTTGGACCACGATAGCCAGGGACTACTGGACCGGAATGAACGAATTCTCTGGACACTGTGTCGTTTGAGGAGCGACTTGGTGCCCGCCTGGCGAGTCAGCCTTGGCGGAGGTTACAAGTTTTGCAGGGTAGAGTTTGCCATACAAACCAAGGTCGCTCGCAGGGAGCCTTGGGCTAAGTCGACTGGCGAGCTGGGGCGGGGCGGCTTGAGCCCACCAAAGAAAGTTCGCTGTTATTATTTGTTGACGGCCGTTCGATGCTAAATAAACTCACCCTTTCTCCCTCCGTCACACTTACTCTTCATCCCCATTTCTTGTCAGGTTTCCACCCAAGACTGCTGTCCCTGCTGTCTGCACATCGCGCACTCTTCTCGTACCAAATCCATCTTCTTCTTTGAGATTCCTTTGTGATTATTTTCTTTTGGCGTTTTCCTAAAATCACAAAATGGTATGTTGCGCCGAGCCCACACCCAATGCCCCTCACCCCCGCGAATCGTCATCCTGGATCCCACAATGGCCGGACAGACTGCTGACCCTTCAATAATATCATGTAGGCTGATTCATTGACCGAAGAACAAGTTTCTGAGTACAAGGAGGCCTTCTCTCTGTTTGTATGTTGGTTCCAGACTCCTAATCGCGACCATATTACGCGGGGTAAATATTAACACAATCACCTGCTGACTATGATTTCGTGAACAGGACAAAGATGGCGATGGTTAGTCCGTTACAGTACTCCGCGCTTGAAAAAATGATAAAGAACATCCAATGGACTTCGCTGTATCATGTTTGTGTTGATGCCATGATGCTGACTATCCTGGACGGCAACAGGTCAGATCACCACCAAGGAACTCGGAACCGTAATGCGTTCCCTCGGCCAAAACCCTTCCGAATCTGAATTACAGGATATGATCAACGAGGTTGACGCCGATAACAATGGAACCATCGATTTCCCGGGTATGGTTTCCTACTCCATCCTTAGCCTCGCCTTGCTCTTCTGCTCTTCGGCGCGGTTACCACAGCACGATGAATTCTGACCCTTCTGTAGAGTTCCTTACCATGATGGCACGGAAAATGAAGGATACCGATTCCGAAGAAGAGATTCGGGAGGCGTTCAAGGTCTTTGACCGGGATAACAACGGCTTCATCTCCGCCGCAGAGTTGCGCCACGTAATGACCTCCATCGGCGAGAAGTTGACCGATGACGAAGTGGATGAGATGATCCGTGAGGCCGACCAGGATGGTGATGGAAGAATCGACTGTATGTGCCCAGTTCTGCTTGAATGTGATGATGATCGTCCGCGTTATAACTAACCAAAATCTAGATAACGAATTCGTCCAACTTATGATGCAGAAATAAAACGAAAAGGAAAACCAACCAGTGTTCTTCCCTGATTTTCCAAACCAGTTCAAGGCTTCCATCTGGAAAAGTGATTGCACGTCCCGTGCCGATTTCTTCCCACCCCTTATTCCCCCATTTCATGATTGCTAGTTAAACCTGTAGTAACCCATAGTTACTTCTGTTGGAGCGCCGGTGGCATCCGCATCTCCCAGTGGTTCTTGCAGGAAAGTTGAAACGCTCAAGGTGTTCTCGTGCCGGATCTTGTTCTTCCATCCAAACAGAAATTTGATAAAGCATGGCGACGTTATCTTACTCTACCAGAATCATATTTTGTGGATATGAGAGGTCTTTTGTTATACTTGTTAACCATGGGCTTTTTGTTCCTACTATCGTATGATATTTCATTCTCGGGGTTTCCCGGCTATGTTTTCAGCCACAGTCCAGTCGCCCGTCATTCATAGACAAAGCTAAGGATTAGACAATAGTGTAGTTTTACAGATTGTGCGCGACAGATGTAAGTTGACTCGATACCCAAGTAGCTTTGTTACCTTTGTATAATCAAACAGGGACCCTGGTGGCTCCCCGATATATATATAGTTTTAGCTGGTAGGTCTCAGCCATAACCTTACCGCGACTACGGGAGTCAAGGGTCAAATTATGCCTATGTATAGTACCAATTGCCGTACGCTTTTATGATGATGAATCCTGAAGTTATGAACTGAGTGATGTCACCCAAAGAGAGCTTAATACTAAATATATCTCATTTTTGTTTCACCGATTGAACCGCAACAGCTCCATATACTGCCTCGCCAAATCTGCACCCGCGATCCCAGTGTTCGTCATACCCGCGTCCATGGTCGTGAGCCTCTTCGTCCCTCTCTGCCTAGCTTTATTCGTCTCCGTCAGCAAACCAGGTACACGAATCGCTTCCTTAGCCCCAGGCACAGAAAAACGACCCCAAAATTCCCGAATCAGCTTTTCGCCCACAACCCAATCTTCCTCAGTGAGGAGCTCTTCCTCGGCATCCCCAGCCCCACCACCAATCCCTAAAAACCCGTCTTCCACCCCCAATGCCGCCGATGTCGCTGGTTCTGACACCGGAAGATACCAGTCGCTGTCTTTCGGCGTAACTGTCTGTCCCGGCCCGCGATATTCGATCTCGACAATACACCCGCGGACTCGCTGCACGGGCTGGGTCTGTCGTAGATCGCCGATGCGTATGCGGAAGTCTCCGACCTCGAAGATGGTCCCGCCTGTGACAAGCATGGTGTGTCTGTGACACCAGAGGGGTTCGCATGCGCGAAGAGTAATTGCGAGAAAGGAGTTGAATGATGCCGGGTCTAGAGTCATCATTGTCCATGAGGAGGAGGAGGAGGAGGAGCGAGAGACTTGTGGGGCATCTTCTTCCTTTACTAGTCGGTTTGATGAGCTTGATTGGGGCGGAATTTGCTGTTGGGCGGGATGTGCGTGGATGCCTGCTTGGGAGTGGTGCGGTTGGGAGGGTGCCCAAGGGTCAGGACTTGGCCGGTCTGAGATGTAGACGAATCCATGCGACTGGAAGTGGCTGAGGGAAAGAAAGTGCATGAAACGGGGTTGAAGTTGCGGCAGAGGGGCGTATGCTGATGGTGGCAGGCAAGAGGGCGTGTCCCTTAGCAATTTGTGCTCAAGGGCCCATCGGCCAGTTGGCACGGCATTGTAAGCTGCTCGTAACTGGTTAGCTACTGTTCCTAGAGCAGTAGACGAGTTTGGATTTGCCGGGATGAAGAAGAGTCTGTGGGGATGTCAGCATTTGAAGTTAATTTATGCCTTCCTTGGGAGGTGGGATACACTTACCCGGTAACGGGCATCTTAAATCGATCAATGTCCCATCGATCAGTGATAAGCTGTAATATTCAGGCAATCAGCTCGCCGAGGGTGAATAGCTGAACACCAACCAAATACAAGTTGCCAGGATAGAATAACACTCTAGAACTTCTCAATGTTAAGAAGAGTTGCAGATATCCACAAATATCATTATTTCACTTTTTCCACTGCACGCTCAACAAGGGTATCAATGTTTAATCCAGATTACTATCAGCAAACATCCTTCAACACCTTTAATATTTTTGAAAGGCGGCAGAGACGTTTTACGTGCTTCGGTGATAAAGGTTCCCCGATAAGGACCCGTCAAAGAGAAGTTTGACGGATAACTCCTCAGGCGCAAACGGTAGGATATATCTGAAATAAGAAAAATGATACAGAAGATGCCGCTGTATTCACCAATATCTTTACAATATCAAACAGTGTGTCCGTTTGCAGGCTGGAGGTTCACTCCCCATCAAGTCATCGCTGCTTTTAGCATCACGTAATCACGACCTGTGCGGCTTTGACCTTTCTGAGATCCCACCCTGGAAGCACGGATCGATTGCGCATGGTATGCACACTTCTTAAAGCTGAGCGTCATCCCCGTTTTGTGCGAAGATATTACGAGTGTATATTCTCTCGGTGTCGCCAATGATGCCTTCTCCACCCCCGTCTTCGCATATTTGGTCGCTGATGGATAGTGCCGGTGCCCACGAAAAATATGGACTCGGCACGGCCATAGCAACAGAGAGAATAGGCCTTACAACATTCGAATTAAGCAAAGTGCAAATACGATTGCCGTATTGTGGAAGGATAACTTGTTCAGCTACCGTTTTCGTCTAGCCGGCGACCGCTGGCTTTTCACTCTTTCGCTCTCCCTTCCTGACAGGAAAACCTGGATCTTTCACTATACCCGGAATTTCCGCCAACTTACTAGAGTATAGATTTTGATTTTGAGCATAGGACATTCAGATCCTATTTCTGGAATGACCTACAAGAGAACAGAATTTTCGTATTTGATGTACCGCCTTCTCCGGTCGATGTTGTTGGTTGGGGCCCCTGAACAAGTATAAGAAAGTTACGGTGTCGAGTATGCACTGTCGTTTTACTTATTGAGGAGATACACATAGAATCCGATTTAAAAGACTGATTTTATCATTGACGCTGCCATTTGATAAAATCAGAAGATACACCTGGCAACACCGTGTATCAAGAGGATACATCCCGACTCAGACTGCAAATCTAAACCTTTCACCATAATCAATAATATGTAAAGGTATGCGAGTCTTCTATTTGCTTATTACGCGCGTATATGGGGGGAAGTGGTAGTAGGCATGAAGAATTAAATAACACTCCGTTAACTAGGGCGGAATTCACTGCTGCTTAAGACACTTTTCTCACTGCCTTGCCACTCCCGCTCTTTTGCATATAAACAACCCATAAATGCTGTTGGCAAAAGACTTAAACTGTGGACTTAACGTTTTCCCAAATACCAGTTTCAGTGTTATCAAGATTTTTGAACAAAGGTTATGACCGTTTGACTCTTGCTGCGCATCTGGTTTTCCCTATCATTTGTGTCATCCTTGATAGCTTCTTTATAGGTGCCCATTATGCATAGATCATGCTTCCGTCGCTCGCAGTCGGCGCCTCTTTTATTTTCCCTTAAGCCTTTGAACCCGGCAGCGGATGCAGTCGTAAACGACCCTGACAATGCTAGTCTTTTATCAAAACTGCAGGACGGCCGGCGAGTCTTAGGTATCCGCGTCAATATGCGTTCGAAATGTCCATATGTCTTGGTGACGATCGGAAGTGGCGATGCCGATATTCTGGTGAAACGACCTAATATTGCACCGATCCAGTGCTCATTCAGTGCCAACTGGGACACTGGCGTTACCATGCTTCGCGATACCTCGATTGACAGCAGCACCGAGACTTTCGGTGCATGCTATGCCGTTTGGAGATGGTCGTCACCGCCTACTTGTGGTTGCATGTGGGTTTAATTCAAGTTTTAGAATGGGTAGCAGACGCCGCGGTGCGGTTGAATTTGAGATAGTATGGCATGATTATGCGGAGGAGGCGATGGCGAGAGTCATTGCCAACAAGCCCAAGGAAAGAATCAAGGAGCAACGGTGGCGGCCTCAGGTCACCTTGGCCCGACCCGAGCGGGCGAGCGCGAGCTATTAGGTACGTAAAAATTAAACAGTTGGGTGCTGGTAGCTTTGGCCACGTGTTTAAAGCTATAAATGTCGACACCGGCCAACTTATGGCAATAAAACAATTGAAAGCAGGTACCCGAGTAACGGGGAGGCCGATGGTCTTGAATGATGAACACTACGAATCGTTCCAGCGTGAATGTCAGGCTCTCGAGCAGTGTCATGAGTGAACTTGGAAAATTAAGCTGATCATGTGGCAGAAACATATTGTCAAGTAATACATGAGCCCATTGTTGATAAGGGTTCGAGAAATGGCGGCCCCCAGTCCGCTGCAGAGGGCTTCAGCGGCACAGATGCTTGTCAAGCTATTTAACGGCAAGGGACTTACGACTCCCGCCTGCCTGCTCAAGCCGATACGCATCTACGATCCATGGAATTCGCGTATTGTTGGCTTGCCATAAGCCATTCGGTTGAGGGTCGCGCTCGTGTTATGCTGGATCATGCAAGGAAAAAGACAATCGGTTTTCCCGACCTGTTGGGAGAAGGTGCATTAGCTGAATACTCTAAAAGCTTGTGTGGGTCTCCAGCTGACAAGAAACATTTCCAGACCGCTCCTTTGAAAGGCTAGGTGTATATTATTCTATTTATTACGGAGTCCTCCATTTATTTATGAGCTAAGGAGTACGTACCTATGTGGTGAGATTTCCCGGCTGGCAAAGGCTATTGGAGAGGGATCGGAAAGATGACACGGGCTGTGCGCATCCGACAAAGTTGCAAGTGCTCCATCAACCCTAAATGAATTCCCTGGGGGATAACCAAGAGAGACAAGCTTATGGATCTGCGAATGGTATTATAAAAAAGACATGATGAATTACAAATGTGTTCACTTGGCGGTTTCATAAATGGTAATCATCACCAGGCGGTGGGCGGGTTTGCATTTGTCAATCTCCCTTCTGAGTTAAATGCATAACTAGTCTTGTCTTGTGTGTTGACATAAATGGACCATCTGCATCGCCAGAAGCATCATGGACAGGCCAGGAAGTCGGCCTGGCAAGGCATCTTCCACCCCTACCTCGGTAAAGGCGGAATTGCGATCGAATTAGCTCGATGATCTGAAGGCTTGTAGCCAAACTTTCCTTGTTGCTTGCTTCATTGGCCCTTGGCGATTGTGGACATGAGCGGAACGAGATGGTCGCCGGCCGGGGTCGCTCGCTCACAACAGCGCCCATTCGTGCAATGATGAAACGCACGGCACGACAGGCATTATCAATCTGATAATCTGAATCCAGGCCAGCCTTTGCGACCGATCAAGCAGCACAATCTAATCTGATGGGCCAGGCGAGTTATCTGATCCGCGTTGGTGGCGTGATTAGCGCGGAAACGTGGAGATAATTTCCTGTTGGGGCAAAACTCGGCGGCGTGGCTTGGCGCCCTCGGGTGACACGACGCGGTTCGATCAGATAAGGGGCGCACGTTCGGGTGTTGTGCTGCCCGGTAATTTACGGCTTGGTACGGCGCTGGCCGGGCGGTTGAAGAGGGTTGTCGGAGAGTCTGCAGGTATTAGGTGATTGAAATAGCTCGATTTGGGCATGGAAGGGTTAGCAACCCTGCCATTAGCCTGATCGAGGGCATATTTGGGCCCTTGTTGTAATATCGAAACTGTCTTCGTCGTGTGTGGATGTGGCGCAACTTGACGTCTTCGTTCTGGAAGCATGGTTCTGTGAGGGTTTGCGGTAATCGCAATACCGTCGGTTGCGTAATTTTCGCTGGCAGGACCGGGTCACGACTGGCAGTCCGCCCAGCATGCTTCATTCCGGCCATCTCCTGGTTGCTTCTTTGCCTCCCGATTCCCCTTCGACACCCCCCCCCCCCCCCCAAAAAAAAAAAAAAAAAAAAATCAGGCCGAGGACCCAGATCTCTCCAGGTTTGCTACTCTGCAAAAATGCAAGCAATCATCTCATAGCCATGGTTGCTCTCTCGGATCGTCTCTTCCTCTCCTAAGTCTATGCTAGTTTTCCTATCTTTTAAACAACCCCCCGCAATCACCTGTGGATTGGTTGGAGCGGACTGTCGCAATTCAACCGGTCATCTGCCGAAGTCAGTCTCACTCAGATCCTGCCCTCATACAAATTCATTCACGCGTTGCTTTGTAACACATTGGGCTGGACAGTCAGTGAGTTCTTCATTCTCAATTCCAAACCCCATTGAGTACTTTGTCTCATCTCCAATCTTCCTCAGTTCAGTCTCTTGTATAAAGTATATGAATTTAAAAAATCTAACAGTCTTCTTTGCTGGCCACAGCTGAACCTACGGTCTTGTCTCCCTGGGCCAATCATGATGTTGTCAACTACTACAAGTGCTGCACGCACAGATAAGAACGGCATTCCTCTTTCGGTCACATCTCACCCAGACAATCCTATCCCTGAAGAACCTAGCGCCGTGCCTCATCTGACACTCCTCCATCCCGGTCCCTTGAAATCCACAGAATCCCAGTCATCACTGCCATCGCTGGTTACTGGGTCTGAGGTATCGAGTGATTCAGAGGCCCCATCTACTCCAGCAACCGAACTACTTACTGACGATATTGCTGAGAAAATCGATAAATTGAACGTCCAGCCTAAAGAATCGTCTCCGTTGAAACCCGTCACCCACAGACGACGTGCTTCGACCGTTCTAATTTCTCAAAATTCTGAAGACGTCCAGAAGATCTTGGGCAATGTCGGCGCTGGGACTACGCGGGTTGAGAAACTCTGCTGTGGAGGGGGATGTTGCAAATTACAACCCCTGAGACAACCTGCCTCTTCATCTGTTAAGCGACCAATTTTACCACCGAAGAATAAGGCTTTCGAAAGTCTTCAACTGTATTTGGGCACTCTATCCCATGACAGCGAGCTCACAAACATCTGTGAATTACCCGAGAAGACCGTCTCATTTGCTCCGGTCCCTGTAGACTTGGTCGATCAGAAATTGGGTCCTTCCGATCATCCGCCGTCATTTGTCCAACCGCACCCTCCTTACGAGGTCTACCGCGCACCACTTCATTATTCCAGAGAGCTGACCAAACCCGGTGCTGAGAAACGAACGTTCCACTTTGATATAGATATCACAGACTACCCTGCCGAAGGTGGGGATGTCGATTTCGTAGTTGGTGGAGCGATTGGCGTCTGCCCTAAGAATGCCGATGACGTTGTCGACGACATTTTCAACTGTCTGGGTGTCCCAAGAACCGTTCGAGATAAAAAGGTGATGCTTCACACGACGAAAGGACGATGGCCCACCGTCTGGGGCGATGATAAACCTAGGGAATTGCTAACTACTCGACGAGAGCTGGTATCCTGGTGCACAGATTTCCAGAGCTACCCGCCAACCAAGCCCTTATTGCGGTTGCTAGCGGAGTATGCATCAAATCGCGATGAAAAGAAAATTCTAATGTACCTCTGCTCCGCTCAGGGTCAGGGCTCATTCTGTGATCTTCGCACGAGCCAGTATATCACCGTTTCTCAGCTGCTGCACGCATTCCCTTCTTCTCAACCCCCTTTAGATTTCCTTCTCTCCGTCCTTAATCCTCTTATGCCACGCTTCTATTCACTCTCGCAAGACCCACTGCTTTCGCAGACCGCTGATGGTGGTAATGATCGCCGCCTCGTCGAGATCGCTGTTACTGTTCATGACTGCCCTGATTGGCAAGGTGCAAAGCGTACAGGTGTTGGGTCCGGCTTCTTGCAACGGATTGCCCAAAAGGTGATTGAGGCCGAGGAAGCCGGTGTCGATGCACGATCTCTTGGTCTTCATATACCGATGTTTCGAGGTCTCATGGCTAATCCGCTCGCTCGAGAGTTTGTTCTAGACGGCCCCATGCTATTGATTGGTGCTGGTGTTGGTGTGGCCCCATTTCGTGGGTTCGTCCAGCGACGTCTAAAATCTGCCAACTGCGCAAATAAAGTCTGGGTTCTTCAAGGGATCCGAGATTCATTAGTGGACGAGCTCTATTCTGGCGAGTGGGGCGTGCACGAGGAGACAGTCAAGAGAGTTGTTGAAAGTAGGCGTGGCGAAGGACGTTATGTCCAAGAGGAAGTGCGCAACCAGGCCGATCTTGTCTGGTATGTGATCAATGCGTTGGATGGGCGTGTCTTTGTCTGTGGCAGCAGCAAAGGCATGGGCGAGGGTGTGGAAGCCGCACTGATAGATGTTGCTATGGCGAAGGGCAATTTGAATCAGCAGGAGGCCCAGCAGTTTTGGGATAACAAAAAGAGTGCCGGGCAATATATTGCCGTATGTGTTCATGAGAGATATTTATGTTTTTTCCCCAGGACACAAGCTGACTTAAATGAAATAATAGGAAACCTGGTAACCAGACTATCCTTTCTATTAATATTCACCTCATACTTATTCCTACCCAACTGGTTATGGGGACCATCATTCCTATTGATATCAGCTACCTACTCAACCCCCCGTCATCTGGAGTTATACCCCCTAATTCACACTTCTCGTTAGCTGTGGATTATTCGGAATTGCGCTTCGCCTTTGGAGCCTCACCCTAGGTTTGATATATTCTGCAATTTCCCTTGTCTCCTATAGTTTCTGCAGTTCGTCGCAATGCACTGCTCCATTCATCTCCCTATTCTTAGCCTGTTCACAATCATGGGGTTGTTGCCTTCTCTCTTTGCATTATAAACCAAAAAAAATAGATTTCTCTATCATATAAGATCCTAGCCTGATCTGTGAGGGCTGTTCCTACTTTATATATCCCAATGTTTCGCCTCAAAGATTTTTGTTGTCCTACTCTGGTTTATTTTCTTTGTCTCTTCTTTCACACATTGCTAGGGGGTTCCGATAGACAGGGCATTGCAGTGGTTCATTTCAGGTGTCTGGAACACTACGTTATTTAGTCGGGGCAATAGTACTTATTAAAAGATATTTTGAAAAATACATTTCAACTCCAATATTGGGGAACTTATCTATCTCATGGATGTTACTATTAGACGTAGATTATCATCTCTTTCCTTTACCCTTCTTCTTCTTCGCACCTCCACCCTGGCTCTTTTGCTGTACCACCCCGGCGGTCGGTGCAGCACTCTCCTCTCCCTTTTCATTCACAATGCCACCTTGAGTCCGATCAGCAGCTCTCTGCTTTCCTTTCTTGCCCTTTGGCCGATATGTCGAGCGATCGCGCAATGGCAGCCAGCGCTCCGGATCAGGCTTCTTCTCTGGGTCATAATTCTTTGGCAGCCGAGATCTACGTATCCGTTTCTTTTTGGGCGCGGCCTGTTTCTGTTTGTCCTCGGTCGCCTTGCGTTTGCGAGATGCCGTGATCGTCTCGGTGCAAATGGGAGGAATGCCTGCGGCTTCGAGAGTGGCGACATCCACGCCGGAGATCAGGTCTTGGATCGGTGTGAGGGTGGTGGTCTCGTTTTGGATCTTCGACGGGGAGAATGCGGCGTGGGATGCGACGTAGCCGGCTGTTGCGATCCGATCTGTCGGCTCTATGGAGTGTACGGCATCAAATATCTCGGCGGCGGTGCGCAGGTTCGAGGAATCGTGAGACTGAAGAAGAGACGATGCTGCGGCTCGGAGAAGGGATAATGGCTGTTCATGGCGCGGCCGTTGGCGCCAATATGTTGCGGCTTTGGCGAGCTCGATGTTTACTTGCCTCTTCCGGCCTTGTAGTTTATAGATAGCGACGAGGACACTGATGAGGCCCGGGTTGTATCGGACCTCCTGGTCTGATTCTGATATCGATTCGTCCAGCCGTTTTAAGAAAGATTCCAGAACGGATACCGCAGAGCTCACATTGCCTTCACCGATATATAATTGGGTAGCAAGGAGAACAAGGCCGACATCTTGGGGTCGCTTTTCTAATAGGGAGAGCGTTTGTTTTATGGAGGCTCGCCCGCCCTTGTTTTGAGTATGGGCAGCCACATTGAAAATGGAAAGGGAATTAACATCTTTTGACAGTGTCGCTGACCTTTGTTGAGATAGTACTTTTGAAGTTGATCTTGCAACTCCATCGTACTTGTGAACAAGAAGCTCGATGGTGTTTGAGTTTTGTTTCAAGGTTCCGCTTTGATATCTGAATAGTCTATCGCTATCCGCAGGTTGTGGTGTTTCGTGGAACGACTTATGCTGTAAATAGGGATTAGAATCGCGGTGGGTAGCTAGGATGAGATTGTTTTGGGCAATCTGCTTTGTAGACATCTCGGATATCCTTCAAGTCAGGTCAGCAAAAGGTGGTATAATGCGGCTAGCGGAGACGTACTCGGAGATATTGATCTCTTCAAGCAGTGATTCTACTCCCTCGAGCTTCCCCTGCCGTAGAGCAATATACAATTCTTGGGTTGCAATAGGTAATAATTCAGCTCTCTTATCCTCTGGCGACAGTTCCTCGGAAGATTTGCAAAGCTCTATCAAACCTGGCGCTTAGCTTTGGGGAGAGAAATGCAGCAGTGGGTGGACAAACCTTTCGCTCTTCTAAGAAGTTGTCGAGCCTTTTCAAGTTCCCCAGTCGCAATATACTCACAAGCAATATTGTAAGTTGTCTCAAATACTTCCAGGTCGTCAGCGCCTGGTTTAATTCCTTGCGCCAACTTCGCGTGTCCAGCCCAGCGTTGCTGCGCGTCCACGGCTGTCATATTAATTCGAAGATCAGTATGTTCCTGCGCGGAGGCGCTTTGGTCTTTATACAGCTCCTCATATAAATCTTTTGCCCGCTGCCAACGCTCATCTCGGTATGCCTGAGCGAAAGTCAACCGTGAGTCTCAACTTACGAAGAGATGTAACCCCGGAAGGTGGAGACATACCGCTTGGGCCTCCACATGTTTCGCTCCTCGTCCTCTGCCCGAAGCGGCGGCCACCTCTATAGCTTTATCAAGTTTTCCGGTCTTATACAAGGCGTATGCCCATTCCAACGACGCCCGTTGCTGCAGCGCATCTCCTCCATCCTCGATAACTTTTATCGCTTCTTCGAAGCGGTCCTGTTTGAGCAACGCTACCGTTTTAACGTGTCGCGCTTCAAGGTCGGTTTTGGATCTTTTTAATATCGCATTGCAGGTTTTGATTATTTCATCATGATCATCAATTGAACTTTGCTGTAGCAGAACACTTAAGCTCTGCAACGCGGCCATGTGGAAGGGAGGGGGGGGGTCAGACTATCGGGTTTGCTCGCGAGTTTCAAGGATGACGGCTGGGTAGGTAGTAAGATAGTCGGCTACACCAACGCAAGATAAGAACTAATCAACCCTTCTGGGATGTATTGGTGTGTTGTCTTCCTCCGACAAGGACTCAATGGCGGCTTGCATCAGCGTGATGTCGACAGCGGATCGAGAATGACAGCATCCCAAGCCCAAAGCCCTAAGCCCTAGCCAACCCGTTTAGGCGGAGAAAGTAACCTGAAGACTTCACCCCTTGAACTATCCTGCATCACCCATCATCTCTCTCTACTTGCCGCAGAGCAAATTTGACCAGCAGCGGAACATCTGAATATACCGGTGTGCCTACAGCTCCAGCCCATTCGCCCATCCGAACAACACACCGTGACACCAACTCCCCCGAGATTACATCAACATGGAGCACTGTCAGCGAAAAGTTGCATGTCAAATAGCGGGGTGCACTTCAAATGACAGCTCCGGGTCATTATTTGTTGTGCATGGGGTCTCTTCCGCCGTTATTTAGCAAGTCGAATATCTTCCAGCTTTTACAAAGGTTCATGCTAGTAGCACAGCTTCCGTCCGCCACACGAAGTCACAGACCGGGCATTCGACTCCCATGTATATAAAATGTCAAACAGATATGCTTGCATCTAGCAAGCGATAGTCCTATTATGCTCAGACAAGGTGTCTACGGCTGATTCCCGACTCTTCTTTCATCCGATGGAATGAGGCGGCCGGATACCCCAGGTTATGCCCAACCCTTGTCACTAGGGTGTGATGGGCAGAAATAGTAGCCAAGCTTGCCATGGATGCGCAGGGTGGCTTAAAACCGAAGGATTGGAGGTTGCGGTTGTTTTCGCTATATAAAAAAGTTGACAGACTATATACCCTTCAATAACAAATCAAAATGAGCAAAACTTGTACCTCAAAAGACTTACAAGCTCCTGCCAACCTGCTGTCGTCGCTACCACAGAAGCTAGGATCCCCCCGTTCAACTATTTGTGACGCTGTCTACTATAGACATCTGGAGGCTCTCTCACAGAGTATCTATCGCATGACAAGTTCCGGCTTCCTTGACCTTCAATTCGAGAAGACATTGAACCGAACCGACTGAGAAACTCAAAAGGCATCCTCAGGAGCGGAATGTTTTCCTTTACTAAAGAAGCACCTTTGGATGAAACATGTGAAAGCTAAGGGTTATTTGAAGTGGGATATGTAATCATTTCTGTCTGCAGTAGTTAAACTCGCTGACAGCTGCGTTTGACTGAACAGGCGATGATTGATCTCTAGTAATCGTTTATTGAGATGACTGCCAAGAAGGCCTCGTTTCTTTTAGATCCCCATTCTCTCCAACGGACGAGAGAAGGCAAATTGTCGGCGTGGAGAGTCTCCGAGGTCTCCAAGGTAACCTCTTCATAGGCCCTGCTATAATTTGGGTATAACACCACCTACCCCAAGATTCTTCTCCGCACAATACTGGCTTTCCTATATTCAGGTTTTGCGATCCGCGTTTTCGAAAGCAAAATCGAGAGTCGAGGATCGAGACTAGGCTCCCTGACAAATTCAAAGCTTATCGCCTAAAGTCCGAGAGTATATCTGAGTCTTACGCTAGATCATGCAAAATAATCCATACTTTACTAGCTTTGTAACGGACCCAGCTCGATCCCTCTCTCGACACGCATTCTTCGGAGAAGTTGGAATGAACCACCTCCCAAATCAACGGTGATAACGAAACTCTCTCCAAGTCCGAATTCGATGAGGATCACTCCATACAGTGATGCACCTGCCCTTGATGGGACTGAAACACGCCGCTATCCGTGTCTTACAACCTGTCAAAAAGGATTTCGAGGGAGACATGAATGCGGACCTTGATGGTCTCTGTGGAGAATCAGCCTTTTAGAGCTTGTCCTCTGTGGAGAAGCTGAGGCGTTGTGCTGAGCCACTGCAGCCGCAGAGAATTCGAATCTCCGATCCGCTCCTTTAGGGCTCGCCGGAGCCTTTCGCGCGAGGAGAAGCTGCACGAACATAGACACGCATTATATAAATACCATTACTGGCCAACGACTTCTTTCCACGATTATGCAAGAAAGATTTTTTAAGTCAGCCTGCCCGGAGTTGTCGGCAGTCTCAGTTATCGTGAGTTCCTGGGTTTCCCATGGTTTCAGTGGCATTCTCTCGTGTGGGGCTTTATGCCTTGTAGTTCAAAGTCCGTGCCCACGACCTAAGTTAACCTCCGTCCTATGCTTATCAATCTGTCAAAAAAGCCAAACTCTACGGAGTACATAGGTTAAAATAAAATTTTCAGGGACTCCATGCAAAGTGGGCCCGTCGGTCCAATGCCGGAGAATTCGCAGCGATGGAAATTTAATCTTACTCCTGTCCACGCCTCTTGCGCATATGCTCTCTCCACGCGCTGCGGCAAATCCACGAGGAAGAGATGGAAACAGAGTGAACGCCCACTCGAGATACGCAGACAAACGAAGGCTGCTATCTTTGAGCGGTTGCTTGAAGGGACTGGGATTGGCTGTATACCAAAATTCTGCCCTTCATGCGTGACTCAATTCCTAGGAAATGATGGCAAGTAACGGGCAAAACCTAGATCTTTATCCCCATCTTTTAGCACCTGACAGCGGAGGCGCATGGCCCTAACCAAATTTCCTTTCCCCCCCCGGGGCCTGCCTGTATGAAGCGCTCAGCATAGCGAACAAATGTCATTGCTCTCTAATTAGGTAGTTAACTAGCCTTCACGTTAGCCATGAGCATTCCAGTGTTACGTTTTGTATTCGTAGGATTGTCATAGCTACAGTGCTGTAGTAGTAATGGAACTATGACCACGAGGTAACTATTGCATTTTACTTACTCAGCTTAGATCCGATGTCTCCTCCGACCTCCGCAGGGAGTATGTATTCACAGCTTCTTGGCTGGCCAACGGTTCCATCGGTTCCATACGATCTCCACTCAATGCCGCGCCAGCGTGACGCGCAAATCCTCGAGGTTGGGTGGACTAGCTTTGATCTCGAAACCATAACTTGATGCGCCGAGGTTTCTGCATAGGGTAGCCGATGCTAGCTGACCCCAGGGTTCCCGTTAGGTAACCGTTAACGTACTTGCGTGAAACGCCAGCAACTTTCAACTGGATGCACCCTTGGTTCTCCTCATTACTTGCCACGGAGCTGAAGGAGAGCCGCCAAACGTCCCATAGGCCAAGATTGAGCGTATGGCCGAGCATATGGTTTCGAACGTTGGGGCTTTGAACAATTCTTTTACACGGAGCTGTGGACATCCGTATTCCCAGATTGATGCTTGGGGCCTGCCGTAAAAAGCCAAGTTTATTTATCTCGCAGGACGAAATTAAGGTCTGTGGCACGTTAAGCAGTTTTTGAAAAACTTGGTTCGATGACTGTGGAGAACCATGAACCATCGCTTTCCAGTGGCTATGTGTAGGAACGGGTTCAACCTTTTTCAGCTTTGTTTGGTCTGCTGGGGAAACGCTGTCCTGTTGCTTTTCTGTTTTGATGCTTGGCATAAAGGACCACCTCTGTTGATGGTGGAATACAAAAGTATGCTTAAACCGAAAAACGAGGGCCGTCCGGTAATTAGTTTGTCAGTTCGGAAATCAATGGAGATCCGCATGAACAGTCGCATGCTGTTGTCCACTGAAGGAGACTATCATCACACCAATAATTCGTAAGTCAATGGAAATCTGAGGTTTTGAGGCTGTTCAACATTTTCCATTAATTATCGGGATCTTAAGCCCTAAACAAACACATCCCTGCACTTTTAAAAGACCCCAGCTGATCAGTCCCTGGCGAACGGTCTAGCTCCCTCCTTAAAACACGCTGAACACTCTTGGCAGATCAAGTCGACGTTGAGCAACAAAGGAGAAGAAGACGGGGCCTTCTGATGAGTTTCATGTTGAGAAGAAAAAGAACTATGCTTCTCTGGACTGACTTTGAGGGCGCCTGCTATGGTAGTTAGTTAATCAGACCACTTCGGTACGAAGAACTAAGTGATTCCGGCACCACTCGGCCCTTTGTGAATTCCTGCAAGCTCCCGCGCCCCGTCGAGACATGTCAGTTCCCCGGATCCCCTCCTCTTCCCCAGTTTTATGCATGCAAAAGAACAAAAGAAAGAAATGGGAAGTGTGAAACGAGCTCTCAAATTGCAGAACGAGGGGCATCACAGAGGGCCTCCTTTTTTCTTTTTCTTTCTTTTTTTTTTTTTTTGAGAAGTCTGCCAAAAGCTTGATTTGATACTTTGTAAAGGGAGGATTTCCATCTATGATAGGGTAGACGCGAAAGGTCTGTGCATATGCTATGTAGTTCCTCTCTATCTGTGTTACGAAGCTCGACCTAGAGTGCCCAATGAATATGATGTACAGATGAATAACTAAGTTGTCGACCCCAGAGACGGGAATGACGCGCGCAGGGAGCTGACAGATCTTCACACGGCTCCTGGCACATTTCGGAAACGCAGAATACCCTGCTATTCGAGGGAAATAAGACGAGGGTGGCTTTCGAGCGGACATCGTGAACTTTTGATCCAGACCTATGGCGACACAGCGTTTAACAAGGAAATCTCCCTTCCATTTCCTGCTTTTCGACCATGATTCCCATGGAATGTGGGAGTGTGCGAGAGGGAGAGTGTGTGTCTCTGTCTTGGGAAATATGAGATGATAAAAACAAAGCAGCACCATGGGAAGAGTCGCGCATGCCACCTGGCAAAATTGCATGGATTGTGTGTCAGACCACGTTGGCCCATGGTGGTTTGATGGCGTCTTGATCCAAAAGCAGGTGTCCATGTCTCCGGAGAGGATCCAAACCAGGTCGCCCGTGTGATCAAGGCGATTGCCGTGGTCTTCGAATCTCCCGCCGCCACATTCTTTGCTTTTTTTCTGGTCCGCTTTCTTTACTTATCACCTTTGGTTATTGTGTCACATCTGCTCTCTGGCTCGCTCGGGAGCGGTGGCACCGTCTAGGCCTTTAGCGCGAGTCCGGTGTTTGGTCGAAGCGTGGGGTGGGTGAAAGGGAAGCAACTTTTGACGGAAGATTATCGAGATCACGTTGCAGCCAGAGAGCGAAGTCATGAAGTTCGTTGGCTGGCTCTTTCACCCATCGTTTTCATACAGCCCGTCGGCAATGCAAGTCGAGCGGGATCTGCACTTGTTTGCTACGAAAAAAGACTTTGCCTAGATCAGTTGTTTTCGCCTGTCTGCAGCCGCTGCAAAGCAAGCCAAAAGTCAATGATTGCTCATAGGCTCGAATTCTGAAGACCACATGGCATTCTTTGGCATGGTTAATGACTTGTCTCATGGCGTAAACTTTGGGATGAACAAGTGCCTTCCAAAATCTGATAGATATTTTTTTTTTTTTTTCCCCCCCCAAAAAAACGCTCTTTTGTTATCCAAGCTATGCACAGCGCCAAACAACTATCCCGAAAAGACCAGGCAGACTGTCATGTTGCGTTTTTTTTCCTTCCTTTTTCTTTTTTTTTTTTTTTTTGGTTGTAATCTGTCAAGATTTTTGTAGGAAAAGATGATGCGTAAACCGCTTGTGAGACATCCAAACAGGCAGAAGGAGCCAAATGCATGGGGCATAAGCGAGAAATTCAAAAGCCGGTACAGAAAGCAGTCACAACACCAATACGCCACGCTATGGCACATCAACACTTCGAGATCTTGTACAGATTTGTCTCTTTGCATATTCTTCCATTCCCTCCCAAGCTTATCGTCGAGCTGTAAATGTTCTCATCGACCTCGACAAGTTATAAAACGAAAACCGCAATTTGTGGACGGACAAATCCGTCGGACGAATTCAAGAGAAAATATGTCCGTCCCCTCCCCCCGTCTAAGCTTTCAAAGAACATCAAATAAGACATTGTAGAAAGGAAAATAGAGGAACAAGAAAAAAGATTGAAAATACAATATTTTCAGCCGAAAAGTGCCGTTTCCCAGAACCGATAATGCCTGACAAAGCCAAAAGGAAAAAAGGATAAAAAAAAAAAAAGGATAAAAAGACATCGCTTGGAGAACGAAGATTAAGTTTAAATAGGATGGCGATGTCTCGTTCAACGACGAGATGGTGACGTGTCATAATCAGGGTCGTCCTCACTCATTGAAGAACTCGGACGCATCCGGTCGGGGTCGGGAATACGGCCTTGGTTCCGCAGTGCTGGGAGATGCCGGCGCCTTGCGTTAATGAACCAGTTGCTGATCTACGCATGCCCATTCAGCCTCGATGAAAATCCATACGGAAAGCGAGGAATTTTGCAAGGCAGACAGCACTCACCTGGCTAATGGTTAATCCTGTACGAGTCATGAACATCTGCTTATCCTGTTCACTCGGATACGGATGGTCGAGATGTTCATAGAACCAGGCCCGCAAGATATCTGTTGTGGGTTTTGGCAAATTTCCCCTTCGCTTCTTACTCTTAGAATCAGCGGTATCTCCGAGTGGGTCATATTTTGTAGGCTTGGTGTCCATATATGCACTATGAGCGGTGCTGTCAAGGTCGCCACCATAATATCCTTGATATGATCCATGTATTGGACTATTATATGCTGATGGATAAGGACCTGCCGTTCCATGCGTCATTGAGCTTAAAGTACTCGAGCGAGAGGAAGCGTAGCTTGCCCGTTCGGCATCATAAACCCGTTCGTAGCCTCTGTCATCATGTCTTCCGACGGGTGATGGAATTTGTCCGGGCAGGGCTTCATAATTGCGTAGTGGTGGAAGAAAGTTCCTGGGATCACTGGGATCGAGGTGACGACTGCTGCTGCGCGAAGAAGGCGTCAATGGCGCTCTATCGTCATAGTACTGCCGTTCCTGTGGCAGATGGTGGCTGTGATATCGCGATTGTCCCTCTAGGTAGGCGTTTTGCCTCATCAACGAGCTGTCATAGTCCTGACCCCGACCAACTGACCCGGGGTGATGTCGAGTCCCCGACCCTCGTCTCGACGGTGGTTCCTGCCGGGATACGGGCGGCAGACGGCTGCTGTGCTGGTGATGGGGGTGTTGGTGCTGGTGCGAGCCGGTTTGCAGATGATATGAAGCGGAATCTATTTCGTCATGGAGATAATCAGGTAGAAGCTGGAGTTATATGGGACACCGAACATCAGCGATTGGAGAGACTCATTTTGACGGAAATGATATACAGCGTAGATATATATATGATCAAAGAGAACTTGTATTTACCTCTCGGAACGAAGGTAGTTTTGGAGTATGTCCAGGGGAGTGCCCCGATGAGTACGACACAGCCATATCCTTTGATTGCTCAGGCGGTGATGGTGGGCGGGGCATATGGAGGTTTCAACGACCGTCAGAGGGCTCTGGTGGAATTGATATATAAAGCAAAGCAGCAAAAGGAATGATAAAAAGGGTGGGATGACAGCCGGAGGCGACGGTGACGACAATTTCCACGTTCCACCGGTCACTCTCTTAATACCTCAGATAGGAATTTGGTAGCCATTCAACAGCACGGATTCATGGTGGTCGCGATGGCGCCAGCAGCTCTTCCTCACTGACAAGTACGTCAACTGGTCCAGATCTAAACTGCAGCGAGGGATAGGTATTGGGCAGTACAGAGAGATAGGAGGGGAAGAGTATAATTTGCCGAGTGACTAGTTGTTCCTTTCCTGTGGACTGACTGAGCAATCAAGGTCGGGAGCAGCAAGCCCGAAGTCACCGAACAGGCTCAAGGGCTAATAATAGGAACGGGAGGCGTATAGAAAAGGAAAGAAGAGGAAACAAAAGAAAAAAAAAAGGATGCGAAAAGATGCGAAAGCGAAAAAAAATAAAAATAAAAATAAAAATAAAAAACTGAAAAGAAGGAATGTTGAAGATGCAACGACGACAACAGATGAGAGGGGATCGAACAACTAAGGGAAAAGAAGAGGTGACGGAATTCGAGCCTGGGTGTGTTTTGGCAGAGAAATACATCGTATTAGATATGCATAACCTGCAGCTTGCTCCCTTTCGACATGGGCCACGCAGTCTCGCCGTCAGAGAGATCCGAATCAGAACGACGATCATCCTGTGGACCGGGGGTGGTATGGAATGGGGGGGTGGCCACCAGTGAACACACGCCCCTCCAGAAGTTCAGGATCCTCAAAGTGGAGAGAGGGCGAACGAAGGCGGGCTTTGGGTCCAAAGGATACCGGAGAGTGCTTTAAGGTTGAGGGTGACAGGATGGTTGGGGCCCAGGGATCTGACAATGGATGAAGCGGATTGCAAACAAGTGATGTGCAAGGTGGCGTCTGCCATGCGGTACGGAGTCAGGACATGAGACGCAAGTCTGTTCCAAAACTCCATGCTGAGATTGGCGCTAGCAGTTGGCGGTTTAGCGACGATTTCAAGTCAAGAGGACCAAGAAATTTTTTGTCTAAATAAAAAGACGCCCCAAGAGGTCCCGCTTCTTGGGCCATTAACCTAGATTATTATGATGTATCATGGATAGACGTTGCCCGTTGGTGTTCCTTGTCGTCGCCTCTTCCATCGCTCCGCCGCGAACAGGCGGATAATGTCAACTTACGGAAGAGGGACTGACCCAAAATGGGTCTCTTATCGTCTTGCAAAAGCCCGAAGTTCACCGAGAAAACGGCTCCATCGGCACTTTTCCATCTCTCAGTCCCCTAATTTTGCGACCCGGTCTCCATATCGTCTTCTCCGGGCCCCGGGAGCAGTGAAAGAGCAAGCACAAGAGTAATAATGGACGAAAGGGAAAAACAGTAATAACAATTGTAACTACAAAGAGATCCAAGACCCTTCAGTAACCAAAACCAGCCCGACCTCAAAAGCGCCAATGGATCTCGGCGCGCCACTGCTACCAGGCCGCTCCATTGGCCCAATATTCCCTCTTTTCTTCCCGATTAGTTAGCGATGCCCGGGATGATAACGTCAACTACTTTCTTCCCCCCTCCTTGACAGTTGAGCAGTGCGTGGAACAGGGCACAGCCCCCATTGAGGGTCATCGCCGACACCACTTTTTTTGGCTTTTGGAAGAGCCAACGATGGAACTTTGGTAATAGCCTGTGGTTGGAGGATCCGTCGAGAGTCCAAGAGTCAATGACCCGTGGACTTTGCAACCTTCGAGCTCTGGGAGGAGATCCAAGCAACAGTCACCCAACCACGGAAACCAAGCCCAAAAACGGGAAAAGAACAACAGCAGCCACACGCAGCGAACCAATTGATCAGCATCCGAGACTCTGTGATTCCTCTTACTCGTGGGAAGGGGGTTGGGAAAACATATCATAAGAATCTACTCCGTACACCATAAATCATCATCACGGGAATCCATGAATCGTTACCCATCTTGACTGGCGTGCCGTTTTGCATGATTCTTGACAAGATCGACGTGTATCTTCTGGTTTAGAAATTTGGTTCCACAGGCTTGACTAGATCTTTGCGCCATCAGCCAATGACTTCGGTCACTTAAGATTGAACGGTGTTTGGCGTATCTTCGGCCGAAGCACAGACACCTAGAAAGCCGCTCTTCGATCTCTTGAACCATCATGTACAAAAAGGCAGATTGGCCAATAAGCATGTGTACCTGCTTGGAAAAAGGTTTCTGCACCAACTAGATTGACAAGTTAGTTAATGGTGCAGGCCTTTTGGACTTGCATGGTAAGATCTGCCGTGCTGCCTGTCATCCTTTTAATCGCCATGCCCAGACCTTGGACATTACGTACATGTGCAACGGAACAGAGTACTTGAGCGAGGAAATGCGCTCGCACTTCGTGGCATCAGCTGCAGACAAATTGCAAACAAAGCGCACTGCAGCTAGGATTTGAAGAGATGATTGATATCTATGATGTCTTTGATATGAAGAGCCGTTTGTTGTGTGGTCGTACATTTGTTTGAACTGGCACGAAAGAGTTACATGAAGCGCCAGCTCTGACATGCGAGTGTGGAGGGTGCACAGGTGCCGACGCTCCCTGTCACTCGATCTTATCGGCGGCACGAACCCGAAGCCAAGCTGCTTCGTCGGGGTCCTCAAATTCTAATGAGGGCTGCAGCCAATATATCTTCCGCAGCAGTAGACTCTGTGCAAAATGACAAAGCCCAGAGGTCCCATAAACTCATCGTTGATTGGGCAGTGTACCCATACTCCCGAATAAGTTGCTTTTAAAAAAAGAAACTAAGGTAAACGAAAAGCTATGTTGGGACTAGATAGATGTGGTGTCACAAATCCCTTATGGTTCACGATAATTGTCTTTGGTGTGACCATTCGAGCCCCTTAGCAAATACTGGTAAGGCAGCCAGTGCTTGCAGACACTGACCACATCCCCCAGAAAGCCCTTGAAATTCGTCAGGCATCAAAATTTGCTCACTAGCTTTTTGATCTCTTTCATCCTTTTTTTTCGTCCTCTCACTGTGTTGCAACTTTGCCAGTCCGAGGATAGCGGATATCCTTGTCGATCCGGTTGAAATAAAAGTGCATACTAATATAACAATGACGGGTGCTTCCTTGTCCACCCACCTAACTGTGCATTGTCCCCAACCTGAGACATGGCTCAAACTTCTCCCGAAGTACATCTCAAACTGCGTTTGGATCCCGCTCTTTAGTGAGTTCTGACACTCGCTGAGAAGGGTTCTGGTAACAACTGGGTATTTTCAAAATTCGCATCAGACCAGCCCGTTGTCGTAACGAAAGGAGTGGCTTGTTGGTTCCTTGTTTTATTTGCTGCAATTCCATGAAATGTACGGAGTAGCCCACTGTGTATGTTCATTCATCTTGTTCCGTAACTAAAACAAAGCTTGGAGGTCTCTCCGCCATCAAATTCCGCTGTGGACACTCTCAGTTTCTCTGAATCGACAGGCATTGTTGCCCCTTGTTGCTGAATGCAACTCTGGCAACTTTGCTGCCACGAGGCAAACCGTGCCAAGAGGATAAGGCGCCCTTAGCGAGGAGCTGGGATGGGTGTTGGGGGCAAGCTCGCTGTCAGATCTCGCTAGCGTCGACTCCAAACCAGTCTCGTTCACAACATCCGTCGAACTGAAACAATTTTGGTCTCCACTTGGGTTGATTAGCGGAAGTTGGCACAGTGTTCTGGCTGCTTCTCGGCTCACACTTCCGGGATCTTTTTTCTTGCCTTTTTGTGTTGTCGCATGCGATGCTTTACTCGATTCAAAGGAATATAGAAGTTGACAACAATGCGATACTTAAAGCAGTAGCTAATCAGCAGGGCACACGCATCCGTGGAGAAACGTATGAAAACCACGAGCACGCGATCCAATTGCCCCCTGAAATTCGAGAGCATAACCGGCCGTTCCGGACCTCGGAGGACTTTTCGTCTACGCGCAAAGCAGCCAACCGGCTGTCACGCATTCGCTAGCGGGTGATGGTTAAAGAGGGACAGCTAACTAAAGCTGAGACCAACCCCGCCGAGCAAATGACGCCGGCACATTCACTTCTCCCTTCAACAGCATTTTCAGGGCCTCGACCGCCCCATCCGTCGTCTTCGGGAGAAAATATCGCCTCCGCAATGCTTTTTCTGTCGCGTTGTCTCCAGTGAACACTCCGGCTGCCCTTGTAGCTCAGTCGGTAGAGCATGAGGCTTTTATGCGTAACCGTGTGAAGCAAAACCTCAGGGTCCAGAGTTCGAGCCTCTGCAAGGGCGCGTAGCCTTTTTTCTCTTATCTCTCTCTTTATTTTTGTTTATACACACATATATATATATATATGTATTTTTGGAAGACACAGTCGTGGTTTTCGTTGCTCAAACTATCAAATACCGTATGGACAGTAGTCGAAAGTCCCCATATCAAGAAACCCGTGACGAAAGAAAGCTTAACTAGTTCCTTAGCGTTAGGCGGGTAAAAGAATGTCGATTGCAGCAATGAAGATCAGAGGAAGAGAAACACTGAGAAAAGCCAACGCGTAGATACCCGCACCAAGCACTCATTTTTTGGGGGGAGCGCCGTCCTGCTTGCTTCAGGGTAACTCTTCTTTATGGGTTTCCCTTGGGTTTCCGCCCCTTAATCCTCATCATTTCCGCTCCGCTCTCCGAAAAGGTCCTCCTTACTCTTCCATGCCATTTCTCCTACTTTCCCCTAGAATTCCCTGTTAACCGTCCTTCCAATATCTCCTTTATCTCTCTTGAATATTTCCCATGCTCACTCCTACGAGTCCCTCCTACTTCCCCCTTGTGGGCTCCGTCCCCCATACGAAGCCGCCTCGATGGCGCCCGATCTGCTCTCCTTTTTGAATCAAACATCATATGTCTTGGCCATGCAGATCATTTGTTTGTATCAATACCCCAAGTGGTGTGTGGAATGAAACTCTGAATCTGTTCATGCTTTAGCAAGAATAGCTCCGACAGAATGCTGCCCGGGTACCTATAGTCATGTCCGTAAATATCATATGTGACTCTCATATCTGACGCTCCTCAGAGATAAACTTGCAAGCTGTAACAAATAAGTTACGGGCAAAGGTAAAGATAGCACATTCCACCGTGACCCATTTCTCGGCGAGAGTCCTGTGATATTCACATGATTGGACAAAGCTTCTGTTGAAAAATTTTGTGATAGTTCCATAATTTAAAAAGGGCAACATCATTCCTATCTTTAGGAGAAGATCCTTCTGGATGGCGCATACAACATCCCTCCTGTTGGAGGAGCTGCGACAACTGGTCATTCTGATGAATAGTAACCAACAATTGCCACCTGACACGTTCGATATGGCAAAATTGTAAGGTTGAAAGTTTTGAACCTTGTAAGATTTAGGAGCAAGCGATGCTGACTTACTTATGGGTCTAGCCATGTGCAGTAAGTTATCAACAAAAAGTAGAACCAACGTGTGATGTTTTGCAAATAAATATAGAGGCATTTTTTCAATGCATATATCTATTAATGGGGTATTAAATTGAACCGGGGATGGGCCGCTCTGTCGCGGTGGGAGACCATGACAATACAACGCAATCTATGATCTTGTTTGCTTCCACAAGTGACAAGTCACTGGAGCTGCGGCGGAACGATCATTACGTTGCACTGGACATCAGCCCCGCTACGTGCACTTGAGATTTGTCCACAGTAACCCCTGCCAATACGACTGCGCGAAACATTGTAATGATGGGATAAAGGCCAGCGATTAACGTCTTGCAGAGAGTATAAAGGTTCTGGCAGCAACTTGGTGGTATGATCGCGTCTCGAACTCAAGTATATACCATGGAAATTTGATTCCTCTCTATTGCGACTCGGCTCCCTGCCTGTTGATGCAGTTTCATTCCAATGCCGCTTGGATCTGCAAAGCGACGAGGACTGCTAACTTCTTTTCCTTTAGGCGACATTTAAGTGAGCTCCAAAGTGTCCATTTCTCGTCGCTCAGGTCTTTCCGGCTCGTCCACCACTCGTGATTGAGAGCTCCAGCGTTTCATTCCAACATTCGACGCTGCCCCTAAAGGTATTCCTTGAAATAGAAATCTTGGATGGCATTGTGATAAAGGAACGAATATATTCTGTGGCGTGGAAAGAATAGGCCGCCCGTGCTTAGAAATCTCAAGCAGAAAGCTTATTCTCGGCGGTGCAGACATTTCCATAGAGTGTCCGGTGATTTTCTAGCCGTAGTCAGGCATTGTGGGAATTGAAAAGGGATACTATTTGCGTTCAAGCAAAGCGCTATATACCCACAAGCCCTGAGCCCACTCTCGGAATGAACAGCTTGTAAATAGCGTTCCTAATGAATCCAGCTTCGCGATGGAGTAACGGTCGAAGACATAGTCCACCAGGTCGAAACTCTTTCTCAGCAAATGGAGAATCAATAAAAACGCGGTCGATGGATATCATAAGGCTTGAAAGTGCTTTGGTAAGATGTGAACTCGTTGAGGACGCACGATGCCTTGCGATGGGGTAATGTAGTTTGCCCCTGACCTCATGGATGCGCACGTTGCCGGGCGGACCATGTGGCAGTGCAGCGACGGTGGTTTGTGGGAAAGCTACCCCTGGTGTCTGGAAAGTTTCCACAACCCGGAGTCTTTGGTTTGGGTGTCGCTCACCAGTAGATAATACGAAGGCCCCACGTCAGCAGGGTAATCTCACGCAGCACCAGCTGAGAGAGAAGGGTGTTGAAGAAAACCTCGGAATCGGAGCCATTCCCTGCATGCAGGGAGGTGCCCTTGAAAGAGCCTGGTAAGGCCGAGCGTCGTGTACGCGAACCAGCCACAGCAGTTTGGCACAAAGACTGGGCGGGCGGCTCTTCGGATTGGCCTGTGAACCCCTATGCCTGCGCCACAACCCCACCACCCATACGTCATTTTGTGTATTTTTACGGCTGCGTTTCGTTTCGCGCGCTCGAGCTGATGCTGCCGTCAACCTGTTCGTCGCAGCGCCATTATTATTCACTTCTCCCTTGACCGTATATATACCAATCTTCAGCCCCTCAATCCCGCTCACAATCTTTTCTTCCTTCTGTTTGCCACCTATCGACTTTCTATCCTTTTGAGCCGTAGCAAAAATGGGTGTAAGTATTCAGCATCTCGATTCTTTTTTCTCACGCAAAAGTTACCCCGCCATCGTCGCCCCGCATTCACTTTTTATCGCCAAACTTGCTATCTTCCCGTCGAATGTGGCGACAAAGTTCACTAACAGGCAGACTTCTTCTTACAAAAACTACAGCTCGCCTCAAAATTAGCTGCTTCCAGTGGCGCTCCGCCCGCGTCATATCCTGGCGGTCCTCCTGCACCACTCCAGGCAGGCCAACAGCCCAGACCAGCATACGTAAGTCAGAATTGTTCGAAACGGCCATAGCAGTCTGTGGCAGAGGGACACAGCCGTTCCATCCCCGTATTCCGATGGCTGACAACTGACTGCTGGCGCCCTACAGCCCGGACAGCAACAGTACCAAGCGTACCCAGGAGGTGGACAACCAGCCCAGCAAGGCCCACCCGCTGCATCAGTAAGCAAATCACGTTTTCTTAGCTGCTCCAACCCCCATGTGACGCGCCTATCAATCTGGCTGCAACTTCGTCCCATCGACCACCATCCATCCTCTCAAATTTTCCCCAATCCTTGGCCTTTGTCTATTTTTCCATTTGCTTGTTTTTCATCGTCCGCTGGCCCTCCATATCGTCCGACAATTGTCTCGGCTTTATCCGCTTTCAAACTCGACCAGCCATCATGAGTGGTCCATTTGGCCAACGGTATTATCATGGACAGCCATACCAAAATCCAGGTCAACCACCCTACCCAAATGCTGCAACCTCGCAGCCGCCACCCCAGCACCAGGGCCAATATGCACGTCCCGCTGCCCCTCCTACACCTTCGGCAGCCGCCCCATACCCGGGTTCCTCTCAGTCCACTTATCCCCAGGGCCATCAACAGCCGCCTCCCCAGCACATGAGCCCGGCACCGATGCAAGGCACTCCGCAACCTCAACACCAGCAGGGTTACCAGCAAGCGCCTTCCTACGGACAGCAACCTGCCTATGGCTACCAGCAACCTTCTTATGGGCATCAGCAATCACAATATGAACAGCAGCAATATGGAAGGCCTCCCCAGCAACCCCCCTATGGACAACCTTATCAGCAGCAGCAACCACTTCCCTATTACGTTCGTCCCATATTCTGAAAATTTACTTGATGCTCTGTGTTGATATTAGCATTGTTCTAACTTATTATAATTAATTAATCAGGGCCAACAGCAACCACCCCAGGGGCAATACCCCCCTCCACAGGGCTATCCACCACAAGGCCAAGGACATCCACCACAAGGCTCACCTTATCCCGGTGCGGCCCAGTATGGTGCCCCTCCAGCCCCTCCAGCCCAACCCCCGACTCCCCAACAGCTCGGCGCTTATAAACAGTTACTCCTGAATACGATCAACGAAAAGGGTCTGCAAAACATATACCCACCTAACTCACCGGTCCTCGATCAGATTGTTTCCAGAATTACCAACCAGATCGACCAGCTCTGCACTGCGTGGCGTGTTCCGCGAGAGGTCGGACAAGACATCGTGAAGCTGGCTTTGTTCGATGTTATTTTATACATCGACGATAGCGGCTCTATGCAGTTTGAGGAGAATGGGGAGCGTATCAAGGATCTCAAACTCATCCTCTCCCGTGTTGCTTATGCCGCCTCCCTGTTCGATGATGACGGTATTCAAGTCCGCTTCATGAATTCTAACGAGCAAGGTGATGGCATTCGAAGCGAAGCGCAGGTTGAGGCCCTCATTCAGCGTATACAGTTCAAGGGTTTGACTCCGATGGGAACTAGTTTGAGGAATAAAGTCTTGGAACCTTTGGTTGTTGGGCCAGCTCGCGCCGGCCAACTTAGGAAGCCCGTTCTTATCGTCACCATCACCGACGGACAGCCTGCTGGGGAACCACAAGGTGCAGTATTTGATGCTATCCGCTATGCCAGCTCTGAATTGCAGAACAATCCTCGTTATGGTCGTGGAGCAGTCTCTTTCCAGTTTGCTCAAGTGGGAAATGATCTAAAGGCCCGAGAATTCCTTTCAAAACTTGATGAAGAGCCTGGCATTGGAGAATTGGTTGACTGCACCTCCAGTAAGTACCCAACCATATTTCTGCTAGCAAATCGAATACGCCCAGCAATCCACTAACGAGTCGAATAGATTTTGAGGTAGAACAAGATGAAATGTCGCGCGCTAATCCTCCCGTTGACTTGACCCCAGATCTCTGGGTAAGTATCGTCCAATTCATAGGCTTGAATGCGACTGTCCCCCGCTAATATTGCGATTCAGCTCGCCAAGATGATTCTCGGCGCAATCGACTCATCTTATGATACGAGGGACGAGAAGGCAAGCCGTCCAGGTGCGCCGCCTCAGGGAGCATACGGAGCGCCACCCCAAGGACAATATGGCGCTCCACCACCAGGCCAATACGGAGCTCCTCCACCGCAGCAAGCTTATGCTCCTTATTCACCACAGGGTGGTTATGGACAACAACAGCAACCACCGCAGCCTCAACAAGGTTATGGCCGGCCCCCTCAGGGCGGCTATTCAACTCAAGGGGGATACGGCGGCCCACCTCCACCACAGAGATACTAGATTCGTGTTTTGAGCCCCTTAACCATAACACTTCTGCGAAGACTCATATTCGCGTCTCTGGTATCCATGGTTCTTGACTCCATACCATCGCCGTCATCCTTTAATGACTTTGCAATGACCTTCATATTTACCATGTTTGTAATTGTGTTTTCCCCTTATCCTTGTCACATTAGCTAGCTACTTTGTGGGTGGACTCAACAAAATGGTATGATCATTCATATGGGGTAACTGAGGAATGCAGCCAACAGTCCGGATTGCCGCTGAACATAAAAAGCTTGTTCTCAACTCAGAATTGAGGTGCATTATGCTTCGGCCGGGACTTAATCATCAAAAGCTGTTTCCAACATATTATCGTAGTACTATCTAGAAATGGCATATATTATGCTCGAAAAGGGATGATCCCTAAAATACAACACAATCCTCGCAGAAAATTCCACCCAGCCAAGGTCCGGCTCCTCTTGGTAGCAGCAAGTACCCGTGAAGATCACACTAGTTCAAATTCCATGCACTATGCTCTACTATTAACCGGCTCGTATTTTGCAACCGGCCAGCCATTGATATATTCCAGGTAGCTCCATCCCATATAAGCGTCCTACAAATTATTAGAAACATCGATGTAAATATGGCCCTACGATCCAGCTTACCGTATGGCGGAGACCGACGCTGGTATTAACTTCACAAGGGAGGAAAATTGTTAGCCTAGCTGACTTTGGAACAGTGCATCCAGCAGAGGTATGAAAGGAAAGGCTTACGGAAATGGTAATACAGAATATCTTGTGAACGGTCTGATAGCACTCCCAACCCGCCAGGTGCGTATACTTTTTTGTTGTGGTTCGAGCCATATACAACGTGTCCGCCCCCGGATGTTAATGGCTTACCGTTCTTGTCTGTGAACGGGCCTCGTGCGTTCTTCGAGCGGCCTACTCGGATGGAGTATCTGCCATTTTCCCCTTCGTGTCAGCATGATCAATACCAAGAGGGAATGTAGATGGATTTACTGCAGATTTTTTTAATCAAGGGAAAAGTGGGTGTTGCTTGCATACTCCTTTCCATCCTCGGGAAGATGTTTTGGGTCAAAGTGACAGCATTTGCCATGACTGAACCAAAAATAGTACCATCCATCTCTATAGGTCATGAACCCGCCCTCTTCATCATTAGGTTTTACATCTTCAGGCTTGGTAGCGAGACGTGTCGCGTCGATATGTTCTGGATCTTTGAGGGAGAGGATGTCACTGCTCAGAGGGATCTGCCACATGCCCGAAAAGAAGCTGCCAAAGATCAGGTACGCCTGCTCATCTTTTGGATCAATGAATACATGCGGATCGATAGCATTGGCCTCTTTAAAAGGGTACTTTTGCGAGCCAGGACCCGTGCCAGTTTGAATGATTGCCCCGTGGTCTTTCCAGGCGCCGGATCTGAGCTCCTTGGACGTAGCTATCCCAATGGCACTGTCGTTGCTGCCACGATGACTGACTGTGTAGAAGCAGTAGAAAGTGTTGTCTTTTGCAATGACGGCTGGGGCCCAAGGTCTTGTTCGGTTTTGCTTGGGGATTATGCTGGGTCCCGTTAAGACGGGTCCCATGTCTTCCCACGGGCCGTCGAGGGTCTTTGACTTGGAAAATGGTACGCCAATACCTCCCTTGAAGAGGTAATAGAAACCCCTATGTTGGATGATGTTCGGGTCATGGGCGACCAGAGGACTGTTGTGAGCCAAAGGATACGCAGGTTGGGGAGAAAATTTGGCAGGAAGTGCTGCGGTAGAACAGGAGAATGCTGCTGTTAGCAGCAGCGCGAGGAAGGTCCGGAACATGACACAAGGAGAGACTGGGTGTAAGATGAACTGTTTTCTCGGAAATAGCAGTGTAGAGATTAACCCCATATGGTGTGTAAAATGTCGGGAATATAAATAGTACTCCGTATTTCAGATTGTATCCTCTGAAATTTAAAAACGGGGTGAGGCATCAGCATTGCACTCATAATTCGCTCCCTAGATATATCAAGTCCTATGAAGCACTGCCGTGAAGGCAGTGTTCGCCTGGAATTCCCTCAAATTGAGCATAAACAGGATTTTACTTTGGGCATGGCAACGCAAGACCAACATTTCACAACAGCAATGAAGCAATCCAATTGATGCTCTTTTCCCAGAAATGTTTATCTTATTCATACAACACGTCCTAAACAGGCTCATTCGTGTCGTGTTGTGGCTGTGAAAGAGAGCATCAAATCAGCGATGATTTAGAGGGAGAGTGGAAGCTGGTTAAAAGTCCCATCAGATCAGCTCCGATGACATCACTAGCTATGATCATCCTTCTATTCTCAGCTGCGTCAGTATGCCTATGCTTGCTGGTGTTGGGCCCATCGTCCTACTTGCTATCCTCAAGGTTGGAAGTTCCATACGAAATATGGAGTACTCCGTACGGTGAGCGGAAAAGGGTCCAACGGGGGCATCCGCCAAGCCGACAGGTGACGCTTGAGTTGGCTAACTCAGGACGTAGTTGGTTAAAGCAGCCCCTAAGTCCTTTTCAGTCTTCCGCCTGGAACGGGCCCCCGGAGATATGGGCGAAGCCTATTTCCGGTGCCCAAACCACAGGGCCTTCTGCAGTACCCCAAATCGCGTTTTCAATGCTGAGCGATAATGGCATTTCATATTCTATCAATTAATTAACAGGGGCCACCCAAGATTGATCCCAACGAGGTTGTACCTTCTTAGCCCCCCCAGCCCTATTGATCGCTTAGGTGTTGCACGGATACCTGGGCCTTCTGTTGCGCGTGGCGAAACGCGTGTCTTTTACAGTGCGATGAAGTTGGAAATTGCCTAAGGGTCTGCCCGGGGTATGATTTCCCACCTCTCAACAGTTATCCACTGGCGGTGCGATCTATTAGCGCCATCCCCGAATACCTAGGTAAGACTCATGTTGCTTTCATCGTTCTATGATTCTATCCGGCCCCAACATTGGAAGCGGACTTCATGACGGTGAATCCAACCGAAGAGTTCGTGATAACTATGAGCTAGCATGTGTCCGAACGTTATCCCTTCATGCGTACACCTGTGCCTTTGACTCCTTTTTAGGTGTAATAATCAAATTACACTTAGCAGTTTTCATCGTTGATTGACATTTTGCATTTTTGACTTGATGATGATAGGATGTGACGAAAATTTTTACGTGGAAATGGCACCCAAGGTACAAGCATACAGACGAGGGAGGCTGTATGTTCTTGCGGATTGTCTTGTTGTGGGTTGATAGCGACATCGGGATCGCGAAGTAAGGATTGCTGCATCCCTAATGGGTCAAGAGGACCGACACCAGGAGTTCATGTCCATGCCATGAAGACTCTAGAAGTTTGTCAAGAAACCGTGTAACACTTTGATTGTTACAGAGTACTTCGTATTGATTTCTGGGTTTTTGTTTTCTTGATGGGCATTGAAAAAATCTGGCTCTTTCATGTGTGGCAGATCTGTCTATAGCCTCAAAGGGAATAATCGGCGATGTGGGTTGCCGACGCTCTATAATTGGTGGCATTTCACGTCCTTTGTTACATTTCTGCACAATTTATTTATGTATTATAGGGTATTGTTTGCAAGGAGCGACCGAATTTGCGTTCTTTGTCTAGCTCCGATGCGCCTCCTCAACATGCATATCGGGCGGTCAAGAAACACTACGCTCCCATGCACGGGAGGAATGGGATCCCGAAGATTTAACATGAGGCCTAACCTGTCCCATGCCATAAAAGTAGTTTGTCTAGTCTTTACTTTTGATTGAACTGTTCATTCCTCCCGAGCTTTTGGCTGTTTCATCAACCGCCAGTATGTTTCAAACATCTCCCAACCAGCTCTTAGCTCTCGGCGGCCTAGGCCTGACTCTTCTTTGGGGTGTGGCATTTTTGAATGGCATGTTTGACAATTTGGACACTGTTCTTGAAACTGGGCTTCTCCCCGACGGACGCGCCCTCCGTACAGTGTACAGCCATAATTGGCTTATAGACAACCGCCTCACGCTCCTCACTGCCTTTTATGATCTTCTCACCAATAGCTTGTCTACTGGACCACCACTCCTCTTCTTTGATGTCAACTACGTTGTTGCGTGTACAAATGTTTGGGTTCTTGTTGAGAGCCGGCGCCGTGGCGTACGGAATTTCTTTTTGAGGCAGTAAGTTGACTTTATGAAATATAAAACGTGATGTTTGTTTGCTAATTTCTCACTGTAGTACCTGGGTTATAATAATTCTTTGGAATGCAACTGGTGCTGCGATTATTCAGCCACTGTACTTTTACTGCGTTTCCAAAAGCAAGGCTGTTTCCCGCGATCCTACGATACCAATAAATGAGGCAATATCCGTGTTCATTACAACAATATTAGCCCTGTTATGTCCATTGCTTCTGTTCCTGCCCTCGTGGCTAAGCTATAGTGCTTGGGACCACCATGGCTTCATTGCGTTATTTCATATCTCGCCTATTCTTGTGACGGTTTTATTTATTACAGGGTCTACGGTTTTGTCTTACTGTCGCATGTCAACGCCCAATAAAGCCTCGGAAAACCCAAATGCGGATAAGCTTTGGATTGTCGCCTCCTATATAACTACGGGCACTGTGGCCGCTGCCGTCCATGCCTTCACCGTTATCACGTCTTTAAGAACGTCAAACCCTGATGTTACTTTTACAAGGCTTTTTATTCCGTCTCCTGGCAGGGCCAACCTTTTTCGTACCTGGTTCCCAAAATTTACCTCAGCCTTTCCGGGTCTTCCCGCAAAATATACTGAGCTCTTGGAACAGTATCACCTCTTCTCTCAGTTTGACCTGGTTGTCGTCGCGCTGTCTTGCATTGTTTTTGTCCACTATCTTCTTTCCCACTCGGGAAGTAACAAGGTTGAGCATCATAAAAAGAGGATAGCTTCAGTCGAAAACCGGGAGTTGGTCTATCTTTACCTAGGCACCCTATTTTTAGGACCCGGAGCAGCTGGTTCATTTGCCCTTGCAATTCGCGAGTCTAGAATAAGGCGTTATAATATGCTTAAGGCTCAGTAACCCGGACGCGTGCAAAAATCTGTTTTCGATAGTTGTTCTTGTTAGAGCCTGAATGGGAGGATTCATAGGGTTCAAAATTGATCCGTTCAGCTATAGCTTTCTCTATCGAGGAAATAATTGCTTTTCATATTAGATCCTACTTTCTTTTTCGTTCATTCGAGTTGGTCATCTTCAAGGAATACTTCAGTTGGAGCTTTTGCTTGTTGGTTTCTAGGTAGTTTGATTCATGATAATGAGAAATAAATTTACATAGTAATACAGCCACTATTAGATCAAGTCCTTTATCCATCTTTGAATATATCGGATGTTCTATGATACGTAGGAGGCGAGGAGAACTGAGAAAACAAGTCTCAAAAGTAGAATCTACTGTAGCTGCTAAAAAGTATTGATCCTGGAAACCTAATATACAGGACTATTTCTATTAATGACAGGGAATAAATTGGTTCACGGGCAGGAGCGGGGCCGCAGCCACAGCCCAGTGGAACAGCTCGCCAAGACATTAGTCAACTGAGCTTAACGTGATCTCTGCTTCAGTCAAAAAGCTTGGTTTAACTTCACTCCACAACAACACCCTGGCTCTCACAAACCTGAGCAGCAAACTTCATGATCGTCAAACTCGGAGCGAGAAGTTTCTGGAACGGAAAATCGAGCTCGAACTCCTTGAATATCCAGTTGCGTAACTCCACTCCAATCATACTATCCAGCCCATAAGATGCAATGGACTTCGCGCTCGGTTCGATCTCATCGCGCTCGAGGTGCAGAAGGCGGACAAGCTTGTCAGTAAAGTGTCCAACTGCCACATCTACAGCCTCTGCCGGCGAAGTTGCGTCCCTAATTGTGCTGAGTACTGACTGGTTGGACAATTGCTTCTCCGTCCCAGTTGATCGAATTGTCTGAAGTAGGCCCTTGAAACGAGCATTCCCCAGCCAGAACGCGTCCGTTGTGTCTGCGCGTCTAAGTGATTTTTGGAGTTCCGCCGGGTCCATGCCAATAACTATATGGCCTGTTGACCGGTGATTTCCTCCTGCCGCGATTCCGGCTTCGAATGATTGCAGCATGTGCTCTTCATCGATTCCATAGATCCCTTTGCGCTTGAGCGCTTCTTCGATTTCTGGGTGCTCGGCAACATAACCAACGCCCAACACCATGGGAAGGATTAAACTGCAGGCAGCCTTATTCTTCGATACACGATGACGAGCAAGGGCGTCTAAGAAGCTGTTTGCAGCAGCATAGTTGGCCTGGCCGGACGTTCCTAGGGTGCCTGACGTCGAGCTGGTCATAAGGAAAAAGTCCAGAGGAAAATCTGCAAGCGCTTCATGCAAATTCTTTGTACCGATCACCTTCGGGCTAATGGAATTAATCCATTTTTCATGGCTCATTGTCTCAAACATCGTGTCCTGTCATCTGGTTAGCCTATGTGAATCTCTCCAGCATCCGATGGGAACTGACCTGAAAACTAGCCGCCGCCTGCACCACACCTTTAATGGGATGATCGCTCGGAACATTTCGTATGGCATTCTCGACGTCTTTTTTGGAGCTGACATCGCCACGCGCCACTTGAACAATTGCTCCTTTGGCTTCTATATCTTTCACCAGCAGTGCTGCATTCTTAGAGTCGGTCCCCGAGCGAGATAAAAAGATGAAATAGCGGGCCCCATTTTCCATCATCCAAGGTGTAATGGAGCGGCCAAGGCCTCCAAGACACCCAACAAGGAAATAGCTGGCTTTAGGGTCAAACTGAGGCGCAAACCGCGTTGGAGCGACGTTGAGCGACCTGTCTGTTTCTCCATAAGAGATGAGAACCGGATCCTGCAACAACCCTTCAGAGAATTTTGCCATCGCTTCATCTAGTTGGGTCAAGTGCTTGACAATCGCCACGTCGACTCTTGGGATGGATCCTTCGCGATAAAGCTGTATAGTGGTTCGGAGTGCGTCTGCCAAAATATGAGGTTTGTGATTATATAAATCAAGGATATCGAACGAGGAATAAGTTCCCCCGTGGTTCAAGGGTACGGTGTCTAACACGCTTCTTTTGAGGACGTTTTTATGCCCACATGCAATAGCTCTTCCGAACGGAGCGATCCGCCGCCAGCATTCACGAACGATACCTGGGGAAGATTGCGCAGAACAGAAGATGACATCGATACCTCGAGGGCCAAATATCTCGTCTATCTGCGTGTTCGCTCCAAGAAATCCGGTAATCACCCGTTCCCTGGGCAGGCCGAATGTTGCTGTTACGTCTTGGGCCTCTGCTTCCGATTCAACTGTCACAAATGTGTTTGCCTTCATTAACTTGCTCATTCTAATTGCAGCTGCTGCGGCAGCCCCTGCGTCGCCTAAAATGAGAACATTCTCATTCTGCTCAACTCCCGCAATGTTCTTTAGACCGTGAATTGCCGAAGCATATGCCATCAAAAGGCCAAGAATATTCTTGGGGTTCTCATCGGCACCAACCTTCTCGACGAGGTTTTGTGAAACTCTCTGGAATGAAGCATATTTGTCGAAGCTGAATCCCACAACCTGATCGCCGGGAATATATCGACTCACTGTCGAACCGACTCTGGTAACGGTCCCAAATATCTCATGGCTGAAAGTGATCGGATAATCTTGGCCCTGGATAACGGCGACACCTCTAGCAAGTCCGCTAAGGTGAACTATAACTTCAAGTTGATCGGGCTCTAATCTCGTTTCGTAGCGTTTATCCTGTTCAAATATTATTTTCCCTGACTGGACTCGACCAACAATCGCTCTCTCGCGATCGTAACGGCTCTTCTCGAAATGTGACTTGTCAACAGAATAGGCCGAACTAAGTTCCTTGTTAGGGAGTAGTCGGCTGATATATACCTTCTCTTTTGCCACACAGTACTCAGTTTCGCGGTCCTTATCTTTCTCGACTTGGCGGCGTACGATATCAGTTATTGCGTGTACAGCACCAGGTAAAGAGGTTGTATCTAAGTCAAGATCTATGGTGATGAAGTCGAGCGAGGCATTCTCGCTCTTCACTGATCTTGCCAATCCAGACGCCATCGCATATTCAGGCTCTTTCCCGGAAAGAAGGCCACCCTGCGTAATCCAAACAAGAGAGGAAGCCGTTGATATTATCCGCTGAATACCAACCAGCTCGGCCTCTCCGAGTGAAGAAAGTAATGGCTCTTCGAGCTCCGCGACAACGAGAACTCTTTCCTCTTCTTCAATATCGACACCATCGAGTGAACTTAATCGTGTCTTCCAACCACATTTTGTAAATCTATCAGCGAGCAGATATACAAGGGGCGCAGGTGTATGTCTATACACAAACACGAAGGGGTGTGACTGCTGCGTTGCTAGACTATAATCGACCGGTGACGCAACCTTCGCAATTACCAGGTTTTCGCCAAAAGCAATATATGAGAAGTTAGGATTTGTGACAGTAGTGTCCACATTCCTTAGCACCGCACGGCCACCAGAAACTAAACGCTGGGAAACCGAATCCATCATCAAGGCAGATGCTTTGACGCCGTTGGCCAGTATCAGATCATATCTTTCTTGAGTGTTATCAGAAAGAGAACCATTGTTGTAATTGAGAATAGGGGCTTGTTCACGGAAGAGTGCCTCATGGTATCCTTCTAGGTCCAGAATTTTTGCGCCGGGATTCTTATGTGAGATCATCTCAACAATGTTGATAATACTTAAATCCTGGTAGCAAGTTCCGGGAGTTAAGGTATCAATGTCGCATTTCCATACTATCTCCATATACGGTTGTGGATCTGGAGCATTCAGGGCCTTTTGTGGTGCCGCAGCTTCATATGCAATGGATCGCATATCTTTAATGTCAATTAGAAGACCCCCGTCGCTCGCAGTGAGCTGGGCACCGGATCGAAAAGAGCGAATTCCTCGCTCATCCGTCCAAGAATAAGCTGTCGCGAATGGATCCTGGAGCTGCTCGGGTGTTGGGGGCCAGATGGTAACCTCATCAACTTGGAGTGGCACAGCGCCGCAAGTAATATCCTTAGCCTTTCCCGCATAGATCGAAACAATGATGAGTTGCAGACAGGAATCAACCGTCGCGGGGTGGAGGATATGGCGTGACTCTCCTTGCATGATGCCACACTCCTGTTTAATAAGTGTATTGCTTGAGGCCGCATAAGCTTTACCGTCGAAGCGAATCTGGTCCATATCTTGGAAAGTGGGGCCATAATCGAAGCCCACAGCTCTCAGAGACTGGTTCCATAGTTTGCCGCTGGCTCTCTGGGGCATATTTGGAACGTCCCTTGGTTTCTCCCCGCGTGGACGGATGTTGACACTGATCATTCCAGTCATATGCGCTTTCTGAATGCCGCCCTGTGAGATTGAGTAGATGTTGAAATCCCACCATACGTTTTGGCTCCCCCCCTCACCATGGATTGAAGGATGCATGGTAAAGATTGTTTCAATCCCGTCATCATCTTCTGGGACGATCAGAGCTGTCTTGATGGAAATGTCTCGCAGCGTGTACCCATCTATCTTCGTGGGAGCGGTAGTAGTCTCGTTCACCTGCGTGACTGCCTCCATGGCCATAGAGAAATACGCTGCCGCTGGGAAAATTATATCCCCGCCCAGACTATGGTCTTTCAGCCACGGCAAATCCTTCACTCGGAGAACATTTCTCCACGTTGGTTCAGTTTTGGAACCTCCAAGGAGTTTTCGGCCCAAGACATCGTGGTGACCATGCGTAGGGCCCCGGTGCTCGACGGACTGGCGAGGCTCTGCAAAAAGGATCTTTGATCCATAGGTCCATTGGTACGGGGGAAGATCAACAAGGATTGACCCTCTTCTAAAGTCAATCTTTCCACCGGGAAGACTCTGTTCGATGAGCGTCACACGGTACATATTGAGAGGATAATCACGTAGGAATAGCTCTCCAGCAAGCTTGAGGAGCTGGACAGCACAGTCCTGACCACGGACAAGTGTGGAAAGGTATGCTAGTTTATCCAGCTTGCGTTCGGCTCTGATTTGTTTAACTGGACCGGCTAATGCGGAGTGGGGTCCAATCTCTATAAGCATATCAACGGAATGGGAAGGCATCTGCCCTATAGCTTCGCTAAAGAGGACTGGCTTGACAAGGTTTGCAGCCCAGTAATGCTCATCAATCCCCATATTGGGAGGAATCGTGGATGCCGTGACGGAAGATACCATCACAGCCGTCGGCCCAGAAGGCGGGTCGAATGGGAAGGTCCTCTTTGCGTTTTGCACAAGCGCGATGTATTTGGCTGATGCTGGCTCCATGTGCTTAGAGTGATATGCCTTCCCGCCTGTTTTGAGTGTTCTTGCAAAAATCCCTTCCTTTTCAAGCTTCTCTTTGACAACTTCCAAAGCGCACGAATCACCACTTAGGGTTACAGATGATGGGGAGTTGTGGCAGGCGATGGTCACGTCGTCACATTGTGCAATGTAAGGTTTCACCACACTCGGACCCAAGCCGACAGCCAACATAGCACCATCCGTGTCGATATCCCTCACCGTTTGGCCTCGGTAGAAAGCAAGAATAATGGCCTCCATCCTGGATATTTTACCTGCAGCGTATGCAGCAGCGATCTCGCCAGAGGAGTGTCCAACTGTCACTGCAGGCGTGATTCCCCAGGAAGTAAGGAGATCTATCAGCGCTATCTGGACAGCGGTGCATAATGGCTGTGAGAATTCAGCCTCGTTAACCCGCGAAGAGGCAGCATCTGCCAGGAGCTCATCTTCGATCGTCCACTCAGGCGTGTCTGGAAGGTTATTCAACACTCTATCGAGGATTTTGATGGTCCTCAAGAAGCTTGGATAGTAGGTCATAAGCTGGCCTGCCATGCGAACCCATTGAGCTCCTTGACCGGTGAATATAAACCCGATCGATGGCTTCTTTTTATTTTCAGCGTAGGCAACAAAGTTAGCTATATCTTTGAAATCCGAAACCAGGGTGGCATCGCTTGTGACAACATATGCACGGCTCGCAAGGCGGGATCGACGGTTCCCGAGAGTGTAAGAAAGGTCAAGTAGGTTATACTTCTCTGCAACCTTTCCATATGCTTCGATGTTCTGGCTTAAGGTCGGCTTATTGTGAGCTGAAAAGACTAAAAGATAAGGTCTTTTACGAGAAAAAGTGCCTCGAGGCTTGCTTTTCTGCTGGGAAAGTTGGTAAGTCGGCAAAAACGAGTCGGCGCCTTCAATAATAACATGGCCGTTCGTTCCCCCGTATCCGAAAGAGTTAACGCTAACCCGCTTGACGAGGAGATGCGTGGGAAATAGTGTCGCCTCCGAAACAACTTTGACATTCCAGCCTTTCCAATCGATGGCCGGATTTGGTGAGGTGAAGCTTCTGGTAGGCGGAATGATCCCTTTTTCAACCGCAAGAACCGCTTTAATGACTGCAGACAGACCACTGGCGGCTTCACTATGTCCAACGTTAGTTTTAACAGCGCCAATCAGAAGTGGGCCATCCTCGGGCTTTCGTTTGCTATTCATCGCCTTCGAGACTGCGCCAACTTCGAGTGGATCACCGATAGGCTGGAACACATAATATTAGTACCAATTGACCGTCACAAAACTTTGGTAAAAGAAGCATGTACCGTTCCGGTTCCGTGGGTTTCAAAGTACCCCGTCAGCATTGGATCTAGGTCGCCTCCGCGGCGATAAGCTTGCCTAATAACAGCTTCCTGGCCTTCTGAGCTTGGATGGGTAATTCCAACACCTGGAGCTTTTCCGTTTGAGTTGACAGCGCTAGAACGGATTATAGCTCGGATTGGATCGCCGTCGCGAACCGCATCGTGAAGCCTTTTGAGGTACACAGCACCCACTCCATCGGCGCGGCCGTAGCCATCCGCGTGCGCATTAAAGGTGTGACAGGTCGATGTGGGAGAAAGTACGCCAAGTTTTGCGGTGTTCATGTGCTGATCAACTGTCAAAATGAGATTCGTACCGCCAACAATAGCAGCGGAACACTCGTTGTTCCTGAGGGCATTGCAGGCATTGTGCAGGGCATACACGGAGGAAGAGCACGCTGTGTTCACCGTCATACTCGGTCCCTTTAGATTGAACACATGGCTAATGCGGTTGCTGATGATTCCGGGATCTACACCAGTTGCTGCATAGCTATGACGAAAGTCCGGTTCCTTGAAAGTCATCTGCTGGTAGTCCGCGGTGAAACTGCCGACAAAACAAGCTGTCATGGTTCCCGCGATGTCTATTAAAGCTACGCCAGCAGACTCCAAGGTTTCATAGACAACCTCAAGTAGTTTTCGCTGCTGAGGGTCCATCCACATCGCTTCAACAGGCTACCAGGTAGTATATTAGCTCTGTGCTAACAAAATCGTATTAGCTGTTGGAGCTGCACTTACAGAAATTCCAAATAGCACAGGGTCAAATTCCTGAAGGCTGTCGTTCAGAAAATACCCTCCTGGTACGTTAAAACTCCCAGGCCTCTCGTTATTCAGGTGCAGGTGAGCATCTATGTTGAACCGCGATTTGGGGACTTTGGCCATGCGACCAGTACCCTTATTCGTGATGAGCTCCCAGAATTGGGCCGGGGAACTAACACCCCCCGGTAAACGACAGCCTAATGCGATCAGTTATGGGTAATGATAGCTATAAAGCCGCTGCTTACCCATTCCGACCACTGCAATTGGCTCCAGCTGCTCCGATAATGGCTTTTCGCCATACCCAGGTATGGAAGATGCTGGATATTCGTAGTCGGAGACAACGCTAGTAACGCTGCTATAGTCATCTTTGGAGGAGTCGCTCCCCGAAGAGCATCGATTTCTTAAAAAGGGCATAATGACTTGGTTCGAGAAGCTTTGCAACCGGAAGACTTTTGCTTTCTTCGCAAAAACAGAGGATCGATCGAATCTTTTAAAGATTCCACAGTTTCCGGAACCCTCTATGTTACATTCTTGTACATACAAGATATAGGCGCTCATCCAATCCCACAAAGATCAAGTCAGCATTTTGAGATCCACCCTACACGCCTTCAAGAACGTCTTTGTGAGAATGGTGCTATTACAGCAACCCTCTGTTATGGGCACTACGCCCTTAGTTTCATGGAAGCAGCTGCAAGGCTCCCAACAAGAGACGATCGAATTACTGTACATAATCGGCACATCAGATCAAAATGAAGGGCAGAACGAGGAGTAGCTCTCCGCTGTGTCACCAACATCCGATGTCCTCGAAGGCACAAGGACAAGTCATACAGATTAAGACTGCTGTAGTATCTCATACTAGGAGGATGTGCATCGCAGACTTTGGTTTGTGTGACTCCAGGTACCACTGTCGATTTGCGGTGTTAACTGCGCCGTTTTGCAGGAGATCATTCCTAGCGGATTTCAGGTATTTAAACCGGTCAAGTTTCCGCAGTCGAAGATCGCTTACACGAAACCTGATGGCATAGTTTTACCGTCATAGTCCCTGCGTTGAATATTTGATCTAGAAGCAAATTTGTGGTTTGGTGTAACCAGAGGCTTTGTTTACCTTGAACATGGAACAGTTTGATGTTGTGGTTGTTGGCGCAGGTGAGTGCCTCTATTTCCTTTATCCCTTTTATGTCAAGCATTCAAGACCCTGCTTGGCCATTTATCCAGATCTGCACTAGTAACTCGGGTATCATAACATGTGGTCGATCACTACCTTACTGATCACACATCTGACTTTTTAGGATGGTATGGCTTGATTGCCGCGCGGACTTACCTCGAGCTCGTTCCTGGTACTCGTCTGCTTATTGTTGACGATAGTTTGTCAATCGGAGGGGCATGGAGCAGGGAGAGAGTATACCCTAATCTATATGCGCAAATCAGCCATCCGCTGTTCGAGTATTCCTTCTACCCCATGAAAAAAGAAGGTATTTCCGGTGATGGTTTTATTTCGGGAGCGACCATACATAAATATTTGGCCAATTTCGCAAAAGATCATGATCTGGTTCCTCGAGTCCGCCTTGAAACCAGAGTCAATCAGGTTAAGAGAAATTCAAATGGATGCGGCTGGGTTTTAGAAACTAGCGGAGGCCAGCTTGAATGCAACAAGCTAATTTATGCTACTGGTGCAAACTCCAGCCCAATTATACCCTCATGGCCACGGAGCCGCTTTGAGAAGCCTGTTATCCATACATGGCAAATTGGCCAGTATCTTGGTCATATCGAAGAGTATGTTCAGCGAGCATCCGTCGTTGGCGCCTCGAAATCTGCGTACGACATGGTATTCCACCTCCTCAACGCCGGCAAAAAAGTGGACTGGATCATCCGGGATGGCCCCTCTGGTCCATTCTCAATTTACGCTCCTACGTTTATGGGACTCTGGAACATAGTTGATCACATTTCGACTCGAATGGCAGCAAATTTTAGTCCGAGCATTATGAACACTTCGGGTTTCTGGTACTATTTCCTTCAGCGCACCATTGCGGGTAGGGGGATCATCAATGTATATTGGCGGATTGCGACATATCTATCAGCGCGACATGCTGATTACTCCAAAAGTGAGCATACTCAGGGTCTTCGGGCGCAGCCAAAACAAGACGGGTACGACATCGAACCCCCAAACCTACTTATATGTGGTAAAGCCTTCATACTAATGGGGATATAGACTTTTTTGGGGTAGTGGCGGAATCGGTATCGCGACTGTTCCTAACTTTTGGAAGGTGATGCATGCTGGTGACGTGACAATACACCGCTCAGAGATAGAGTCCCTCTCGCACAAGGACGTTGTCAACCTGAAGAACGGGTATTCGGTTCCCGCTGACATTGTTATTCTCTGCACTGGCTTCAACAAAGGCTACGACACATTCAGCAAGGAACTTCAACAAGAATTGGAGCTGTTGTACGACAACGACAAGCCTTCCAGATGGGCCACTCTTGATGCGCAGGGGGAAGAGATAGTGAACAGACTCCTGCCTTATCTCCGAAGGGACCCATTGGCTTCAAATACAACTTCTAGGAAGAGAGATCAAGGTCCAAACAGACATTATCGTCGACTGGTGGTTCCGCAACTGGCAGCACAGGGCGACCGGACGATCCTCTTCCCGGGTCACATTCACTCGGCCTTCACGCCACTCGCTGCAGAATTACAGGCTCTCTGGGGAGTTGCTTTCCTCGAGGGCTGGCTGGAGTTGCCTAGCCAAAAAGAGATGGAACTTGAAGCTGCTACGTTTAATGCTTGGACTCGTAAACGGTATCTTGAACAAGGGAGAAAACACTCTTACTTCATCTACGATTTCCTCTCGGTGAGTCCGGTCTAGCGACTTATGGTTGCGCACCGTACAGCTAACATGATTCAGTATATCGATACGCTAATGAGGGATCTCGGGCTCAATCCTCATCGAAAGAGCAACATGTTCGCGGAGATGTTCGTGCCGTATAAGCCCCGCGATTATCGTGGTTTGATAGACGAGTATTTAGCAGCTCGAGCCAAGGCAGGCCGTGCCAGCTAGAGTATAAAGCAACATGTTAGACGTTTCAATGTTATAATATGCGGCGGTTAAAATAGGAAATCGTCCCTATCCTTTCATATCTTCCTTCGCCATGATCATCCTCATAACATCAGTTTAGCAATTGGCGTCATGACCGCCTGTACAGAGTACACAGAAATAATCGCGGTGCCTATTATGGTTCCACACAGCAACCGATTTGAATTCACGCCACGGATGGGTTTTGCAGGATCCGCGTACTAGCGGCAAGTTTTGTTTACAGAGGCAACATGTACGGAGCGCGGATGGATAGCAATCCTTTCCTTGCCAACGCGCTTGCGTGTCTGATGTATTTGTCTAGTTGCCAAGCCGGCCCAGTCAAAGGCGACCACAGCTTGTGTAACGGCGTGATGCAAAGCTCGATGTGAACTAGCCGGAGTACTCCGTGGATGTACACTATCTACGCCGCTCAATAACTTACCAAAGCTGTGTAGTGGGGGTTTCTCAAAGAAACAATGCAGTTCATATTCTCTGGAGCCATTCCTGGGGTTCAGATTGAAAAGAGACTGCTGTTGGTGGTAAACTCAAGATGCGAGTTTTTGTTTGTTCGTGAGTAGCACCAGAGATAGGGCCCGCCAATCATGTTTGTGCCGCTGTTAAGCGCGTCCACCATCCAGCTTGCGATTTGGAGCCGAGATCATCAATTTGAACTTTTGTTGCCACGATGGTATCCATTGGCTTCACGTGTCGGGTCAGAATACAGGGAGTAGTTAGCCCAACAGCCTCTCCCACAATACTCGGTGCACTGGTCAGCCAATTAAAGTTAGTTATCTGTGAAAGAAGGCAAAGGCAGGACTTGGGACACGCGGTGAAAACACATAGTGGGCTGGTATAGGTCTATCTTGAGAACTTTCAGCCAGATGAGTAATGGCGCCCGTTATCCTTGATGACGCAGAGACTGGCTGAAGATCTCCAAATTTCATATTGTGATGGTGAGAATGTATAGATCTGTGATTGTCTACCTTTGGAGTGCGATAATGCTCCTGCTAGTCAAAATTTTCATCCCTACCATTGACTATTTACTTACTCTATAGCTAACTATTTATTAGCCGGAATGGGCGTAGGCGAACAAGTCCTTTAGGCCCTGCAATCGGATATCAAGTACAGACAAGGATCATGGTTGACAGCGTATTCGCAGAATCCGCACGTCTACCGAGAACATGGGGGTTATTCGGCAGAAACCATGATCAATTCGTGACTGCATGTGCTGGTCATCAATGGCTACCACTCAAAACCTCTTGAGAGACCACGGTTGGACTCTGCATCATATTTTCATCCCATCCATAGGAATTTGTGCCGAACGAAACGAAGAGGAGAGACATGAAACTTGCCGCGAGAGGCAATGTAGCCACTCACTTTACCGAGACCGAGAAGAAAGCAATTCGATCTCAGAGTCCATCTGCTACGACTGGGCGACTATGTTGATGTTACACAACGCTAGTTATCCCCGGCCATTGAAGTCCTATATAAAAGTGAGCGCCGACACCACTCTTCTCCTAATTCTTCTCTATGGTTTTATATTCTATATACTTTACACATCCTGCATTCCCGACATATTTCTCCTCGAGCTTTTGCCAGGCTGCACCTTGAACGGGCACATACCTCCTGCAGCAAAGAAAACGGAGGTTCGCTGCAACTTCTTTGATTGGGACGGGTTCCGGCCAATTCAAATTTTGTCCTGGTGTCTTCTAATCGTCGGAGTATTTTGCACTGTGAGAATCAAGTATAAAACGGTCCTTTTTCCTTGGAACTTGGGCTCCCTCGTGATTTTTCAAAATTTCAACCCTAGGATTTCTAATTCTCGCTGCGTCTTTAGTTTCCCGCAAAAAGAAAAAGGCCAAACGGGTTGAGAGACGAATCTTGAAGAATCCATGGAGGAAAGGGACACCCATGTCTCCGCGAGTGGAAGCAAACTTGAAATGCAGGTCGAGCCTGATATCGCATCTACTGGAAATGAAAAGGAAGAGCCGCGTCGTCAACTTCATGGATGGAAGGTGCTTCATCCTACTATGTAATCCTATCTTTATCTACTCGGGCTATACTAAAATATTGTTCTTAGTGGGCGATTGCGTATACTGCCATGTTGTCCACGACATTTCTCTTCGCCCTCGATAATACTATCGTGCGTCTTTCTGGCCTTTGTTTCCCGCATCCCCGTCTCTGTGGATCTCCCTAACATTGTGCATAGGTGGCAGATATTCAACCATCGATTATTGATGACTTTGGCGAGATTGAATTACTTCCGTGGATCGGAGTTGGATTCGCTCTCGGTTCAATGTTTATTCTCCCCTGGGGAAAGATATATGGCGTGTTCAATATCAAATGGGTGTACTTGGGCAATTTAATTCTGTTCGAAATTGGAAGCGCAATCTGCGGTGCTGCACCCAATATGACAGCATTGATTGTCGCTCGTGTTATTACTGGTATTGGTGGCTCCGGCATGTACGCCGGCACAATGATGTATGTCTCTGTCACAACCTCCCTAAAGGAGAGAGCGATGTATATGTCGGGAAATGCTGTTATGTGGGGTGTGGGTAGTGTTTTGGGCCCGGTAGTATGTATTGATTTGTCCTTTTCTTTCCCCCCTTTTATCAGCATGCTAACAATGAGAAGGTCGGCGGCGCTTTCGCTACGAGCAGCGCGACCTGGCGATGGGTACGTAAATACCCCATATATCGGACTTAGGTTCGTTTCTGATGCATATTCATCCAGTCCTTTTATATTAATCTTGTCATTGGCGCCGTCTTTGCTCCGGCATATCTGTGGCTGCTTCCAAAAATTGACCCTCAACAAGGCAAATCCTTCAAGGGAAAGTGCAGAATGATCGACTGGATCATGACTGTAGTATTCCTAGCTGGGTGTGCTTGCTTCACGATGGCAATAAATTTCGGTGGTGTCATTTACGCGTGGAATTCTAACCCTGAAATTGCTCTGTGGGCCGTGACCGCTATCCTTTTGGTCGCCACGATCTTTTTGATGCATTTCCACCCAGGAGTGACTAAAGAGAACAGGCTTTATCCAGCTCATTTCCTAAAACGTCTGATCCTGGTAAACATGCAACTTCAAATATTTTTATCGTCCGGAATCATCCTGGTCAGCAGATGTTTCCAGTCCTTTAAGCACTCTTTGTGTTGATATGCCGCTAACTCATTCAATAGACGATGACCTACTACATTCCCCTTTTCTTCCAATTTCTACGGGTATGTAAGATGTACCTAAGTATTAGGACCATGCCATACTCATCAGTCTCTAGGGAGATGGCCCTCTCGACGCTGGAATTCGCTTGCTTCCATTCATTGTCTCTATGGTGGTGCTGTCGCTATTGAATGGAGCCCTAATGCCAAGGTTGTCCTATATAGGTCCATGGCACATTCTGGGTAGTGCTCTAGCCATTATTGGCTCTGCTCTGATGTGTAAGTTCCTTCAATCACTATGAGTTGTCCTTGAATCTAACTAAAATATCAAGACACGGTAAACGAAAATTCATCCAACGCAAGTATATATGGGTACACTGTTCTGGTTGGAGCTGGTGGGGGCTGCTATATTGTTGCCGGCTTCGCTATTGTGCAATCGCTCGTTCCTCCCCATGACATTGCGAATGCAATTGGAGCCCTGACAATTTGTAAGAATTTATTTTGTACATGTTGTTTGTCTGAATACATTTTCATATAAGTGAGTTTATGCTGACCAGATTTCCTCTACACAGTCCAAGACCTCGGAATGGTGATGTTTCTCGCAGTTTCAGGTGCTCTGTTCCAAAATTTTGCTCTCCAGAATGTTGGAAGTGTTCTTCCTGACCTTTCACCCGACAAAATCAAAGATTTAGTAGCTGGAACAAGCAGTTCTACCTTCAAAGGTTTGAGCGAGGAGGCAAAGAGCCTAGTGATTCCGCAAATTGCTGTAGCCATGCGTTCTGTCTGGTTACTCTTCCTTGTGGGAGCAGCACTGAGTTTTTTGCTTTCACTAAGCCTTGGAGTAAGTGTTTACTGTGCTTCTGGCATTATCTTACACAACATTCGAGACTGGTACTGATCTATATTTTCCAACAGAAGCATAAGCTCACCATCACCGGAACAGGACCACATTTCTGATCAAGAGACATTGACAAGCTTCCACACCTGTCAAATGCTGGAAGACCATTTTCCCTCTCCTTGGGAGTTCTTTCAGAGTCCTTCATCTATTAATAAACGCACCGCTTGGAAAATTATAAAATTAGATTATTTTGTTGATGCATTCCATTCCCTTGCACTGCTAGAAAATAAAATAAATTTTTTTTTTTTTTCCCTCGAGCCTTTTGTCTACAGAATCCTCTGCCTCTATTCGAGTGCGTGAAGCGGATGAAGCTGGGTCTGGAGAAGGGCGACCTTTGATTTGCTTGGCGCCACGTGACCGAGTAACACCAGGAACGAGCTTTAACTGACCAGAGCCAAAATTCGCGTGACATAAGCATTTACAACGAATCAGAAACAGGAGCTTAAAGCATCTAGCTGGTGATGATGGTAGATTAAAGGGAGCAAAGCAAATAAGACAAACAGGCAAACAAGGGAAAACGGTGCTCCAAAAAGCCTGACAAAAGCCTGCCTCGCAAAGCATATGTCAGAGGAAACGTAGCTGCTTTGAGACTCCATGTCTCTGCTCTGTCTTACATTTTAACATTTATCATTCTTCCGCTACTACTGCTAGTTGATCTCCCTGTCCAAACTTGCAGTCCAGCAATCCCCCTTCGCTGCTTGAGCCCCTGAATCACTGCTCTGAGGCATATTATATAATCGATTCACGTGATCATATTTGAATGCCAAGAGATGAAGTCACACCTCCGTTGGTGCAGCTTGAGATGTGGTTGCTCGTCTTCGCCCGTGTTTTCTTCCAGACATCCATCATAGGAACCTACCAGGCAGTTCAGCGAAGTCCTTCAGCATTTACCTCAGGTCATTACTGTCTTACAATCATTTGCTTTCCGTCATTCTTCTACATAAACCCCTACACTGCCCCTCCATTGCTCAAAAGAGCACAAGATGTCTGGCAAGCCGCCTGGCAAACCTTCCCTTAAGCTGACCTTTGGCAAGCCAAAAGTGCCACAAGCTCCGAAGCAATCCAGTCCTCCTTCCGCAAGCTCCCCCTCGGTTACAACCCCAGGCACCCCGGTCCCAAAGCTTAAGCTCAAATTTGGCGGTCCCAAAGCCACCGCTCCACCCGTGCCAGAAGCGACCAAGGCCCCAAAACCAAAGAAGAGCACCAAGGCAGGGTCGTCCAAAGATGGCCCTCGCTCATCGAAAAAGCGCACGCATGATGCGGTTGAAAAGGGACCGGTTGCTTCGGCGTCAGCTCCCGCACCAGCTCAGACAGTAAAACGTATCAAGTTCAGCGCCAAACCCCTCCCATCCATCCGCCTCAAGAGCAGAGGCGAGCCGCCGCGGAGACCAAAAGGTGTAGGATACGACTCCGAAGCTTCAGATACGGAAATTGATCCGGCCTTGGAAGAAGAGTTCGTTCTGCGCATGCCACCAGGAGAAGATTGTGACTACGTACGACAGGCTGTTGAAGAGAAACGGTTTGGCCCACGGAGTCAGGGTGGAGCGGATATTAGCTTTAAAGCTTTAACTCGAGATGCACGAAGAGCTACTGTCACTGTTCGTGGGAAGATGTATGCGGCGTCGATGGTAGATCTTCCCTGCATCGTGGAAGGGATGAAGAGTTGGGATAAGCGTGCATTCTATAAGTCAGCTGATATATGTCAAATGCTGCTTGTCCTCGGTCCAATTAAATCCGAAGATGAAGCAAGAACCTACCCATTGCCGAAAGACGTCGAGGAATCCACGCACCAGTACGCACACGGCCTAACTCCGCCAATGCGATGGGTACGCAAGAGGCGCTTCCGGAAGCGGATTAGTAATCGCACCATTGAAGCTGTGGAGCTAGAAGTTGCGAGACTATTAAAAGATGACGCTGCAGCTATCAAACCACCAGAGTTTGAAGTCATGGACTACAACCAATACATGCGTGAAGAGTCCGCCTATAAGGAAGAATATGACGATGAACAAGATGCTGAAGGCGAGGTCGACGAAACGGCTTACATGCAACCTGGAACGCAGGAAGATATGGCTGACCTGTTTGAAGACGATCTCGCTGCAGAAATGGAAGCTGCATTGGCAGCACATGCGGAAGCCAATTCTGTCCCTACATCTGCTATCACCGATGAGCATGTTGTTGGAGGTGTTCCGGAGGCAGAGCCGGAGACCGAAGCTGAAATTAGTACTCCCAAAGTTGCTACAGCCGGTGAAACCTCTGGTGATGAAGATGAAAGCGATGAGTCATCTCCTGAAGATGCGAATGCAGACTTGGACGAAGATGCTTTGGAACAGCAGCGTCAATTACAGCAACAGAGAGAAGAGATCACAGAGCTTGAGGCATTGGTGCGTGCGGAGACTTTGAAATGGGAGCAGATGATGAACCCCATATTAAAAGGAAAGGTTGGCAAGAGAGTGCAGAGGTTGAAGCAGGAACTTGAGCTCAAGAAGGTTTCCATTGGAGAAGGGAACACTGATGACTGATCACGCTTATTCTTTACTTATTATTATTTACGATGTGGATTGGATACTGTCCCGGTTTACCGGTTCATGGGTGTTCAAAGATTTTCTCCATGGACTGTACCATAGCTGTCCAATTATGTTAACACTCGAGTTAATTTCATCATAGGATAACAAGTCACCAACCGTAGGTTGATTCTTAGAGCTTCCTTTGAGCCTTCATCCTCTTCCCCTGTTAGCTCTCTGGTTGTAACTATACACCACAGTTCCGTTCTTCAATGGAGAGAATTGACAAACCCACATATAGACAACACACCGTCTCCGGCACAAGACAGCCTCAACCAAATCATTTTTATAAACCGCGAGCTCTAGGTTAAACACTACCCCTAAGATAGAGAAATCATGGATAGCTAAGCCCTTTTCCATATCCTTTCAAGCTCAGAGCTCTGTCCAGAGCCTTAAACTGCATTGACATTAATATATTATCCTGTATAGTCACCAGACATCACAGCGACTTTGCAGCTTAGAAGATGTGTATCACCAAGGCACATTAGAGTGACGTGTAAACCTGGAAAACCTTTATATCAGGGTTGAAGACCGTGTGTTCAAGCCGCTTGTGTTTGAAGCAATTGGGTCTTCCAAGTGAATAGCCTTAAGAGCTGGACACAATATCAAATAGAAGAGTGATCACGACGCATCTGCCTGCTGCCCATTTGCTGTTAATCTCGTGCCTCCTCCTCCGCTACCAGCCTTTATTGTGACAACTTCTCTCACCCCGGCAGCTCATAACAGCCGCCAGAATCTCCTCTTTCCCATTATCGACCTACCTTCTTTTCAAGCTTCTTGGAATCCCAGGATCTCGAAACAAAGCGTCAAGTCTGCAGCAACCATCATCAAGGCCACGTCTAACTCCAATAATACACTAACTTGACAGTTTTTCTTCCACGCCTCGCGCGTTATCAATCAACAGGGAATATGAACCCTTACCAAGACACCTGCGATAATTCTGATATTCGCTATGATCTCTTCAATATCGGTGTTCCAGACATGTCCTGGATTAATGAAGCGTTAGAGGCAATGAGTGAAGCCGATAGGAACGAAACCAGAACCCATCAATCCCTTGACGGCGCTAGTGAGCCAAGCCCTGAAGGTAATCCTACCCCGATAAACACGCCGAACGAAGACACCACTTTCCAGGGGTATTGGCAAGGCATTGACCCGAGTCTCGCGTACAACAAAACCAGTATCGATTCTCTAAATGAAAATATCACCCCACAAAGCTATGGCGATGGCATTGATCCAAGTTGCGAAAGTAATCTGGGCCCCGTGGATGTCCTAAACAGAGGGATCACTTCTCAAGGTTATGGGCATAACCCGGTTCCCACGCACGATCCAGCTACCGCCAATTTTCCGAACGAAGATACTGTCCAGCAAGATTATGGCCATGCCTTCGACTCGTACCTCACGAGCAACCCAGAAAGCGAAGTGCCTGTGCGCAGGATTAACTTGCCCAACCGATGTCTACCCGTGCCAAACCAGAATCAAAGACAGGGCCATAACAAATTCCCACTTTTTAACATCCATGGTCCTGGTTATTGGTGGAGGTAAGTGACTGGGGTATATGTTTTCAACCAAGGTTCAATCCCCTTTTTTGAAATTTGATCCTTTGCATTTTGTGAAATGGCATATCACTCCCGCAGGACAGCAAGAAGATAATTCATGTATCACCTCAGTTTTTGGACTCACGTGAGCTCGGAGAGAGCCGTCTGTGAGGTAGACGCGTGCCTATGTTGTGAAGAATCCTGGTTTCTTCGTTTTCTCCTATTCAGATTTTTTCTTTTCCCCATTAACCCTCATTTTCCATACTCTTTTCTTATTTCTTGTCAAGTTGATGATCAAATCCCCTCATGGATCGTACTTGGTTGCCGAGCGTGCGCACCTTGATGGATATCGTCGACACCGCTATGACGGATCCTATGCTCATTGATTCCGATAGAGCTGGTCCAGCCAATCCTCTTCCCCCTTGGATAGAAGCGCAAACGGAAATACCCAACCGGGCAAATACCCTGTAAGTCACAATGCTCCTTCCTGCAAAGTTTCCTAGAATATATTTGTCAAGTCATAACAGGACGACGGGGCATGAGAAGAGAAATGTTCATCACCAACACTTGGCAATATTCATTCTGTAGCACAGCGATAGAATAAAAGTAAATGCTAACTATGATCCATCCATCATAGTGCCAACATAGGAGCGAGCGTACTCCAGCCTCCAACGAATACGGTCCCAAGAGATCCCATGGCGGGAGGGTTTGGGATACAAGACATCCCTGTGATGGAGCATCAGGCCCAGACTGCTCCGCAAGTGGGAGGGGACATGAACATGACGGATGCTCCAGGGGCGTTGGTCATGAGTCACATGCAAGCCAACCATCACATGGAGATCGCCCAGCACGGTCGGCGGGCGTCGCAAGGAAAATATGAGCAAATCTTTGCTTTCGTTGTGAACCCGATGGTAAGCGGCTCGTCATCCATTTAAGAATAATGGTGTTCATGGAAGAGACGAAAAAAAGAAAAAAAAAAAAAAAAAAAAAAAAAGGACAATACGCCAAACGGAGACTGAAAACAAGATATTGGCTAATTATTACTATCCATCCGGAACACAGATCTTCTTCCAGGTATCGGTAAGACCGCGAGTATTGCCGGCAAAAGTAGCGCCAACCCTTGATACTCTACCCATTAGTATCCTAGAAAGGATCTTCGACAAACTAGATGGAGCATCTCAAGTTTGCCTAGCGCTCACAGCAAAGGTGTTCGGCCGAGCGGTCCGCAGCGTGAATTATAGGCGGGCGCTCTGGTATACCGCGGTCGAAAGGGAGCAGCTCCTATGCTGGAGGCTGGCATCCAGCATCCCAGAGACCCTAAAACTCTGCCACACGTGCATGAAATATTATCCCACGGATCCACAGTGGTGGGGCAGAAGAAAGGCTTGGAGGCAAGCAAGGACAAAAAGCCAAATCTACGGGAGAATTCTCGCAGATTACGAGTTTAAAAACGTCGCCTGTCCCGAGTGCACGGCCGAGGCTAGATGGACGAACGTAATGCGGAAGCACAGCGCCCTGCAGCAGGCCCTAGGCTTGTAATCTGTGAGAACTTGGCCTATTCTTTAAATGTCGCTTCGGAGTTTGGGATAGGGGAATGCGAAAGGGAGGGCGAATGGTATCCTATCTGATCTATTAGGGAGTGGCTGGTTTCCTGCGAGAGCTCCACAGGATTCAAATTCATAATATCATACGTATAATTGCCATTAAAATGGAAAGGAATTGGAGAAAACAGTCAAACTTTTAACCTTGTTCATTTTTCCGTTTGCTTGAGCTCCGTGTTTTCATTGGGGTATCTAGTTTGTCCGTAAATGGCCTATAGGGAGCAGCTATCACATGTTCTGGAGCTTTTTGGATGTGTATAGGGACATCCTTTCGTGGCTCTCCAGGTGAAGGTCGTTGCCTCTGTTCCTCGTGTAATTTGTCCAAGGGCTCGCCAACAATATGGTACTTTGCCCAGTTTATCGGTGGCATCCTCACTATATCCTGTGGTTTAGGAATTTTGCTGAATGCGGGCTTTGCGTGTTCACTTTGTTTTTGTTGATCTCCGTCAACACTCACACCAGTACTCTGCTTATCGCCATCTTGATCTTGAAACTGCGGTTGAAAAATATCCATTTCGCCGCCTGAGACTGTAATATCTCCCTTGACAACATCTTTAGCAAATGCCTCGGGATTTTCTGCTGCAGCTTGTTTCAGTTTTTCCAAAGTCCTGATATCACGAAGAGTCTGTTGCTTTTGGATCTGGAGCACAGATATGGCGGAGCGGAGAGCGATCGCATCAGGATTATCAGATTCAGATATCGGAACCGGTGCCGGTTCAGGGGGCAAGACGCGTGGCGGTGATATCTGGGGGAGAGAAGACGGAGCCATTGAGCTGGTACTGTCTCTAGGATGAGGTGCCAAGCCAAGATCTGGAGTAGCAATAGATGATTCAACCTCCGGAGGTTGTACTACTGGCGGTGGAATCATCCCTTCTGAGTCTGCAACGGGAAATAGACTTGTATGTGTCATGACTGGCGTGACTGGAGATATGGGTGGGCGAGGTGGAGTTTCTGGTCTTTGAGCGATCGGCGTGTTATCGCTCGAAGGCTCCATTGCAGCTGCTGGCGTTTCAGGGCGAAAGCAAGAGGTTCTAGAGAATTACACTCGCATATAATCACGAGGAAAAGGAAGCAAATCGCGCGATGCTCGCATTTTAGCCAGAATAAGTCAGATCGCTGCTGGATGAAGCGAAGGCGGTGTTTGCCTGTCGTTCACTTAAGCTCATTAATAAGCACAGTGTGCTAAGGAAGCTAGTTCTAATATGGCTTAGTTGGTGCATTGGTAGTGGGGTCTTCCTGCGCCACGTGGACAGGTAACCGGGCAAATACTCCATAGAGGTCCTTCTATGCATTAGTCTATGTTCAGTACAATATTTGCCTTCTGTAGGGAGTATTATGGCACATCCAGCAAAGTGGTATACTGTTCGCTTCAATAACCATTCCCAAATTCCAAAATTTGAGAAAATCCTGCCAGAAAGCCAAGCAATCGAGGCCAAAGCTGATGATGTTAATTACACCACAGAACAAATATTTTCGTGAAATCAACAGGCATCATTGCTTTTAACAAGTATGCCCCGGATGGGGAAAATTAAGAGCTTGAGTGCTACCTTGATTTTTATAGTGACGAGCACCTATCAAATATGGAACAAGGGGACTCATTGTCGTCAGTCTCCGTTGTTTGTGTTAGTGTGTCAAGTCGCCACAGTTTTGTCTGCTATTTCCAAAGCTGGTGCACTGGATTTGCTTCTACAGAGCAGGCAATTATATCTCAGCTAGGAGAAATTATCCGGGGAGGGGGTTAATGCATAGGCCATCATCGGCTTTAGGGAACCCGGGAAGACTGTGGTTGCAGTGGCGGGGACCTTTCAATTCCTATGATAAGATAAGCCCGTGAACTACGTGTTAATGTGATATCCCATGATCAAAATTCCCACCTGACCTGATGATAATATGAAATTAAGCTAGGTAAGAACTTCTACTATACATCTATCAATTTGACCCCCATCGGCATTCACTTTCGGAAAACATGAGCTTTAGAAAGTTAGCTCCCACTCCCAATCAATGCAACGTTGCTCCACCCCTTAATCATCTCCAAGCCAGTCTTCTCCGTCAGGTTTTTGAATTTAATGGCTTAAAAGCCTTGGGCCGAGGAGAAACTCGCGATATCCCTGTAAATAAGCGACTACTTATGCATACAATCAAGCGTTTTGTTTATCCCGGGAAGCCGTGTTTATTACGGAGTACGAAATTATCTGGTTCAAGTAGCTATTATGTTAAATATCATTCTTCTCTGTGATACACAAGGGACGTGTTGCCTTTGGATCTGTGGCAGCCGTAGAGCTAGGAAGGTCGAGGAACGGAGCAAAGTGACCAGAACGCGTATCACACCACGCAAAGTCGACGAGAAACTTAGGCTATGGTGTATTTCTCCATAGTACAGCACATACACAAAGAAAATCCACCGTACAAATCGTCAGAGTGATATCACAAGAGTTCCAATATGCTCAAGTCCCATGGACAGAAAAGCAACCCTGCTACTATGATGCTATTTCAACGTACCATAAGTGACGAGTGTCAAACCATGACAAATTCTACTGGTCAACAGCCAGATCCATCCATTAATATAAATTTTGTATTTAAAAAAGAAAAAGAATAGAAAGAAAGAAAGAAAAAAAAAGAGAGAGAGGGAGAAAGGTGTAGACAAATGCCCACTGCACCGCAGCGACCCATCCAATCAACATTAGACACCCTTAGCCATTCAATAACAAAAGGCGCAAAGAGAAAGACCCGACCCCGGAGCTTTCATTCAAAAACACCACACCTGAGAAATGAATTATCAGCTGAACTTTTCTGTCCCATGAAACATCTCTTATGAAGGCTGGCTGTTATGCGGGACAAAAATCAACTTAAATGAGATACAACATTCGAAAGGCACTTTTGCAAACAGCAAGCCAGCAAACATTAACAAAAGTGGGATTATAACAAGTTTTCTTGCTTCTCCAAGAGTAGACGAAAGATGGACAAAAAGAAAAAAAGGCAAAAAAAGAAAGGGCCCAAAAGTCTTCCCATCCAAATTTCAAATTACCACTGCGCCGGACGCAAATGAATTAACACCGATGCCAAAGGGAGCAAAGCAAACAAGCCCAAAACCACAACCCTAAATTCCAGGCCGAAATGATAATGAGAGCAATAATACCACCAAAAATTAACAATGAGGTTTCAAAGAGGGGAGGTCGGTTAAGAGGTACAGTGAAAAGATAGTAAACCGGTACACGCAGGGATAAAGGCGAGTCATTTGGCTAACGCTTTTTAAAGTGACAGAAATGGGGTATAAATATAGTATACTGCAGAGAGAGAATCCATGGTGTGATAGCAATGTTAAACAAAGCTAGAGCAAACCGGCAGGTTAGCCCGAAAAAAAAGGAGTTAGACCTGGTAACGGTTGATATGAGGTGACCGATCGTCGAACTAGTGTAAAGATGGCAGCATCAGAGTGGCCTTTCGATTCGAGTACATCTTAAATCTAGAGATCACTCTAGCGAAAGAGTCGGGGAGGAGCAGCTAACAGGTACGCTGAAGGAAAACTCAGGTCGTGGATGAATTTATGGCAGATCTTGGACCCTCATCTCCGTTCCTCAGTATACTGCACTCCTTGCATTGGAGCAAGGGGCGTGTTTACTAATGGTGGGAGTGTTCTAGATGGATCCTGTGCAGGAGGTGGAGGCGCAAGCGATGTGCTCGATCCTGAGAATGGTGAGGAGAACAAAGTCGACCCCTGTGATGAACTTGCGATGCCGTTCGGCTGCAACGTTGGAGCTGGATGAGGTAGATCAAATGCAGATGTTTGCCTTGATAGTGCAGGTTGCTGCGGATGTTGGCCGGTGAATCTCCGGAGGTCATCGAGCTCTGCGCGTAATTGGTCCTGTTCCTGTTGAGATTGTGCAAGATTCTTCTCAAGCTGAGTAATGTAATCCATTGCTACGTGAAAGTGAGCCAAGTTATCCATTAAGAGTAGGAGAAGGGTTTCAGAGCTGTTCCGGGTATACTGTGACGTATGACTTCTGTTTGTGATATTCTAAACGTACCTCTGTTTAGTGTTTCCCACTTGCTAGACTTATTATTTTGGGTCGAAGGCAACCTGGTACGTAGGGCTTCAAAACAATCTTTCATTTCGCTGCGCCGCTTCCTTTCAGCCAGCTTATGAGATATTCTCAATTCTGGCGTTCTACTGTATGGAGTAGAACCGTTGGTAGCCTCATTGTCACCCATCAAATTTCGAACCTGCTTATGATGGAGGGAATGATGGTGGACACTCTGTGGCAATTCTGCTCGACAGTCAGAAATGATATTGAACCATGATCCTCTACATAATGCTCATGTACACGTAGATTTACGCGATATCAACACACTAACGGAGGCCTGGAAATTATACATACCCTGCTGTCCTTGGGGCAATCGAGCATCATTGGTGAATCTGCTGCTTGCAAGGGACTCCGTACCGCTATCGCGCCGAGAAATTTGATCTGATAGCCGACCAGGTTTCTCTGAGGGACGAGCAACGTACGGATCAGGGAAAGCATACGGCATGCCTGGAATAGGAGTCTCGGCGTTGTAAATCTTGGCTTCCGGGTTGGAGCTAATTGCGGGAGCAGTGCGTCCAGCTGGGAAACTTCGGTGCTCCCCAACCCGGGGGCCCAGCGGCGATAACGCCTGATTCCCTATATAACGCGGTCCACGATGCGTTGAGGGTGTCGCCGCGTAGTCTGTCGGAATACCGCGCTCTCGCTGAAGGCCCGATACGATGGAAGTCTGAGAGACATTTGCACTCTGGTATGGCGAGGTTGGATTAAGGGCCAGAGAGCTCAGGCCTTGGTTCATTCGGCTGTCGATGCTGCTGCGACGTGATTCAGGGTAGTCGGGGCGCTGGGTCCCATGGGTACCATGGGTGCCATTTGTCGTGTTTGAGTAGGTAGAGGAACCTAAGGATGTAGCGTTAGCTTGTCAAGTCGTCAGTCCATGGTGGAAAACGCAAACTCCGGGGCATTCGCAAACATCAAAAGGCCCGAAGTGGGCTGAGAAGACGAGAAATGGAAGGGAAAGCATACGGGCACTTTGGGACATAGACCAAGTCCCCGAGTCTCTTTCGAGTGTGGTTTGAGCTGGCGATCTTTCTGCGGAAGTGATCGAGCCCAAGGACATATTCGCCGTCAAGGTCGAGATCGAGGGTAAGACCTGGCTGTTTTGAGGTTGCGGGGGTTGTTGGGTGGAACGTGGTTCCTCCCATGGCCGGTGGGGAGGATTGGGGTGCTCCATTATTGACCTTGAAGCAGCAGCAAAAGGATTCGACGATGCTCACAAGTCAAGCAGACTTGCAGGAACAATAGGCGAGATAGAGAGGGGGTGGTGGTGCTTTAGGAAATACAATGACCGGAGGAAGAGATCGATCAACTTTCCCCAAGTAGACTGGAAGATCTAGGTGCGCAGGTCGAAGTCGCAGAGGGCAGTACGGCCTGAGCCGTGTGAGAGGACAAGGGTAGGTTGGCTATTATGGAGGAGCAGCAACTGCGAAGGAGCAAGAGCGAGATCTGGAGCAGCTGGAGATTGCCGGTGTTACGCTCGTAATTAATAGTTCTGGGGAATAATGTATGAGCGCTGTACAGGGTAAGGTTTGTTGAAAGTCTGGGTAATGGTTCTGTCCTGAATGGTAACTGTCATGGGAAGGCTAAAACCTTGTGAGTTGACACACTGAGTTCCTGCCAGAGCCTAACTTTGCTTGCTTTCCCATTGTTTCCTCCCCTCGAGGATGTTTAAAACTTGCGAAGCATGATCGAGACTGTACCGAATACTTCGCGACACTGTAACTGTGCCTTCAATTGCGTAGTCTGTTGTTCACAGTGTTCCCAACACTCAACATATATGTATGACTTGATGTACTATACATACGTACATTGTATGTATTTATGTATGTATGTATGTATAGTATAGACGGGGTAAGGACGGGGAAGGTCGTGAATTGCTACATCCCTGGAGCCTACATTTGGCTGAACGTAGGCA